GTAGGATCTATTCATTGTAAACATCGCCACCCCTGTCACTCTCATCAGAGAGTGGCCTTTCCCTTTCCATGCGTCCTCATGACTCCTCAGGACCTCAGCTGCTACAATGCTGCATGAAATAATGCTGGACCACTTCATGCCAAACCATCTTGTCTTCTTTTTCCAAGCTTGTGAGGATTGGTTACTCTGCCACTCCCCAACTTGAAACACTCACCAATTATTGCAGAATTCGTTTCTCCTTCCTTGTCAAAAATGGAAGTTCTAGGTACGAGAATAATTCTGTTAAAATCAAAAAATTAAATTGAATTAATAATTTCGATTTGGTTTTATATTAAAAAAAATCAAAATAATTTCAGTTCAATTTGGTTTTCTTTTAAAAAAAATTTAATTTCTATCGAAAATCGAATTAGTGTTTTTTTTTTAAACATACACCTAACACTCATAGCATTTTTTTATAATTTTCTTTACTAAAACTTCGATTCAAATTGTTAGCATTTCCTAAAAATAAAAAAAGTAAAAAAAAGGCCTTTTAGCTTGTTCCAAAAGAAAATTTAATATTCAAAAGAAAAGAAAAGAAAAACCTAGTTTTCAACCGAAAAACAAAACAAAATTCGGTTTTTTAACCAAAAAACCAAACTTTAATTGGGTTCTATTTCAAAAAAGAAAAGATGCAAAAAATATATATATATATTTGGTTTTTAACTGAAAACAAAACCAAAAAATTCGGTTTTTTAACCGAAAAATAGAACCTTAATTCGGCTCTATTTCAATTTTTGTTTTAGTTAATTTACTTAATCGAAAATCAAAATACAATGAAATCAAATAAAAAAATCGAATGATCACTCTTATTTTTAGCTAACAAAAATTCATTCTGCTGGCATTGAAACTTAGAAATGTCACTAGCCAGAACCTAGAATTGAATTGTGCTTGAAACCCCTTTTCTCCTTTTTTTTTTTTCCTACTTGAGTAATTCTTTGATGGGGCTTCTTCGTTTTTCTCCTAGACGTTGATGTCTCTGGCTCTTCTTTGATGCTAAAAATGAGATCGTGTTGTCCCGTCGTTGTTAACATGAATGACATCTCATACGATCACATGAGTAGTTTCCACATGCCGTACAATTTAATGTAGTATCATGCTAAAAAAATGGAAAACCTCATAGTATTACTCAATTCTCAATTTTTTTTTTTGCAAAATAAAAATATTTTTTCATGGCATCCATAATGTTTTATAAGTTTTCAATATGGTGCTTTTTTATATATAAAACATTTACATACAATGAAAAATATTAATATACATGAACAAAAGGATTCGATTGATAAATTTTTGCAACTTTAGGAATCAAATTGATATTACATTTTGCTTTAGGATGAAGTTAAGAATTGGATAGTAGGTTGGGTATAAAATTTAGGTTTCTCAACCCAGAAAAAAGAAAAAGATAAGTATAAAAGTTGGGCTGAATTATAAATTATCCCCTGAATTTTGACAAAAAAAAAAAAAAAAACAAATAACCTCCTAAATTAGGAAAAAAAAATGACTTTGCACGATGAATTAAGGATTTAAGTCTAGACTAATACCGATTTAGGTTTATGTCCATCCCACCGGTAGTAGATCTTACCTAACACTAATTACACCCAAATTCTATTTTAATGAATTATTATTTAATTAATTAATGATTGGTCCTAAAACAATAACAATTTATAAATATAAATCGTCAAAGATCATCTATCATTCGAAACTATTCTATGTCCAAGGTCTAATAATGAAATAATTTCAGAGGTTTTCTTTGACTTTATCCATGCCAATAAACAATTCGAAATACCTCGATTTTCTTAGAGCAAGTCCAATTCAAATAACAATGATTCGAAACATTTTTTTTTACGTTATTTTAAAAACCCAAGGAGTCAATCATATGGATATGAAAAATACAGGATTTCCAATCCCAAAAACTCAAACAAATCACACATAGGAGCAAATCAAACAATTTTCAAGTGTGAGGAGACAGTTAGAAATAACAAATCACACATAGATGAGTTTTTTTTTCTTTATCAGTTGGAGAGAGGGAGGGTTTTTGCTGTGGAGGATCTTGACGGTCAGATTGTTATCGTGATGGTCCACTGGGTTCAGTTTGGTTCAATGGGTGAACCGGTTTGCGGAGGGTGTTTGTTGAATTAACATAATTCATGGGGTAAAATGAAATTTGCCTTTTGGGTCAGGAGGTTGTTTCTTTTTTCGTCAACCCTCAGCGGGTAATTTACAATTTAGCCTACAAGCGCACGGCCTGCGCCTGCATGACCCGCAAAGCACGCTCCCGGTACAGTCCTTGTCTGTCGCTTACTATATAAGCCTTTCCTATGTAGTCCCCACTCTCCAGCATGTCTAAAACGGTAAAACCATTCACCCTATCATCCCGGAATTTTTATTTTTACCTTTCGTATTTCCTGAATTTTTCTTGAGATTTCAATATGAAAATATCATTCCATTTTATATTATTTTTCTGGATTAATCATATTAAAATATTTTTTTAAATGGCAATAAAAATATCATCGAATTAACTTGAAAGTCAATTAAATTTAAATTTGTTTTTAACGATTTTAAAAACACGTATCCTATATTAATTCGATGGATTCATTTAATATTGAAATAGTTAGTGATAGAATCCAAAATCCAATTTTATTGATACATTGTTATTATAAATTGACTTCAATATAAATATAAAAAGAGCAGTAAGTGGTTGTTTTAGTTTGATTATAACTAAAAATCAATTCTCACTACGTACGGATAATTAATTATAATAGAAAGAATTAAATAATTAATTAAATATTAAACGTATTTTGATGCTTATTTAGTTTAGAAAGTAACGGTTGATACAAGAATTGGTTTAAGAATATTCCACTGCTTTTAAATATAAAAAATAAAAATAAAAATGAAGAAAATGGTGACCTTATGGGAATTAAAAAGCCACAAAAAGGACATAAGAACCCAATATTAAAAAATCAATTCATTATAATAGTTATACCTAATATAAAACAAGGTTTAAAATTCTCAACTTTCATGTGCCTAAATTCACATTTATAGATCCCACTAGCGAGCTTATACTAGATTGATTTTTTTTTTTTAACACATACCTAAGTTTTCTAATAGAATTAAAATTTGAACCTATGATCTTTTACATATAAGTATAAGGCAACTACCAATGAGCTAAAGCTTCTAGCTCATTGGTTACTAGCAAGTTTACAAACGCTGAGTGAGGAGTAAAAAAAAAGCAATTTAAGGATGTATAATTGGTGTTAAAATTTTTGAGATAAAAAAAAAAACCATTAACCATTATTCCAATCAATTACAATTTAGTAAAAAAATTATTTTAATATATATATATATATATATATATATATATATATATATATATATATATATATAGGAACTGCAATAAAATAATGCTATGTTTACGGAAATTTACTTTTTAAATTGATATTTCTAAAGTTAACTCCTTACAAGGATCCACTCATATCCAACATTTCATTATTTTTTACAAAAGCTAACCATCTAACTAAATTTTATAAAAATAGCATTATTCCTAAAATATTTAGTATAGAGTAGAAAATGCAAATTACTACTTTTATTTTTTTCCATGATTATAAAATTAAATATATGCGATTCTTAAAAGAGAAAAGTAGATAATTCTAAAATGGTACGAAAACGGAAAATATCAATTACAATCGAAAATGGATGCGCGTGGAAAAAACGCGCAACCGAAAATGGTAAAAAAATCTTGACAATAAAGGCTTTCATCTTTCAGTCCCTCCCCCACCGTCTATGACTTCCACCACCGGCCAAATATATCCTAGATTTCATATTCTTTTCTATCAAAATAAATTGTAGGCTTAATTAGTGGATTTGGTTCCTTTATTTTTATTCTAATTTACTTCGGTCCTCTTGCTATTTTTATTCTTAGTGCTATCCTTATATCATCCTCTGATAAATTTTCTTGAAATGTCGTTAGCGACAATGATAATTTTGCTTCAATTTTTTTTTTTTAAAGAAAAACTAATGAATTGAATAAGTGAATCCTACAAGTAGATCTCATAAGTTTAATGAATAAAAAATTTTAGAGAATGATTTTAGGAAGAATCTTTTGATAAATTCTCTTATATTTTGCTTTAAAAAAACAAAAAAATCAGTGTTAATTTTATCAATTAATTTTGTATGAATTTTTAGAAAAATCTTACATATCAAATGAGTGAATCTTAATAATAAATTTCACAAGTTAATAGATAAAGAATTTTAGGATGTAATTTTATGAAAACTTGTAATAACACAACTATTATTAAAATCTAATTTTTGTAATCTTCTTTTTTAATTTTTGTGCTTCAGTGTGAAATTCATTCTTACTTATTATTATATATTAATATGAGATTTTTATCAATTATTATTCGTAATACTTGATATGTACTTTTTTTTGTCAGCACTAATGATATTCTCGGATCGATTTTTATGTATCTCAAAATTAATCTTTCTCTAGATGTAATTAAAAGATATTCCTTAAAACACATACTTGGTAGGTACTTTATAAAAAACCAAATGATTATAGAAAAAAGTCAACAGTCAAAGAATGATATTAGAGGAAAAATTAGTATAAGGTTCAAATTGGAAAACATTCATACTAGAGGGACCAAATACACCATTTACCAGGAAAATTGTATGGAGAGGGGAGAGACAGTTCTGTTTGTTCTGTTTTAAAGCTCTCTCTCTCTCTAAAATACTATATTCCAACTTAAACCAATCAAGATTCTTTTTGGTTGTCACTCTCTCTCTCTCGATTGACTCATTTTCAAGCTCTGCCATTATTATGGTTTCTGGGTTTTTGTTAAAAGCTTTAAACTTTGAAGCAAAAACCAGTTAAAAGCTTCAAAGCTTGAAGCAAATACTAGCACCCCACTTCGTAAATTAGTCTCTTTCTTTCGTTGTTTGCTTTATCAAATAGTTTTGAAGAGAAAAGAAAAATGACTGTAGAGCAGGGAATTGGAAATAGCAATATAGACCAGTTTCCTATTGGTATGAGAGTTTTGGCTGTTGATGATGACCCAACTTGTCTTTTACTTCTGGAAACTCTGCTCCGTAGATGCCAGTATAATGGTTTGTCTCTCTTTTTTTATTGTTTCATAGACATGTTCATGTGATTTTGGACATGGGTTTTGGTTTTCATGTTTTGTTGTTAAGGTTTTGATGTTTTAGTTGTTTGTTAGATTTATGTAGTTAGTTTTTTAAAACATGAATGTTTATAAGCTATTGACTTGAATAATCTTTGTTCTTGGTTTTGTTTATCTTTGTTTATTTTAGCAGTTTTATGTAGTTAGTTTTTGTAAATATGAAATCTATGTAAACTGTTGAGTTAAATTAAAGTCTCTTGTTTAGTTTTTGGTTCTTGAGAAAAGAATAAATCTTTATTCTTTGCTTGCTTTGATTCGGTTTGTTACTTTTGATAGATAGTCACTTAGATATGTATCTACTTTAACAAGATTTTATAGGTCACTACTGTTAACATATGTGAATCTTTACTGTCTCTCATGGCATTCTATGGTTTTGGCTACTGGTGTGTTATAATGATTGGAACTGTTGGATCTTCTAAATTGATTGCATATGCCTGTTGGGTTATTAGCTCTTTGGAGTTAGATTTATATAGATTTGTTCTGTGTTTAAGTGTCCGAAAACTTCTGATTTATTGGCATGACACACTTCTGGATCCTTTCTAAATAAACCTAAATTTATTATTGATTTTCTGAGTTTCGGTGATTCTGAATCTTTTTACTGGATAAATCTAGATTAACTATTGATTTTCTATGGTTTAACTGATCTATCTTTTTGTGGAATTCACAATCTGGACTAATACAATATATGGGTTGTGGATTGTGCAGTTACTACGACAAGTCAGGCAATCACAGCATTGCGGATGTTGAGAGAAAACAAGAACAAGTTTGACCTGGTTATCAGTGATGTACATATGCCAGACATGGATGGTTTTAAATTGCTTGAGCTCGTGGGGCTTGAGATGGACCTACCAGTTATCAGTAAGCCAAAAACACTGCACGTGGTTTTTTTCCCTCTGTGTTTCAGTTTGGAAGACTCTAAAGGAAAATGTGTTCTAGATTCTATATGGACTCGTAAACTTCCTAAAAAAATTTGAAAACGATCATTTTCAAGCCATTTCCAGATTTCCTACATCTTTGACAAATTTAAAGTTCACTTTATTAGTCTGATTAAAACTCATTTTGTATTTGACTCCAAGCCGAATATCAGGACCTTGTTCTGTTCATTTTATTAAGTTTGCTTAATGTACTGTTTCATGCTCATAGCATATTATTGTTACATCTTTGCTGCACATGGCTGTCAAATTGGGATTCGATCCTAATCGAATAATCTTGAACTGCAGTGTTGTCAGCAAATGGTGATCCAAAGCTTGTGATGAAGGGGATCACTCATGGAGCTTGTGATTACTTGCTCAAGCCTGTTCGAATTGAGGAGCTAAAGAACATCTGGCAACATGTAATTAGAAGGAAATGTGATAACAAAGACAGAAACAGCTCGGATAACCGAGACAAGAATAATCAAGGAAGTAGTGAAGCAATACCTGACCAGAAGCTTAATAAAAAAGGAAAGACCAGAACGAAGATGAGGACGAGGATCGTGATGAGAATGAACATGAAGATGAGGATCCAACAACCCAAAAGAAGCCCCGGGTTGTATGGTCAGTGGATCTGCATCGCAAGTTTGTCGCAGCCGTTAATCAATTGGGCATTGACAGTATGCTATTTAACTCTTCATCATACTAGAAGTGTCAAAGATGTTTTTCTCAGGATCAATGACACTGGCTTTATTTATTTATTCAACTCGTGCGTGCGTGTGCATATGTTTACTGTTTTTCCTTATTAATATTGGTGACAATATGTGGTTTTTGACATTTCTCTAGTAGGAGAACTTATGTTTCTCCACCAATTAATTTGAGCAAATGCAATCTCACTGGTTAATAATTAATTCGTAGATCTTTTACAGTTGTAGCAAATTCATGCATGTATGAAACCAACCTTTTGTTTTGGAATTTCTGTTGTAATTTTCGTTCATTTTATTTTGATGCAGAGGCTGTTCCAAAGAAGATTCTTGATTTGATGAATGTTGAAAAGCTTACTAGAGAAAATGTGGCAAGCCATCTCCAGGCACACATTCTTATCTCCACGCTTAGTTGAAATTGAACTAATTATTTTTATCCAGAAAACTAACTACACCGTTCTGGTTGCAGAAATATAGACTTTACCTTAAAAGGATCAGCACAGTGGCAAACCAGCAAGCTAATATGGTGGCAGCTTTAGGCAGTTCAGATGCATCATATCTGCAAATGAATTCTATGAATGGACTGGGATTGCACAATTTGGGTGGATCAGGGCAGTTTCACAACACACCTTTCAGATCTCTCCCATCTAGTGGTATGCTTGGTAGGTTGAATTCTCCTGCCGTTCTGGGCATTCGTGGTATTCCTTCTTCTGGAGTGATTCAATTAGGTCATGTACAGACTGCACCCCACTCGGCTCATGGTCTAGGTCACTTCCAACCAGTTGGACACCCTGGAAATAACGGGAATATACTTCAAGGGATGCCAATGTCATTAGAACTTGATCAAATACAGTCTAACAAGGGTGTCAACTACATTAGGGAACTTCCAACTCATCTTGATGATACAGCCAGTTTCCCTGTTTCCAGTGGTTCCACAGATATGAAAATAATTGCTGGAAGCTCAAACAGCCCTTTTGTTGGTGTTTCAAACAAACCCTTGATGTTGGAAGGACATGGTCAGGGGCTCCAAGATGGCCAAAATTTTGGAAAGCAATCGTCTCTTTCAGCAGGCTCCTTAGATCCAGGATATTCTTCCCATTTTCCTGATCACGGTAGATGTAATGACAACTGGTCCAATGCTGTGCAGTCAAATGGGGTGCAATCAAATTCTTTTACCTTAAATGACTGTTTTAAGCAACCTACTCTGCATCCAAGTGCCATCGGAGACAGCATGTCAACACCGGCCTTGCAAAGTAGGAATAATCCTTGTGATGTTTCTTCAATCTCCACTCTGCCAATCCATTTACAGGACTCCAAAGCAGATTTACAATGCCGAGCGGCTACAATGAGCAGTAATGCTGGACCAATAATTAATAATGGCCCTCTAGGGTGGGATGACCATAGACAGAATGATCCTTACAATTCCAATGGCATATCTAACTCAATAAACTCTGCGATACCTCTTAATGGAAATGGGAGTCTCATTGGCCGGAATTTGGATCCAAATAACACGATTTTTCAGAGAACCACAAGCTTCAGTTCAACAGGACAGCCAAATTTTGTTGATACCTCATTGATGAAGCATAATGAGGTTGAAAGTTCAGCCATGGAGACACTAGGGAGGTCAAAGGATGGGTATTTGCTAAACCAACAGAAGCTGCAAGACAGTTATGTTTCGAATAATTTTGGCTCCTTGGAAGACTTGGTGAGCGTAATGGTGAAACAGGCAAGTTCTCCATATCCCTGTGCATTCCAGTTGATATGTCTTTGTTCTCCATATGGGTATAAAATTTGCTTAATATTCTGAGCCTTAACCATTGAATAAGAGAATCTTCTATCGGCAAACAAAGTTTCTTTTCCCTCAATTATCATTTGGCTCTCACTCAGCCAGCAATACACCGATAAACACGTTTCTATTTGTGAATTTTCTCACTATTTCTTCTCACTATCAAATGGATGTTTCAACTGAAACATGATTTAAAGATGGTGTTCCCAATAGGAACCTTCACAATGCAAGTTGATGCCAGTTCTTGTTTCTGTTCTCAATGAGTTTCATATCACTTCAACTTTGAGTCTCTTTGTTTCTTATGATTTTCATGTTCTATGTGGCCATTCATTCTTGGTTAGGAGAATAATTTTGATGTGTGTCTGTCTCTGTGTTTATTGGATGTATCTGCTTGTTGAGTACTATTTTTCAATAAAAGATGAGTCTATTCCTTATAACAAGGAGGGCCCTCCAAATCCCTTGAACTGCATGTCATACCCTTTGATCTGGAGTTATCTTTTAGGATATTCTTTGATAAAAACAGTCTGCCCCCTTGCTATTGAATTTCCCAAAAAGGCAGTCAAAAATCGAGTTGTCATTGCTGCATCAAGTCCAGTTGAAGTATTACAAGTTGACCCTAAAAAATGCTGATAATACCCCTTTCCCACAAATATGCCTGTAATTCTGCAAACAAATCCCCATTTCTTTCCAGTTAATCATCTTACCCGAAATATTTTGAGCAGAAAATTCTAGCAGTTTTCATCCTTCACTATATTTAAGTCGTTAGGATAAATATTTTGTTGTCTTAGATCTCCATGCCATTGTTTTCTTAATCAATGAATCGTTTTCAATTTACCTCCCTTTTCAGCATTTTGTTGTGTTCACTATCTCTTCATCAGCTCTAGTCCTGGGAATTTGATAACGTGGATTTAATGATGCAGGAACAAGACAAGATGAAGTTACCAGAAGGGGACTTTGGCTGCGGTGGTTATTCTCTTAGGACATGCATATAAAGCCAGATTTAAGCTGCCAAGGCCACAAGAGAGAACGAAGGATTTGCAGAAGCATTATGCTTCTTGCAGATGAGTTATTCCTAGTGTAATTGATACTCCATTTATCTATAGATTCCACTTCTAGTTTTCCTTAGAGAGCTGTATGTTAATTACAGTTGTTTTGTCCTTCTCATATTCAGCTGAGTAATTTTCTTTTCTTTTTCTAGTTGATTAAGCAAAGCATTGTAATCTAATAACAATTCCAAGAACTTTGTTTTGAACTAGGGAAATGCCTTGTTCATGGGCCCAGAAGAAGTAGTGTGTCTTGCATTATTGATGACTTTGACATTGTCACAAGACCCCACACTGAAGGAAAGAGCCATAATTCCAACCAAGAAAAGTGGGTTCTTGATTGTCTTTTCCCAAACAACAATTCCACTTAACATTTTACTAGTATCTGTGTTTGGAAAAACTAATCTCTATAACCCATCATTGTAGCATATAATCACCATAATAATCAGTAATCATTTCCTTATAATCTTTTCAGATACCTCCTAAATTTCAATCCCCCCCATCTCCACTCCAAACAAAAAGAAGGTCGATGCTTCAGGTTTATTGCACGTTCATGAGAAAGTAATGAGAAAAGGCATCAAGGGCCTGTGGAAGCAGGCCAATCCTGACATCAATACCTGCAGAGTCGTTTGGATTCTGCATCAAATATGCAACCTGAGGGATTGGAGTAACCAATGGAGATACATAAGCTGCACCTCCATGTAGAAAATCAACCTTGTGGAATGGCATCCTTGTCCAATCAGAAACTATGGTTAGTTCCTTCATCGGAGGGAGAGTGCCCTGTGGCCCATCAAGTGCTTCCATGTATGAAGTCACATAGTCACTGGTTACAGAGTTCTTAGCTTGTTTTATCTTCTCTATTATGGCTTCATGGCTTCCTTCCTCTAATTCTCCAGCTTTTAAAGCAACTGAAATGAGTACATAAGCATTGCCACTGAAACCTTTAGGCAGTGCAGGCGCCATCTTGTTCCTTATGTCCATAGCAAATTGCAAACACACCATTCTTTCCTTCCTCACTCCTAAAGCCGTGGTCCTTGCCTAAATTATTACATGATTTTCAATAGTCAGAATAGTCACAAAACAACATAGAAAACACCAAATAGGCCCCAACATTAGCTGTAAAGCTTATCAGAAACATGGAAGTTTCAAATTAACCCAGATCTCCTCTCTGAATGAGTTAAATACCTTCCCAAATGAATTTACTTCAGCTATTGTAAGGCCAACTTTGATGATGGTTATTTTTTTTTCCTGGTTTTACCTAGCTGCTCATCCAGCTGAAAAGTCATGTAGCTGAGAATTTGGGGAGATAAATGACAAAAATATAATGATGATCAAAACCACTAGATTTAGCTAATAAATAGCTTGTAATTACATTAAGCAACAACTAACCTAAAGTTTCCTCTCGAATTCAGATATATATTCTATAGCTTAATAATGATAATAAAAATAATAAAACAGCAAGAGCAAAACCTAATATATACATCTGGCTATGGAAACAACAAATAATTGGCACCGACAAACAAAAACCCTCTTGTTTTTGGCCAAAGAAGAAAACCACAAGGGCCTACAAATTATTACATGACCTGATCATCCATATGGAGAAACAAATCACATTACAAAAATTATTTTCACTGCACCAACCAGTGAAATAGTTTTGGTTTATATTATTCCGGTCTGTGTAATAATTTTTCGTATATAGGAGAATGATTGTCGTTATGGAATATATGTGGTCTTTCGATTTCAATTAACATGTAATTAACGTAATTAATCACCAACAATCCTCACACGCACAAGTACACACACTTCACTAAGTATTTCTTGTCTTGACCACATCACATGCATGGTGCAAACTTTTGTCTCCTTGTCAGGAGGTCAAGGATCTACCAGAAGTACTGGAATGGTTGTTCTCTTGTTGATTGTTCTATCATAAATATCATGTTCTTTTGGAGATAGAAAGCTTACAAAATAGGGATTAATTTGAGAAAAATGAAGCAATATATGCAAGAAAAAATATTATTACCTTCCATAGGTGAGCTGTGACAACCTCAAAAGATGAGCATGAGAAGCTGCCTCTCCTTTGACTCCATATTTTTCTCTTCAGGTTCTCTATCACTGTACCACTTAGATGGAAAGTCTTTAGAACATAATTTGGGTAGCTCATCGCGCTAGGGTTTTGATCTCCAGCAAGCTTCCCGTGATTTGGATCAGCAACAGCTTGGTGTATCAACTGATACAGATGATCTATGGCTGCAGCCCTCGTTTGGATCTTATGGGGATGAGAATTACCCACCAACAGTAACGACCCTCTTTCATGCACTGGTTTTTGCAGCTCATGGCCACCCTTTACTTTCAGAATAGCAGAATTGGAAGCCCATGCACTGAGAAAATCATGGGTGGCTGGTCCATCAAATAAGGAGTGGCTTGTGCCTATCCCTAACGAATAACCTCCACAACCAAACTTTGTCACCTGCATAACTCAAAATTAATCACTACTTGAAAGAACAAATTAAAAAATTTCATGTTATTCATTTTTCCTTTCTCTTTCTTACTTCAATCCATCTTAATTTCAGCATGTTAAGAAAATAATTTTCTTTTTAGGCCTCTACCTAATAGGTTAGTTAAGTTTTTGAGACGAATGATTCTCCAATATGGTATTAGAAGTATTATTGATCAGGTAGTGAGGAGTTCTTTTCTGAAATCCTCAGTTATTGGAAACTAATTCTTGCCTATGATTGCAAAACTAGAGGCAGACATGGGATTGGCAGAAGCCATGTCAGGGTAATAAACCCTAAAGATTACTCGTATTAGTAGAAAGGGAAAAAATAAACCCTAATGAAGAATTGTGTCAAAACGAGGAATTGACACGTGATATAACCATATGATCAGTCATCATTTGAACCAAAATGGTTGACATGTTCTTACCTGAGCAACAACAAGAGGCATCTCAGAGAAATTCCCATTAAAAACAGGTTTATAAACAAGATTTTCGAAGAACTCATTATACTGAGAGAGGTCTCCAAGCTCTGAGATCTTAACTCGTGTCACTGCCTCAACTAGAACTGCACCTTCATTATTGCACCAGAGATGAAGCTTTCCATCACTTGGATTCAAGCTCAGCCTACCTGCAGCAGTACACCAGATTGACAAGGTCTCTTCCAAGCCAGATTTCAAGCTACTAAAAACCGAATTCACTGACAAACTATTGTAAGCAGGAGATGGTTTGTAAAAGAAAACTAAGTACATGAGTAGAGGACACTGCCGGTCCAAATTGGACAGGTTGATGATTTTGTGGGGGTGCAAAGTTTTTGGATACACAGACACCCTCTTTGTAATAGAAACTGTTGGTGTATAGTTTTTATCATGTTGAGTGGCCATGAAAAAAGTAATAACTTGCTAGCTGGGCAAATGTCACAAAACTTAATGTGATTTGAGAGAAGAGAGAAGGGTTTGTAAATATAGAGAGAAAGAAGCTTAGCTTGCCAAGCTAAGCTGAGCTCAATAGATTCCTAGGAGCTAACCTAAGTCTCTTTATGGATTTATTTATAATGTTTGTGGTTAGAGAATGATTTGTCATTAGTTAAATAATGTTTTGCATGGTACTGTTTTATGTTTGAAAAGAACTAAGGTAAATTAGCCGTCTGTATTATCTGGCTCGCACTGGTTGACTGTGACAAAGACCCACTACCTGTCTCTAATGGCTGAACTCCAAGATCAACATCCATGTATGGGTCCAACATGTCCGTTTTTTGGGACCTTCCATGAACATCTAAATCTGCAAGTCCGGATTTCAGGTTTGCCATTCAATTTTTTTTAATCCAATTTATACATGCGATGTTGATTTTTCTACTTCTAGCTATTATAAAAGCTTTAGCAACCCTATATATATTGAGTTTTTTATCTTTTCTTTTTCACAATCATTCAAGTGAGTTTTGAATCTTATACACATAGAAATTAATGTCATATATATTTATAATAATATCATAGATAAAGATATATATATATATATATATATATATATATATATATAGATATATATTATGATTTAGTATCCGCATACACGAAAACTGGGTTCGTAACTATAAAACAAAAACTAAAAGATTGCATGTATGGATATATATGATAGGCCAAAGGAGAAATTCTTAAATTAATGAGTCTGTATACAACGTATCAATAACATTATCTTAGCTAATGTTTGTGTGTCCTTAACACTCCAGCATCAATCTCTTTCGTATATGAGTCATTAGTCCCATATGCGAAAGAATGGGGATTTTATGTCTGGAAATATATATTTATATGCCCTTTTTTTTCTTTTTTTTTTCTTTTTTGGGGTAGATATTGTCGGAGGCTTAACCTAAAGGAGCCATAAACTGTAAGAAGCTGATGCACAGAGGATTATACTGTTTTCAATTGACTCAACCTACTATGGTGATTTTGGTAAAAGTGGGATCTTTTACCATTTCCCATGAAGAGGATAATTGAGAAATACAGATAGAGAAGAGGTCCAAATTCCATAAAAATTTTCTTGTTGGTCGGTTTCATAATTCAGCCATAGATTATATACTTTGTTTGGCCTTGCAGTTGCTTGTTATGTGATGGGAAAGAAAACATCTCTTTTTGCTACAAAAGCATTAATATTTCCCCTTGAGCCAAAAGTAGAGAGTTGTTCGAGTCTTGTTGGAAAAACAGGTTGGCATGTCTCAATAGCTCCCAATAGAGAGAGTAGAGAAGTAGTTTCTAGCGAAAAGCATGCGTGCATTTGAAGTCCAGACTTGTCTCTTTGTCTCCACTTTCCCAGCATTTGCCTTATATCCTGCAGCTACCTCAGCTCTTTCTTTCACTCCTTTTTCTCTACCTCTCTCCACCCCTTTTCTGATCTTGATCATCATGATCATATATGACCTTCCCTCATCCACTCTTTAATTTCCCTTAACATTATTTCTTTACTTTATAATTAGCATGCTTCTTCTCTTTATGATATGATCTATATATATTAGATTGGCATTGATTCTCACTGCAGGAATGTATTCTTTCCCTATAGTGCTTGCAGCTTTATGCATTGATATATAGTAAACTATTTACAAACTGATATCCACCTCTATATGTGAATTTTCAACTTTGCATGTCAAGATCATGCTTTGGTCTATACATCATGGACGCCTTAATATTCAAGCTTTACGAATACATATAATTACCAAAATTAATTGTCATTCCATTAATATTTAAGGTTTATTACTATGTACATTTCTTTCTTTCTTTCTTTCTTTATGAACTAGTTCGATTGTGGACATGCGTTTGGATTCAAACTTGACTGCAGCGAGATTAGTATTCACATGTCAAACTAGCTAACCTAACCGATTGACTATAGTCGCCAACCATCTACATTGAAAAAGTCGTGAATTGGGTGTTTGAAATGGAACGTGAATGGTCTGGTATTGGTGGGGTTCTCGGGGATCATGAAGGAAAATTCTTACGTATTTTCTCATTTCTAACTAGTATTAAAGATTCCAATAAGACCGAAGTTCTAGCTTTCTTATGATAAAGTCTTGGAGATAAGTTCATCCCATCATCTTTTTTATGAGATGAATTGAATCATAGAAACTGACTCAACGAATGCAATTCTTTAAGTTCATCAAAATGCTGATAAGAGGCTATGAAAAATGCACTTTATAAACATCGATTCTTCTATTTGTAATTTGAAGTCAATTAGTTTTAGTAGAATTAATAAAAATTATAACATAGTTGCTGATAGTTTGGCTTAGAAAGAAGTGGATAGACATGAAGGTTATCTTATTAATTTAGCTACAGTCCAATTTTATCTGCTTTGTATTTTCTTTTTTGTCATCGATTATATAACTTTCTTTATAATGTAAATCGATTTTCAACCAAAAAATAAATAGCTAACCTAAAAATACCCTTATCGTTTAAAAAATCAAAACTTCTCAAAAAAAAAAAAAAAATTAAATCACGAAAATTGTCTTTAATAAATATATTTATATAATTAATTAAGGAGATGCTAAGTAAGAACATAAGATTTTATTCCTTGTTCATAAATCTAGGAATCATTTGGTATTTGTATTATAGCAAATAAATATATATATATATATATATATATATATGACATTTTGCATGGATGTTTGTTGGAAACCATTTCAATTAAAATTAAATTAATTGACGTGTGTGTGTTATTATTATTATTTGGTAGATTGGCCTATATGTTTCTATGTTAATTATTATATATATATGAAAATCAGTGGTGAGCTAGTATCAAGATTTGCACCTAAAAGCCTCTTCAGTCCAGGGTGTTTACAGACCAAATTTGTCACATACCAAGAATTTAAGTAATAAAAATGGGTTCAAGATTACCAGAATCTACTTGTTTTCAATTTTAATATTTTTATTAAATAAACGAAAATTTCATAATTTTCCTAATTAATATATATGTATACGAGTACGACTATAGTAAAGTATATTTTCATTTCATGTCAGGCATGACATATAAAAGAAACATATCACCTTTTCTTCCATACGGTTGAAGTTCGAATTAGGGTAAGATTTGTTGATGACACGTAAACAAGAAGCATAATTAATTAGTGGTGTGCCTCCAATTTGAGATTATCCCTTCAAGCTACTCAAAGGTACAAATTTATGCTTTTTTTCATTGCAACCACTAGGCAGTAGTAGCTAGGGTTTTTGTATTTGCAGCTAAGTGAGACTTTGAAGGGATGCATACATGACCCACAAATGACCATAGGAGTTCTTTTAAATGGTGAAAGGTGAGCATTCTACTTTTTAAAGTAGGTTGAAGATGAACCTATCCTTTTGTTTGTCTTTACTAAAGGATAAGAAGGAAACATATGCATGAGGACTCGTGAAATAATACAAGCACTACACCAAAAAAAGGTATTGTAGGCGGTTTTTTTTCCTTTTAGAGACGGTTATAACTCGCCTCTAAAAATTGTAGGGGTGGTTTTTTAAACCGCCTCAAAACCGCCTGCAATGTCGTCGTCTTTACGGTGTAGAGGCGGTTTTGTCAACCGTCGGGGTTGGTTGAGGCGGTTTGAACCGTCTTAAATTTTTTTTTTTTGAGGCGGTTCGGACCACCTCTACGATGTCAATTTTATCTTTTATGATTTTTTAGCACCTAATTTTTTAGGCGGTTTAGAACCGCCTCTATTCTCCCGTATTAGTTTTTTAAATTTTACACGAAATATTTGAGGCGGTTGCAACCGCCGCTAGGCTAAAAATTTATAAGGGCGGTTGTTGTGGAATTTATAGAGGCGATTGTAACCGCCTCGAATTTTAGAATTTATAAAGGCTTAACTCGCCTTTTAGCATTATAGTTTTATTTCGCCTCCAAATTCAATTATTTTCTTTTTCTTTGTCAAAAAAAAAAAAATTAAAAAAAAAGTTAATCTTATGGAATGCAAATAAAATAAAAATTTTACAAATTACACAATATTCTTAAATTTGTAATTATCAAATTCTAAATATATAAAAAGTCTTCAAACATCCACAAGTAGAAAAAAAAACACCAAAGGATTAAACACGTATTCGAAATAAATAAAACAAATTCCCAATATATTTTAAAATAAGTGGCTAATGCTTACAAAAAACCAACTCTCATGTTTTTATAAAAAATGTTTCATTTCGGCGAGATGACTTGATTATTATGAACGATTAGCGACGAAGGAGCATTTTGACCATTACCATCATTGCGAACCTATGAAAAATACAATTTGAAAGTGAAAAAAAAATATAAATACATATAAAAACTCATAAAAATATTTTAAGATCAAGAAACATGTTAAATATTTAATTAAAAATATATGATACCCGAGTAGGATTCAACAAAATAAGCATCAAATTTTGATGAATATATCTCTCTGCAATGAAAGCGATCACAACAATTAATGTTGCATTTACTATTAAAAAAAATACAAGATCTCTTCATTACACAACTTATGTGTAAAAAAACTCTATTTATGCTGATCGAAATGATACCGATCTAGTACCTAATGGCATGGATCAAAAGGGCCAATCCGAATCCTACGACTAGGTCTTAGAGCAACTACTATGACTTTCAAGCCAATTTATGGCTTCTCACCTTATACCACGAAGGTTTCGGGATAGCTTTTCTTCATTAATTAGGGAGACCAATTGAGTAATACAACCAATTTCCTCATAATGACTTGCAAAGTAAGTAAACCAATTCAATTCTAATTTACGCGACTTACGGGAAGATCGGCCTTGTTTTGGCTCTCCATCCGTAATATATATTGTCAAGCTCGCTCTCTTAAATGGGAGGAAGAGATTAGAGGGTAAGGAGAGAAAAGAAGCTGATCGGTAGAGAGCTCGCAAAAAATGGATGGGACTTAAATAGACTCGTGCTAGCTTGGTCAAGTAGGAAAACAAATACGAAAGAGAAAGAATTAAATAATACTCCTATATATTTGGCATTGCTAGTGGGAAAGAAGTTTAGTGCTTTTCTCGGTTTATTACCACATAGAGCCATGGTGAATCATAACAAAAATGGAAGTAGAAGAAAATTTGCACGGATTATTTATGACTTACAAGTCCAAAGAAAACGTTAAAAGTCGTAATCATTCTAAGAGGGTAAAAAAGTAAGGGAAATTCTCCAAGAGCCAATAAAATAATGCAATATTTTAGTGAAGTATACCTCATCTAGAATATAAAGTGGAGCTAGCTTGAAGAGTAGCAATGCCAAGATTAGAGATAGAGCAAGCAGAGAGCGTTGGCCACCACTTAGTTCCGATAACGACTATTTCCGGACACTTCCAAATGCAACACAAACCTCAAGACCATCTAGGAAACTACAACCATCATAAGGTTCTAGCTTTGCCATGGTGCCCCGCAATAGGGTGGAAAAGATAGATCCAAAGTCATTGAAAAATATTAAAAAAATTTAAGCATGTGTATGGCCATATTTCGTAAAATCCAAAATCAGAACATCCATCACAAAAAATGAAAACAATAAATGCTGGTATAAAATTAAAACACCAAATGGAAGCAGGAAATTTTGCATTGAGAAAATAAACTCACTTGTTTACTTTAACCCATGTAACTTTGAGTCTCTTTCTTCTTCTCGTCTAGATCTTTAATCACCTTATTGATTTTAGACTTATCATTCGGTAAACACAAAATTAGCACAAGTATAGAAAAGTAAAGGTACAATAATGTTTGTATATTCGGGGTAAATAACCTCAATGCTGCTTTTCTTTGACATCAAATCATTGTACTCATCTTTTGCTTTTTCAAACATTGCCATAACTTTCTTATTCACCCTTTTCTCAAGCCTATATCACAATGGGAAAAAAAAACAAAAAGATCAACTCTAGTCTGCAGATGATAATAGCAATGTGACACGGAATCAAGAGGATCAAGGTCTCGGTCTAAGCAAAAATGTTCTTGAGAAACAAAAAGATAACAATAGCGAGAGTAATACTACAATAGTAACTAGAGAAATAATCATAAATTGAAAACTTTGTGAGTTACGGACCACTAATTGCTCCGCTTGCAATTCCTCGAGTGTGTGGTTCATTGTGTGAAAAACTCTTCAATAATACTGTAAATGCAAGCCTTTCTCTTGCAAAATATTAAATTAATATTTTGCAAAGAAGAAAGAAAGAAAACTTGTGCGATATCACCATTACAACTTTAATAAATTTGCCATTTAATATCATGATTTGGACTAGATCCCGTCATCTACTTGTACTTTTCTTACTCGCTCTTTATGGTCGACATGGCCGCATTTGGAATGAGGATTTAATCCATGATCAATCCATGTTCCACCACCTTGCTTCAAATCTTTCCCATTTTCCCCTTTTCCTCGGACATGATTGAAGCACTAGGAATTTATTACAAATGATGGTAACTTTACAAATGAGTTATAGCAAGTTTTTGCATTTCCATAACACTTAAGTTCCGGGGATGTTTTTGTTACCCAACAAATTTTGAAAAGCCAAACACAAGTCCGAGTTTTTCATAAGGTAAATTTTGTCATCTATTAAACCTGTCGACTAATTCATAAATAAACATTTTTCTTTCTTTTAAAAAGTGACATGTAAATTAAAAAACATAAGGAAAATACAAGTTAAACAGAGTGACAAAAAGACAAGCATCCGTCTTACCGAAATAACTCAAATAGGTGGAACATCGGAAGATGACTACAAGAAGTAGAGTAAGAATTAAAAAAGGTTCAATCACAACACTAAATTGCAGATGAATTTTATGGACAAGTTCTAACATAAAACACTTGTATACATGCATATGTGTCAAAAGCGTACAAGAGAGTAAAACCTAAATAGCTGAAATATTGATGGCGCCATCAATAACTCCGAGTCGAAGTGCTATGCCCTAGAACAAAAGATAAACATTCCAGTGATAATTAATTGAATTTGGCCACATACCTTGATTGGAGTTCATAACTTCTTCTTGCATATTTTATCATAGTTTTGCTTCTTTGTTGCCGCTTTCGGACCTTGCCATGGAAGGCTAAATGTAGAAACCAATTATCGGATAGTCAAAACACCAACTAATCATCATATCATCTTGTTAAAACATCACACCGCCTCCAAAATTTGCATGGTGTTAAAAGGAAAAAACAGAGTAAACCCGTAACTCCCTAAAAAAAAATTTCTCTACATAGGTAGTGGTAGCATACCTTCCTCTAAAAAATATAAAAGAATGTAGCCAATAGACTCCAAATCATCCCGACGACTTTGCTCCGAGTAGAAAGTAAAAGCTAAGCATACAACAAAAGGTTTATTTGATTTATCAAACACACTAGCAAAACATGTCTTAACTTACCAATTCCTAGATGAGTATTGCAACTTACATACCGTGCAGTTCTCGTTAAGTTTTTTTCTCTCTTTTTGAGGGGTGAAAGGGAAGGAAAAAAGAGTCTTAGTCAATCATGGTAGACAAATAAAGATTCATGGGAAAGGGAATGCACATTGTCAACAAACGAAAACAAACATGTTACATCCCAACGAGTTTTACCATAAAAACCTCGGTGGTTTTCTAACTACCAACATATCACAACATTATTGCCGGAAAAAGTTCTTCATACATTTGTTCATATCACGATGCTAAACAAAATAAAAGACACTTTAGGAATAACAATAAGTGGAGGAGGACGAAGCGAGAGGAGAAGAATGAAGAAGCGAGAGGAGAAGAAAAACCCTAAGAGGAAAGGGATAATGAAGCGTTCTTACCCTTTTATAACCAAAAAAAAAAAAGGAAAAAAAGAAAGAAGAAGCAAAGCGAAGACGGAAGAAGTAGAGGAGAAGAACAGGTGAAGAAGGAAAACTCTCAATAATAATGAAGTTTGCCCTTTTAGAACCAAAAAAATTAAAAATGAAGAAGCAAAGAAGATGAAGGAAGACACGGATCTAAGAGACTAAGCATAGGAAGAAGCTGGAAAACCCTAAGAAAAGAGGGAAAATGAAGCGCCCTTCGATCCCTTTCGAACCAAAAAAGAAAATAATATCGCTCATCTCCTTAAAACTTGAGGCGGTTTTGTAAACCGCCTCATATTTGTCCAATAGAAATGTAAATGCTAAAAAATTTGAGGCGGTTACGTAAACCGCCTCAACCAAACTCGCCTTTATCCCTTAATTTTGTTGTAGTGAAGGTAGTGTTCTAAATAGTTTATTTTGACAAAAAAACTTCTTGTGAATGCCTAATCTAAGTCTATTGAAAAGCCAACCAACCGAAGAGAAAATTCATCTCGGTGTAGGAAAGTTGGATTGCAATGATATATATATATATATATATATATATATATATATATATATACGTTAGAGATAACAAATAGATTAGATATAAAGTGGGTACCTACTCTATCTAATCCAATAAATACTCATTAAAAATTTTCAATGGATAATGATAAAAAAAATTCATACTCGCTAATATCATTTTAGAATATAGGTACCTACTTTTTACGTTACTAATATCCATTAATATATTTTAAAAAATAAAATAAATGTCGAAACCTAATTGCATAATTTTATAAAATAAGGATCAAAATATTTATATAAAAAATTTTAATTAGGACAAAAAAAACTAATAAATAAAGAACCAAATTGCAAAAATAATCATTTTAAAGACCAACATATTTAAAAAAAAAAATTAAAAGAACAAAATGAAATATTTTGACAAATCATTCATCGGTAATTTATTTTAGACTAAGTATAAGTTAATAAGATCATTTATTCATGAATATGGATAAAATATTTTCCTCATAGGTCCGGTAAAAAAAATTGTATTAATGACACGGAGTATCCAACCGACAATAATCATTTATAGTTTGGTTTAACCGATAACGAAAAAGGTCACTTTTATAGAGTAATGAGATATTTGTGAGTCCTTTTTAATCTTCATGTGTAGGTAGTCCTCCACCAATTAAAACGAATTGTGTCAGGTTGAACCAGTTGTTGAGCTGATGAAATCCCATCTTGTTATTTTATTTATTTATTTTTTTTTTTGGAAAAAAAACTCCATGTCTAATAGCTTATAAGAATTAAATTGCACAAACTACCCAAGGGTAGGATTTGCATCCAAAATCTTCACGTATCTTAAGCTCATGACCCCTTGTGCCAACCATGGCACATGGTATGGAATTGCTACTTGTTTAGAGAGAGTGAGAAAATGGCATTCAAAGAGCTTTTCATTTGAAAGTAGCAAAGACTGATAGTACTTCATCCCAAAACAGCACAAGTAGAAAAGACTGGCATTTGATAATCCTTTCTATAACGTAATGATGCACCACTCCCACCTTTTTCAAGTCTAGCTCCAAGGAATGGCTTCCTTTCTTGTACTGTACTGGGAATAATCGCGGAGATAGCATGAAACTCTTTCATTTCAGGCTAGTTTAAGTGATCTAGTCTCTTTGAAAGAAGGTTTGCATTTCACTGCTTTAGTAGAAATGGTGCTCTCCTCCAAAGATAGGAACTTTATTTGCTGGGAGAAGCCTGACTTTGCTCTCAACAAGCTTGAAGCAGGAAAGAAACCCTGCTATTAGTTAATAACAGGTGTACCTGAGCTCTAGGGATGAGAAAGCAATTACCTTGCATCACCTTGAAGCTTGAAGGTGTAGGAAAGTAGCAGGCTAGGCATTAAGAAAAGGCAATGACATTAAATGTCTACCAGAAGGCTGAAATCTAGTGGTTCGTAATAAGCTGCATTAACTGCATTGGTGGCCACAAAGTGCATGAAATCTCAAGCAATATCAAGATTTGCTAATTATTCAGAAATGCTGGATGTTTTTTGCAAATTAACTGCATGATTTAAAAAAAGTACTTTTAAGAGTTGCAGTTTAACTCATACTTATTTTTCCTAAAGCCTGTAAAACTAGTTTGTTACAGCTACAAGGAACATGAAAAGATTACAGGTATTCAATTTGTATGTATCAATCTAAAACGATTACCCCAGAACCAGATTTCTCTGCGGTTTCATTCTCATTTGGTACAGTATCACCATTGATGCCAGCATCATCATTCATATCGAACATTTCTGCATCCTTTTCAGCTGTCCCTGGTGAACAGATAGGGTCTTTTGGAGGCGTAACCGGGTCTGCAGAATGTGGTGCTTCTTCATCCGATGATGCAATGGTTTCTTGCAATTTTGGCTCTGTTGTTGCATCTTTCATCTCAACGTCTTCTGTAGCAGCAGCATTGTTGTCACTCTCCTTTTGCTGGTCAGATTGTGAATGAAGTTCTGCCTGACTACTCTGTGATTCAGCCTGCACATGTTTGTTCGAATCCAGAGTACCCTGTTCAGAAGTAGGAGATTTCTGCTGTAAAGGAGAGAGAATTTGGTTCATCTGTTCATCGATCCTCTCTAATGGCTGAAGGTCCTGTCTCAACTTGAGACTTGCGGTTTGGTTGGTTAAGGATATCTGAATTGATTCATCAACATTTTCCTCCAAAACCGTGCACATCTGCCAGGACAATCAGAAAATACAATGCGTTAAATCCCCACATCCCTTTGGCTCAACCACCACCCCTAGTGTGTGTGTGTTGTGCATCCAATTTTCATCTTAAGTGTTTCCTATCTGATACATGATACCCATTGAACCTAACATGACGAATACAAATGAATTAGCAGAAGATCTACCTTGTTGTAAAGCTCAGCCAATGCCAATCTATCAGGATTGTCATCATAAGCAGCAGCTGCAATTTCTTCTGATGCTGCATGGAAAGCATATTGGTCATCCATGAAATGTTTATAATTAATCAAACTGATGTCACCGATAATCTGATTCAAATGTTGATACTTAATCAGGATGTTGTTTATATAATATCATTCAAATGTTTTGCCACTCCATCCCGTAATGATAATCATTAATAATGAACTCCCCTTCACAAATCTCTCAATTTCTTTTTTCAGCAATCCCTAATTTGGTAATCTGCAGAGCGATAATGTATAAACAAACAATAAACTGACCAATTGGTTCCATTCGAGGCAACTGGTCAATCATTTGAGCATTGACCTCTATGGAGCCTAAACTTGAGCTGTCAGCAGTCTTTGTTTCACCATCAGCCTCTTCACTTGTAATATCATTTTGTTTTATATCACCACCCTGTGAGCACAAACAAGGAGGTAAAGGAACTTGTGGGTCTAGAATCAACTCAAGTATCATATCATTACAAGCACCTGCTACACAATTCTACTGTACTACACGCTCTTCCTCATGAAAATGCTATAAAATAGTGAATATCGTATGTCCTATACCAAGAGTGCAAGGATTTGACTGGCTCTAGAAATATAAGGCTGTGTGGATCAAGACAGAGAATTTCCATAACTCCATCAAAATAATTTCACAGAAAGAGCAAGTCTTCAATGAAAAAGAAAGAAGAAGATTTCGTTTGTCGTTAATACTGCTGCTACGTGTTGCACATTCAATTGACTAAATAACTCCCTAAATCTAATCGGTAACAGTGGATAAGTAAATACCCAGCAGTGGTCCTCCTCAAAACCAAACTCTTCCTGGAGTTATGATGTTCTAGCCTACAATTAGCTATTCTTTTTCCTAGTATATGAAATGTTGCAATTCAAATTAGATTTCCTTAAAATTGCTTGCATCAGAAATTTTAATTATTTGAATTTAAAGCTATCTGAAAATGTGAAAATAGTCATTGTACAGGAAATAAAGAAAATGATAACTACTTACAAAGTATACTTTCTGGTACTCCGCATTGAGTCCTCTCTCCAAAAGAAGCACTCTTTTCTTAATGAACTCTACCTGTCGTCTCTGCATATCTCTGAAATGAAATAATATAGATGAATCTTGATATAACTGCGCTTGGTTTGCAGCATCAGTTGTCCCCTGAGCACCATCAGCTGCTACATCATTTCCACTACCATTTGCTTGTGTCTGGGTGCTAGGAACTTCTGCATTAGCCACGTTAGAAGTAGAACCATTTTGTGCTTGAATACCACCTTGTCCAAGGACAGGTAGTCTTATAATAGGGAGATTCAACTCTTTACAGATGATCTCTTGAACCTTCAAGTCCTTGTCATCAACAATAGCTTGCCATCTTCCATACCCATGCCTTGAATTTGAAAGTAGATGGTGAGCAAAAACAAATAAATTAAGAATATATTAAGCATGCAAATCTGGTTCAACTAAAAGAGAGAAAGCACTTGTGTTTCAGCTTAGTGAAGCATCTTTGCACCCATTTCCAAGGCCAAATGTGCAACAAATATTCATATTTTTGACAATTTAAAAGTTTTGATGGAGGTATTTGAATATTTAACTTTCAACATCCTGTTTATGTAAGAGACGCATGGCTACAGATTAGACTGTACCTCAGGTACCCCAAACCCTATGCATCACTCTCACCAAGGTCAAGTCTATTTGGAGTTTAGGTGCTGCCTGTCCTATGAGTGCTTGGATTTTTTATTTTTCTATGCAATAATATCCAATTTATTTTTCCATAAGCAGCAATATATTAAATATGTTAATTCCAAGGTGTGGACAGGACGGGCAGCACATAAATTCCAATCAACTTGACATTTGATGCGAGTGATGATGGAAAGGCACACTGACAAAAGTAGGAACCCTGATTTAGGCATTGTCTAGATGCAATCTCAACTACAAACACACACATATTGAGAATGTATACTAATTCATTCAACCTCCGAAGCAATGTCCCCGGCATAATATTCTATCAAGATATCCTTAAACTCCCAATGGTGAATCCCGTAATGGTTGTTAGGTAGCATTTTCTGCATATTAAAGACTATCCTACCAAGACAAATCCATTTCTGAAACATATTCAACTGACTTGAGCATATCTGATCATATCCTGAAACATACAAGGCAACTAGAGTGCGAGTAACGCAGACAACAAAGGAAGCAAAGCTTGTATCTTCTTGTAGACAAGGGTATTTCTGAGAAATCTGGAAATTTGTCCAAGCCTAGGTTTTATTTTCTATTTAGTATTTTATTAGTCCTAAGGAGTAATTAGCTTATTAGGACTTTTTCCTACTCTACAGACTTAGTATTTATTAGGATTTTTTCCTATTCCACATAGACCTAGTATTTTCTTATCTAGGAATCCAAGTCCTTATTGAATTCGGACTACTAGAACTCTATAAATAAGCATGTAGTCTTTCAATAATTTGGGAATGACTGTTTATGAATAAAATTCCAGCAATTTGCTTTTGATTGTGTGACTCAATCTCCCTTAAGTGTGACTCCTAAGAACCCTAGGCATGAAGCTTAGGTTTTTCTATCCTCCAGGTGTGACTCTATTAGTTCTATAATTCCCAGCAGAAATCCACATCAATACAGGCCTAAACAGCTCTAATCTCAGATCCAGAACAGCCCTCAAATCTGTCCTGCATCAACGAGTGAAAGTCCTAAAATGGGTTAGACAATGCTCATCATATTCCCTCTTCAAATCTTTAATTTGTATAAGAAACTTAAGTCCTGGTGAGTGCACAATCACATACATTGGGAGATACAGCACTTAAGCAAACTCAACCCAAATTAACAAAGCCTCAGCACAAAACAAGTTGGGGTTGATCTATTTATAGGCAAACAAAGGCAAAATGCATACGAAATGCATCACATATAAATATTTCAACAGAAAAAAGTGATATGACAGACAGTAATGAGAAGGCATACTTCAATACTGCATGAAGCAACAAGGAATCATGCTCTTGTTTCCAAAATTTTCCACTCTTCAGGCCTGGGTAGCGCAGTATAATGTCATCTGCAAAAAGGGGGCTACCTGGGTTCTCTGATGCAAACCTCGCCTATCATTCCAAAAACACATCAAAACATCCAATAATAGAATCATTTGACTAGCATAAATTAAAGAAACAAGAATTTTGACTTGCAGACTCACCTTATCCCTTATCAAAAGCAGGACGGCAATCCTAACGAGTACATCTGGTATTCTAAGACCCTCTTTAGGAACACCATCTACAATCAAGATCATAGATATTGAACAAAGCAAACATAGCACATTTACAACACAAAAGATATGCATATTAAAACCTCCTATGAAGATCAATTACCTGAAAAATTTGGTGAGTCAGTCAGATCTTCCGCTATGTGAGTCAAGAATAATCTCCCATAACTGAAATCACGGGGAAGGAATACCATATATGAAAACAACAATAAACTAGTACGTGAAGTATTAAAGTTGGCCTAAAAAAAGAAAAAATAATTCAATAGTTAGCATTAAGCAATGACTAGGGTTGCTCATAAATGGTATGTAGGAAATAAATTGTGGATTGACAAGATAGAGCTCTAAAATGTATGCATAGTAATTGCATACTCTGAGAAACGAGCTTCCTAGATATGCATGAAGTTTAAGAAAATATACACTTCAATAGCTTCCAAATGAAATCGTTCTTGTTGCCTTGAAACTAAACAAGTGTATCTTCTAGCAACTATGAGTGCATGCATACAAATGTCTACCAATCCAAACCAAAAAATAAAATTCAATAAGCAGGCACGATGTGAGTCATGTGACAAAGATGATGGTATTATTACAGTTCTAGAACATTAAGTTGCTATAAATCCCTAGCAGATATTTAACCAATAAAAAGTAAAGCTGATGTTCAGTACTCTGTTATTTCTTCATATGTCTTCTGTTTCAAACGAGGGGCAAACTCCTTCCAGTCATAGTCCCCAACCCCAAACCTGCAATATAAAATTTATGTGAATGCCAGTACAGACACATTCAAAAATTTCATAACCACAGGAACATAACTCTTCTTTCCTTGATGTAAGATCTAACCTCATCAAAATTTGTACAAATGCAGCCCTCTGATTTTGATTAAAACCCAATACTCTGAATGATCTTCCTTCACCTTCCATCAGAGGAATTGGTTCCATATTATCCACTGCAAACCAAAATCAGAATAACATCAATTTCTTATCGGCAATTCATTAGAAACAAAATAGGAAGGAAAAAAGAAAAACCTACCTCGAGCTTTCTTCTTATAAGGCCTTCTTCCTGTCTGAATTCCAGATGAAGTTGTTTCACCATCAGTCAACTCAGCTTCATAATTATCATCCTCCCCATCAGAGCTTACATCTTCTAGACCAGCAAGGTCATCTTCTTCAACAGAGACCATCTGAATCAATTGAAAATAAACCAGTCAATCTCATTTACAAAGTCTTAAGAATATAAGTGCTCTGTACTTTTCAAAGATGCCAAAATATATGAGCAAGTTAACATGTTTAAGCCTACAAACGCTTCTTTTTCAAAATTGGCTACAGAATACCAAAAAAAAGATCCCTACAAGTCATCATCTTAAAAAGAAGAAATCTCTTACAGCCTAATTGGAAAATAAGATATGGAGTTAATATCAATTCAATTCTATTCCAAAACTTAATTCTTGTGCTTGGAAGGCTGGATTTGTTAAAACATTTAATTCTACACCCTACTACCATTTGAAATCTGACCCAAAAGAATCCAATACTTTTGCATGATGGGTCCCACATCACGCAACGGTTACATATTCATTCACAAAGAAAGGTTTTTTTGCAAGTTTACATGTTTGCCCTTTACTGCTAACGGAAAAAAAAATGACAAAGAAAGGCACAAAAATGAAATTTTGAACTCCCACTAAAAGACAAAATTTACTTGAATCAAACTCAATTCCACCTGTACAAAAATTTATACCAAAGACATGCTTTATTTTTTAATAGATTTGAATTTAATTTTTTACCGAATTGGTACAATACTGGCTGTAAGTGAAAAATAACATACAATCTCATACCAAGTAAATTTAAATTCTTGACGATAACGAGCAAATTTGTTTTACCAAATATGATAGAAAGAGAATACAATAATACCTGCTTACGGCTTCTCTTTCCTTTGCCCAAGGCATTAAACTCCTCAACTTTGTGCACTTCATAACTGTCTTTTAGCAACTCTTCCCAATAGTTTGTTCTTTCAGAATTGGTTACGGTGGATTTAGTTTCCATGGCTGCCTTTTGAGCTTCCTCCTCTGCTGCAGCCTCTACTTCCTCAATATACTCAAAATTGGCAACCTAAAACACACAACATTGTTTTCCAATCACAAAATTCAGATAATTGTAAATCAGGAATCAAAAAGCACAGAACACAGGAATACAGAGTTGGTTCAGTTCTATGAAAAAGTTGTAATTGTTATTACAGATACAATCTTCAATACAATATTGAGAGAGAGGATCTAGAAAAGAAAAGATTTGCCAAAAGGATCTGATTCTTATGCAGTCCTACTGCATCGAGAGACCCTTGCCATTGGGCCTCAATGATCTACCAAAATTTCTTAAATGAAACTAGAAAACATTCACAATGTTCCCCCTGCCTAATATCTGTGTATATAAGGAATGACGCTGCCAAAAACTGCAGCCCTACAAGACTAAACCCCATGGAAATAATTTCCACAATCAAGAGCTTTCTCAATATGGTTCAGACCTTGCTCCGAAAGGAACACCAAATTTCCTAAAGGTCTTACAACAAAACTCTTAAGTGATGCAAATGCAGATTTGAAATCAAAACTCGATTAATATGAATTGAAATCAAAACTCGATTAATATGAAATCCACTAACCCCAATAACTAATTACGATTTCAGCTACAGTGAGATAAATTCCAGACACACAGGGGGAGAGAGAGAGAGACGGAGAGGGAGAGCGAAGGGGAAGGAGAAGGAGAGAGGAGAGCCAGTGAATTTATGTCTGCTTTTTCTTATTGAAAGATGTAACAGGTCATAAATATTTTGAGAATGTTTAGATTTGATTTTGATTTACTGCACCAATTCTTCTTACAATTTGGCAAGTTTTAATCAAAAAGACTCCATATATGGTAATAATACGCCGATGATAAGTACCACAGATATAGCCAGAACAGAGTATCTGCAGAGAGGGAAATCATAAACGATGTATTTTATAGACCATGATTTTAATCTTAATTGCCACATGGTCATTAAAAGCATAATATAAGCCCTTTTTGTTCTTTTTGAATCTTGGTGAAGAGGCATCCCAGGCTCTTTGAGCATTCAATGAGACCCAGAAACATTTAACTGACAGATGGAACAACCGACTAACAACCAGGAAAAATCCTTGGGGCTGGCCACCAAAGGGGTTGCAGTGAGTTCAACTCTATAGTAAACAGAATATTTACTTAGAACAAGTAGATAATATAAGGATAAGTTGGTTTATGTGACAAGGAACAGTGATCACTAGAGTACATCCTAAATTTACTTGTCAGGCTCAACATGGAATAAATAAGACTTGAAATTTTACAAATCTAAATCACAATGCTAGTGAAGGATAAACAGTACCAAAAAAAACCTGAAGTGACCATATAGATGAATGTGAGGCAAGTACATAAAAGAGTCCATTAATCATTGTTGGATAACTAGAAAGGATGACTTGGTGAACGCTGAAAAATATAAAGATGATGAAAAGGCATTCAGGGAAGCTTTGTGAACCAGATGTATATTGACGACTGCTACGTGTGCAATGTAATGTGGATAGCAGAAGTAGAGGCTAAACCAATCTTCAAAAGCTTCTGCCTAAGATAGATAACCTTAATGAAAAAAAATTGTGAGACGTGATGAGGAAGATAAAACATGTGATGCATAATTTACGATGCATAATACTTCCCCTTCCATTATACTTCCAACACGTGCACTAGGCTAGTCCCCATCTCTTCTTCCATCAGGCAAGCTAATTTTATTCTTTTAATGCCATCAATCAGAAATGTGAGATAATTTACATGCAGAATAAAACTGTCTATGTAGGGAAGGGAAAATAAAGCAAGCTTATTCTATGGTTGCTACAGAGCAAGATCAAGTCTTCACAGAAAATCACCACAAAGACACCTCAACAAAATAACAGACAAAAACATTATATTAATAATAATAATAAATAAATAAACAAACCTTAAATGCCTTCAAAAACCCATCTTCCTCTTCATCATCCAATGATGTTTCTTCATCTCCAACTTGTTCACGATCAAGTAATCTATTGAAGAAGCAACATAAACTACAACTTTTAGCAAACGTTTAAATTTGTACAACACTAAGATACAAGCAGTCAACATGTTTACCTATCTATAGCAGCATCATCATAATGAATTTGACGTGATTTTCTGGCCTCGTCATTCTCATCAGCGAAAAGCTCCTTCGAACCATATCTTATGATGTCATCTAACTCTTCCTAAAATAAAACAAAAATATTTTCAGTGCTTTCAAATTTTAAACCCACACATCTGTCATTGGGTATTGTATTTTTCCACAAATGAACATGCATTGCTTTAACTTCCGTATTTTAACAGCCCAAGAAATATACCTACATAAAGAATGTAGCACGCAACAGTACAAAAATACAACCACCATCATTTTCTAAAGAACTGCCCAATATAGCCAAGAAAAAGGAATATAGTGTACTGATTAGTATGTGGTGCTCTCAGTATAAGTTCTGCATAGTTAACATCTTTTTAGTTTTTGCCGCTAAACCATACTGCAATATTAACTATAAGTAAATCATGACATTTCTGATCATAACCTGCATTTAATTTAGTCCACAGACGCAACATAACTTTCTACTATTATATGTACAACCAAAAGCCTTAACAAATGAAAAAAGATCATTACCTGGTTAATATTTTGTGCCTTCAGCCTCCCAACAACAAGGTGCTCTAAAACCATTTTCTTCTTAGTCATCTGCATCATCCGTTCCTCAATAGTTCCTCGGGTTATGAGCCTATAAATTAATACCTGCAACACCAAAATAACACTTCAGCGTAAAACAAATAACAAACAAACAGCAGCAGCAGCAACAATAGTTGTCTATGACATCTTGAGAATAAACTTTAACCTTGTTGGTTTGTCCAAGTCGATGTGCCCTAGCCATTGCTTGAAGATCAGCATGGGGATTCCAATCACTAAAAAGCCAAGAATGATATGTTCAGTGAATTGAAAGTCAAAGAAAATGAACCAGAAAATCATTACAAACCCACAGAACAAATTGCAAATTTAGAACTTTTGAGTTTCAAAATCCCCAGCACCGGAAAGGCATATTTGATCTTTTAAAAACATAAGATGTCAGCAAATTGAAATAAGCATAGTGATTGTGCAAAATCTTGTCTCAATCAGGTCACAAAAATTCAGAAAACACAAGATTCCAATCACCTTGCATTTTATTACCATCATACCACCCTTCAACATGTAAGCACTACTCTAACAACATTTCCACAAAACCTGCTTTCGCATTACCACTTGAAATGCAAATACCAAAAATAAAAATATTCAAATAAAAACACTCAACCTATCGTATATAATAACTGTATCAGCGGTTGCAAGGTTTATTCCAAGTCCTCCGGCTCTAGTTGAGAGAAGAAAACAAAATCTTGAAGAATTTTTGGCATTAAATCGATCTATGCGTACTTGTCTCTCAGCTCCACCAACCTTTCCATCTATCCGTTCATACGACCATTTCTGACCACATAGACAAAACAAATGATACAAGACTGGAACAAATTATGCATATATTTCAACAACCTATCACTGCATCAGAAAAATACAGACTAAGGATGTAGCAAAATAGCATGCTGATACCTTATGAGTGCAGTAATCTTCCAGTAAGTCCAGCATGTGCTGAAATTGTGAGTAAATGAGAACTCTATGTCCTTGTTCTTTAAGTCTCACCATCATTTTGTCCAACAATTGCAATTTCCCAGAGGTTTCCAGGAGCTGCCTGCCACACAGTTAATAAAACGAGAACAAAGGAGAACAAAATAGATCAATAAATAATATAGAGTACTTATAACTACTGAAAAGAAACTTTATTCACACTGAAACGACGGAGTACGGAATTAAATTTCAAGAGAAACAAGCACAAGCAGCCAAAATGAACTGAAACAACAGAAGAAGTACAAATACGTTCCATTGTTATGCCAAGGGACCACATGCATTACAGGACACATGTGTAAATGCAAATGCAAATGCAATTGTACACAAGTACAAATACGTAGAATAAACTAAGTACTTGAAAGATTCATAGGTGTCTTCTATATCTGGCTCCACTCCTTCTAACATATAAGGATGACAACAGAGTTTGCGCAATTCCATAACCACATTGATGAGAGAAATCTGATCAAGGAAGATCCAAGGACAATAATATGTTAGGTTAAAATACAGTAAAGTAGCTTCACTTCACTACAATAATAAACTGCACCTGTGCACCCCCACGTCGTGTTAGTATTTGATAGTTACGAGTCAGGATGGCCTTGTAATATTCTTTCTGCTTGCTACTTAGTTCAACACGTAGAATGAGTTCCTTCTTAGGAGGTAGCTCCTTCATGACATCCTTCTTCACCCCTATAGGAGAATCACAAATTTGCACCCACATTCTCATCAATACTAAAAAGATTTACAGGAAAGGAGATGAAAACCATCTTTTGCTACAGAAACCATAGCTTCAGCAGGCCACAAAAGAGACAGCAAGAGAGAGAGTGTGTGGAGAGAGAGACCATAAAATTGCATATTTAACTATTAAAAGGAAAAAAGAAAAGCTAGTGGAGCATATGCAGTAGATAGGGTATACCCACTTCATGGGAAATAACTTTTGTCTCCCAAAACAAAGCTAAAGCTTTCTTCAAGTCAAAACATGCTATAAGAAAGTTTTTTCGAGAGAACATGCATTTGTTCTTTTCACATTTGTGTTTCTTTTTTTGCAGAAGGAAACGGAGTGAAACAATAAGTGTTTCAGAATATTGGACACAACAAAACAAAGAAATAAATGGGAGGGTCTTAGAATCAACTTTGTAAACCTAGTCCCTCAAAAGAAAAGTGGAAAAATCTACCACTTCAATTACCTGTAGTTTCTCAGCGGAGGAAAAACAAAAACCAAGTGGCGTTAATGAGCTGACAAGTGACAAAAAGGAAAAGAGCAAAGACTACAGGGGAGACATTTTTCGGATGGTTTCTGTGCTATGCATAACAATTTATATATTAGTTCAAGATGAGAAAAGTCCAGAAAGAACTGGCTGACAAAGTAAGACCCTAAGAGAAATCAAATACTAAAACAGAAACTGCATCCCCCAAATAGTCCGATAATACTTCATTTAGCAGGATTTGGCACCTTCATGTTCAAAGAAAAGACAGAAAAGGTCGAGAGTTCACATAAAAAAGGTAACATTTTTAATCTATAAACCAAATATAAAATCATGGAAATCAACAGCCCTGGAAAATCAATCATTCAAAGGAAGTACATCACATAGAAAAGTTTGAGATTTTACTTCTGAGGAGATGGGGAGCCAACATTTTATGTAGTCTTGAAATCTGCTCCTCTTGATTTATATCCTTAAACTCCTCTTGGAACTCCTCTAAACTCGCAAACTGCAGAGATTTAACCAATAAGAAGAAAGGCTCTTTCGAGTTTACTAATTGGTTCTTATAACTTATCATAATCCAACTAAATCTTATGCAAAGTTGTACATTATACTAACCTTCCCAGCATCAAGAAAATGCATGAGCATGAAAAGTTCATCCAGGTTGTTCTGAGCAAGTGCCAAACGAGGGCTTGTAAGTTTACAAATTCAACAAAAACATATTAAAAAGTATAATTATTAAGTAGAATATACCAAAAGGCAAAAGCAAGAAAAGGAAGCTAATTAGCTATTCATATAATGATGGAAGGGCCCTGCACATTACTTTATATCCAGAGATTTGCGACACAAATATTTGAATATAAGCCTATACCGTGAAAATTAGTATAGCATGCATAAAGAACTTGCAAAACTGAAGCAATAAGATGATTAAAAGCATTATATGATAGATAGGTGCACATACAAACCCGAAGATAATGATAAAAAGAAAGTGCAAACAAGAAGAAAGAAAGTGAGACATGCATTCATATTTGTGTTGTAAAAGTGCTGGTTTTGTTGATTAGACAGACTAAATCTGCCTATCTCCCCATTTAAATTCAACAAGCTAACTTTACAACATGATTAAAATCAGCAACAGATACTCCCTTAAATGCTCCAGAGGCAGAACATCATAACAAATGATGGAATGCATGTTAAACAAAAGAACGCTTGACAAGCCTTTCAGCTATTGGGCTCAATCAGTGATTTCATACAAGTGAGTTCGTTTAAGAAATACAAATCCAGACTGGAATCAAGAAAAGCACAAAGGCTTGCATACATTATATAATTGGTTTAAGAACATGGGCATACAATAACGCACTTTTATTTTTCAATTTTATTCTGATATTGGTACTTGTTGTATGCAAGCACTATTCTCCGGAAAAAAGCAATAGTCTTAAGTCCATGTGATTCAATAGCATAATTAGGCAACAAACCTGAAGAGGGGTTCCAGTCAAAAGCACACGATGGTTACTATAGTACTGCTTCAGCGCGAGAAACAATTTTGAGTCCTTATTTTTTAGACGATGACCTTCATCAACAATCTATATGTGGATGTCAGTGTTAAGTAGCAATAACAAGTAGGGGGCTAGCATATTACTCATTGAGTAATAGAATGTTACCATGCACTCCCACTTGATTGGTTTCAATGATGCTGAGTCCAAATTAATCATCTCATAAGAAGTTAGAAGCACATCAAATTTTATTCTATCTTGCTTGCTTTCGGCAACAACTTGACCAGATTTCTTTTTCTTGATCTTCTTGTGATTCTTGGGATAGTAAAATTCATATTCCCTTATGACAGCACGAGCTTGTGAGGAGCCAACATACATAACCTGTATAAGAGAAACTTCCACTCAGTGTTTTCTTGCGAATGAGTAAGATAACTGAAGAGTTCTGTGTACATACAACATTCATTTGAGGTGCCCATGTTGCAAATTCACGTTCCCAGTTTCGCAATGTTGAAAGTGGAGCAACTACCAAATGTGTAGAGATGCCCTCTTCAAAAAGAGATGCTAAAAATGCAATACTCTGTATTGTTTTCCCTGCAATCAAACAAACAGGGGGAAAAATATGAATGCATTGGCAAAAATACTGACAAGCTATCAGTGCAAAGGCAACAACACGATAAAAAAATAAATAAATAAAATAAAATAAAAGGCATGACTCACCAAGACCCATCTCGTCAGCAAGTATTACATGTGTTTGCTTGGACCAAGAAAAACGTAAGAAGTTAAGACCTTCTAGCTGATACGGATGCAATGAGCCTTCAATTAAAAGAACAAGAGCACTCAGGAATTAACAATAATTCAACCAAGTAAATCTTGATAAACAAGCATGCTAGGTTTCAAGATAGAAGAAAGAAATCGAACAGACAGATGTACCTCCAGAAAGAAATTCAGGACTTTGATCATAATGTTGAAATTCTTTTGATTTCTTCTTTGAATCAGTAGCATCTCGAAGGCTGCTCTTTTGCTTACTCGGTTTGTGAGACCTAGACTGAATTTTATTAAATCTTTCTATTTCAGGCTGGAATGCAGATACATCTGATTCAAATTCCCAATAGCATTCATCATAAGATAGTTCCTTGTACTTCACAAGATATTCCTTCTCATCTTCATCTCCCCTGAATCATGCAACAGTGTCCCATTCAGGAATCTTGTGACAGAATCAAACAATTTAAAAACACAAGGAAAATAAGGCAAAAAAAGAAAAGGATAAAATAGTATATCAAAACAGCAAATCACACCACAGTGTTATCAAGAAATGCAAGGTAGTAACAGGTGACTGTAAACTTCCACTCTGATATTTTTATGCTTTTATCTTCAATTAGTGACTTTAAGGTTCAAGACACAATATGGATATAAGAAAAGTACCTCCCAAAGCCAAGAGAACATCCTAAAAAATGCATTAAGCTATAGTGAAGAGGTTCGAAAATGGAATGATGAGAGCAACAGGGAGAATCACATAGCTATGCAAATATTAGGATCCCTTCAAAAGTCAAACTATTCTGCTGAACTATCCTACATCCAGGGATGGATCTAAAGCCCCCTCCTCATTGAAAATATAACAATTCGTTAATTTTCTTCAAAAAAATATTTTCAATTTTATTCCTAAATGAACAATTGTTTCTTTTTTTTTTTTCTACAAACATTTTTCTCAACATACTCAACCCTTTCGTGTACGAACAACTTTTACCACTACCTTAAAAAATGAATGCATTTGATCCACCATTTTGATCCCTGAAATGAAAAATTGCCTTTTCCCCCAAAGTCTTCAATCCTGGACAGGTCCCTAACCATGTCTAATCTTAGATATGACATTGTCCATTGCTTAAAGAGTAGGAAGCTTTCTTTCCAACAACAAAAATACTGCTAAGAAACATGCCCGATTTCAATTGTCATCATGAAGGGAAAAAGCTCTTGAAAGGGCACCAATTATATGCTTGCATGTTCTCAAATATAATTAAACATAGAAGCGCACATAATTTTAACTTAACAGAAGTGAACTCCACTCCATAGATTTCAATGTTCAACAATATTCATAGAGCATTTCCCTACTTCAACATTTTTCTTTAAATCTTTACAAAAAAATCAGTGGTAAGGGGAAAAAAGCAGCATAAAATAAAAACTATCATTTTCTTTGTATGTGTGTGTGTGTGTTTCTTGTGTCTGTTACATAAAAGTTTCAGATGAGTCAACCTGCAAGCAAGAATTCGATCAACAGTTGTCCATTCAGGTCGAATAGCAACAAATTCATCCTCAGAGTTATTGTTTGATGCCATTTGACGATTGAAGTTGTTTACTTTAGTCTTCAGACGAGGATTTGACTTGAAAGCTTTTAGAAACTCTTTCTCAGGTACCCTGTGGGGAGTTGTGCAGGAGAAGAGAGACCAAAAAAGGAAAAAGAAAACAGCTAACAAATGAGCAAAAAGTGTCAAATAGACAGGAAAAGGATAACATTGACAAAAAAAAAGCCAAGAGAATATCATGCAAAAGTCAAGCTGGGTCATGCTGCAGCAACACTACAATAATTGGCGTGTTAGCACAGAGGAGAACTTTAAAGCATTATGAAAGGGTCTGCATAATTAACATATTATTTTACATGCAATTGTTCTTCATGAGGAAATGGGAAATCATGTAAACAAAATTACCAAGTGCAATGTAGATAAGATAAGCCTTTCCACTTCACAAGATACTGTTTTACAAAAATTTGCTTTGAACCCAGCTTAGAAGCATCACTATCATCAGCTACAGTAGGGCGCATTTCACAGTCCAATAACTTATCAATATCATTCAAAGGGCTAACCTGCAGACAAAAGAATAGTACTCGTCAGCTATGAAAAGCATAACTTTGATGCATTAAACAGGAGTACCAAAGAGTGTCGTGGAATCATACACATTCAGGGCACCTCCAATTGCTAGGAAAAGGAGCTTTTAGTGGTGGAAGCAGACACTTGGAATGGTAAGCATAAGTGCAAGTTTCACAATTCAGAAGATTTTCACTTTCTCCACAAGCTTGACAGGAATCCTCCTTCTGAATAAGAGGGAAGAATGACAGAGGAACTATTAAAGAAACATAAAGTTCATGAAATTTGTAATACTAAGAAAGACAATCATGGGAGGACCAACAAAGCACAGCATCTAGTTTCAAAGCATGAGAGATGTTTCAAAGCAGATATATATTCTGCCTAATGTTCAAAGCATGATTCTCCTCAGTTGTTTTGAAGCCCAAAGGCCTCAAGCAACTAAACATCCGAATCACTATTTCTTCTCTCTCTTTTGCATTGCACTATGTTCTACAAAAACATCATTGGTGTTTAAATCAATTTTAAGAAATACGCATTAATTATCTCAGTTGTAGTCAGATACTTTCCAGTTCCATTGTCTTTGTCTTTAAGTTCAAGGTTTAAAATGACAATTGATGAAAGCTTATTCATTTAATCTACAAAATTAATCCAATGAAATCAAGAAAAAAGAACACCAAATACATGATGATATAATGGTATCCTGGAATCGATGAAGATCACCCATGAAAAGGTCCAAACAAGTTTATCATTTTCTACACCACCCCAAAGCAGAAAAAAGAAAGGAGCAACAAGCTAATGAAAGTATGAAACTACTCCACAGTCACCAGCAATCCTCCAACCCAACAAGTTTTCAGTGCTTCATTTTGACAGGCTGTGCCCCTCATCCTGATTAAAGCAATCCAACTCCAGGATAACAATGATTAACTTCCACAAGAGAAAAGGCAATTGTAAAAAGTGATGAAATGAAAAAAAACATCTCTAGTAGAGGAAGTACCTCAAAACAGAACCAACCAACTTAAAGCAATCCAGTCATTGACCAAGGATCTCATCAAACCAAGCACTAGACCAGCCACAGATTTTTTTTTTTTTTTTTTTTTAACTAGCCCATGCGTCAAAGCGATCAACTTTATTTCCTCTGTTAACTAGCCCATGCATCAAAGGCAACCTTAAAAACATCATGAAAGCATACTTAAGAACAACAAGTCACCCACATTCCTGATCCTTTTACATGATAATATCAAATATATTTCAGTTTTGCTCGGGAATTAAACTCCTTTTCAGAATTCAAAACTCAAAAAAATAAATAAATAAAGATACCACACACAAAACTAACCTTAAAAAAAAAAAAAAAAAAAAAAAAAAATCATTCAAAAATTTGAAACCTCAACTATCTTAACCTCCGAATAAAACTAGTAAACGATCAAACTCAGTAAGTAACCTCAACAACAAGGTAAAAAAAGAAAAAAAAAACATTATCATTCAGCATTAAACACAGTACACATTAAGCTACAAGAAAGAAGTAAGAATAAAAGAAACAAACCGCATCATCCCTGACAAATCTTTCGATTTTCTCCTGGGGCTTTTTAGCTTTACCAGAAACAAAATCATCATCATCTGATTCATCCAAGTTATAGATTGGCCTCCTTTCTGATCTAACACGTAGCCTCTCCACTAAGCTACTCATTTCCTGCAACGAAAACGAAGACATGCCATCATGAAACACCACGAACTCGAGAATCATAAACAAAACAAAAGAAACCAACATGACACGTGCACCAATTCATGCAAGAACAAAACCAAAAGCCCACTTGATAAAACAACAAGAATTATCAAAATTAATCACCATTTCAAGAATTAGCAAGTTTCTGGGTCAGTACTTATGTAAGTGAAGTGTGTATCTTTATGGGCGTGAGGTCTTCAAAAGCAAAAATGGCAAATGGGTTTTTCCTCTTCTAAAAGTTTTGGCTAATAGAGGTTTTGGAGTAAGAGAGAATCACCTGTGGATCTGGGGCACCAAAGTTGTCAAAATTCCTGGCCAGACCCAAAGGAACACCAAAATCGGAGTTGGACTAGACAAAGAAAACTAAAAAGACGGTGGTTTATAAGTGCTAATAATGTGATGTCACCTAAGACAATGTTTTTCTTTGTTTTTTTTTTTTTTTCTCAACAGAGAAGTGCAGTTTATATAATAATGGAGGAGTTGTATTTAAGCCCACAAAGGAAAGATTAGCTTTTGTTATTTATAGGATTACCCTCGGATGTGTTTGGTAGGCTAGGGTGGAACCAAGGGGGTAAGGAGGTCTTTACGGCAAATTACTGGTCTTTCCGATTTCGATAGTGCTCAAAACTAGGGTATCGACGAGATCAACGAAAGTAGGTCAAGTTCGTTAATGTTAGTTTGGAGATTTAACAAATCAGAAAACGATTTCTTTCTTTTTATAGCAAGAGTAAAATTGTGTTTCCATGTTTAGTAATAAGTTAACAAAAGTTTTTTGTCGATGTTCGTAATCGTTTTTGTCGATATTAAGTGAGTTAACCGTAAAGAAATTAATCATTAATCTGTTTTAGAGATTGAGCTTTAACCTAATCCCGAGGTTGGCCGAGGTTAAAACAAGTGGTGGAGCTAGAACGATAAAAATGAAAATAAAATCAAGGGATAGGATTTAACTATAATAAGCAAACCCGTTAGAATGACTCGATTGAGAAAACCCTAAACATAAGAATTAAATTTTACTTTTCGATAATTTCACATTTATAATCACCCATAGTATTTCATTTCGATTCTAATGATTTGAAAATGATTTATAGCATTTTGTTGATTGACGTTGGTGTTTTTAATTTGAAGTTTTCAAAGCCTCATCGCTAGATAAGTGAAACAAAAATAAAGTTTTTAGCACCAATTTAGAGATTTAACCGATTATAAAATAATTCATTGCTCGTAATGATAAGAATACATGACTTCTTCTGTATTCGATAATAAGTTAATTGAATTTTTTTAACATTCCTTATGAATTTGGTGGCAAAATAACGAATCAATTGTAAGAAAGTTAATTAATAATTTCTTTTAAAAGTTGAGCATTGACCTAATCCTAAGGTTGAAAAAGATAAACTATCAACTTAACATCTACGACCATTCATCATGTTATGCTTATTTTATGTTGATAGAGGGTCAAATTGTGTTTTCAATGTGATATTTATTCCAAGTTGGATGGTGTTCAAAACAAGTTAATTAAACAAATAAGTGCAATACATATGAGGTCTTTTAATGTTGGTTAATTACGAGGTCTAATTGGTTGTAGGCTAAATTGAGAAAGCTCTCTTTTTTTACATGACTAGATAAATTGCAATAACTGAAACTAAAACCCTACTTTACCAAATGAAGCTATCGGATATACAATTATTGAGTTAAACATGATTGTGTATATTAATGTTACTTTGGAAACAAAATTATAAACAAATTCTCTTTATAGCAATAGTTTGTAACTTGCTTTACATTTTTTGTATTGAGTTAACAAGAATTACACAATTTGTAAGAGCAAATGAGTTGAATATTAATATATTTTGGAAGATAAGTATTGACCTAATTTCAATATTTGGCAAGAGTTAAAATCATTAGCTTCACGTTTATAACCAACTCGTCATGTTTTGTTTATTCGGACATTAAAGAAGTATGATGAATCTTATTGTGTTTTTCTTTATTTTAAAGATTGTTTAAAACTATTCCATCATATACATAATGAAATTCATGTTGATCCCGTATATTAATCGTTCGTTAATGCCAGTTTGGAGATTTAATAAATTGAAAAATGATTTCTTTCTTTTTATAGTAAGAGTAAAATTGTGTTTCCATGTTTAATAACAAGTTAATAGAAGTTTTTTGTCGGTTTTTGTAACCGATTTGGCGGGAATTAAGTGAGTTAACCGTAAAAAGTTAATCGTTAATCTGTTTTAGATATTGAGCTTTAACCAAATCCCGAGGTTGATGAAAGGTTAAAACCAATGGTGTAGTTAGAGCGAAATGATTAAGTGGCAATGTGAGAAACATACATGGATAAAAATAAAAATAAAATAAAAAGGATAGGCTATAAGTCGTAATAAGAAAACCTTTTAGAATGACTCAATTGAAAAAACCTCAAACATAAGGATTAAATTTTACTTTTTGATAATTTCACATTTATAATCACCTATCGCATTTTATTTCGATTCTTATGATTTGAAAATTATATATAGCATTTTTTGAGTGACGTTGGTGTTTTTAATTTGAAGTTTTCAAAACCTCATTACTAGGTAAGTGAAACAAAAATAAATTTTTTAACACCAATTTGGAGATTTAACCGATTATAAAACAATTCATTGCCCATACCGATAAGAATGCATGACTTTGTCCGTATTCGACACTAAGTTAACTAAAAAAATTTTAAAATTCCTTGTGAATTTGGTAGCAAAATAAACGAGTCAATTATAAGAAATTTAATGAACAATTCCTTTTAAAAGTTGAGCAATCGACCTAATCCTAAGATTAAAAAGGATAAACTATCAACTTAACATCTACGACCATTCATCGTGTCATGCTTGTTTTATTTTGAAAGGGATCGAATGGTGTTTTCAATGTGATATTTGTTCTAATTTGAATAGTGTTCAAAACAAATTAATTAAACAAATAAGTGGAATAAATATAGGGTCTATTGATGTTGGTTAATTATGAGGTCTAATTGGTTATAGGTTAAATTGAGAAAGCTCTATTTTTTTTACATGTTCGGAGAAATTGCAACAACCGGAATTGAAACCTTACTTTACCAAATAAAGCTATTGGATATAAATTGTTGAGTTAAACATGATTGTGTATATTAATGTTACTTTGGAAACAAAACTATAAACAAATTCTCTTTATAGCAATAGTTTGTAACTAGCATTACATTTTTTGTATCAAGTTAACAAGAATTATGCAATTGGTAGGAGTAAATGAGTTGAATATTAATATATTTTGAAATATAAGTATTGACCTAATTTCAATATTTTACAAGAGTTAAAGTCATTAACTTCATGTTTATAACCAACTATCATGTTTTGTTTATTCGGACATTGAAGGAGTATAATAAATCTTATTGTGTTTCTCTTTAATGTAGAGATTGTTTAAAACTAGTCCATCATATACATAATGAAATTTATGTTGAGCTCGTATATTAATTGTTCATTAATATCAGTTTGGAGATTTAACAAATCAAAAAATGAATTCTTTCTTTTTATAGTAAGAGTAAAATTATGTTTTCATGTTTCGTATTAAGTTAACATAAGTTTTTTATCGGTGTTCGTAATTGATTTGGCAGGAATTAAGTGAGTTAAGTGTAAAGAAGTTAATCATTAATCTATTTTAAAGATTGAGCTTTAAACTAATCCCGAGGATGACGGAGGTTAAAACAAGTGGTGGAGCTAGAGTGAAATGATTAAGTGGCAACATAAGAAACATACAAGGATAAAAATGAAAATAAAATAAAAAAAGATAGGCTATAACCGTAATAAGTAAACCTTTTACAATTACTCAATTGAGAAAACCTTAAACATAAGGATTAAATTTTATTTTTTAATAATTTCACATTTATAATCACCTATCATATTTCGTTTTGATTCTTATGATTTTAAAATGATATATAGCATGTTTTGAGTGACATTTAATTTGAATTTTTCAAAACCCCATTACTAGATAAGTGAAACAAAAATAAATTTTTTAACACCAATTTGGAGATTTAACCGATTATAAAATAATTCATTACTCATATTGATAAGAATACATGACTTCGTCCGTATTTCACAATAAGTTGATTGAAATTTTTTTAACATTCCTTATGAATTTGGTGGTGAAATAAACAAGTCAATTGTAAGAAAGTTAATGAACAATTCTTTTTAAAAGTTGAGCATTGACCTAATCCTAAGATTGAAAAGGATAAACTATCAACTTAACATATATATCCATTCATCACGTTATGCTTATTTTATTTTGAAATGAGTCAAATGATGTTTTTAATTTGATTTTGTTCCAATTTGGATAGTGTTCAAAATAAGTTAATTAAACAAATAAGTAAAATACACATGAGGTCTATTAATGCTCGGTTAATTACGAGGTCTAATTGGTTATAGGCTAAATTGAAAAAGCTCTTTTTTTTACATGATCGGGAGAAATTGCAATAACTCGAACTCGAAACCCTACTTTACTAAATAAAGCTATTGGATATAAAATTATTAAGTTAAACATGATTGTGTATATTAATGTTACTTTGAAAACAAAACTATAAACAAATTCTCTTTATAACAATAGTTTATAACTTGTGTTACATTTTTTGTATTGAGTTAACAAGAATTACGCAATTGGTAGGAGCAAATGAGTTGAATATTAACATATTTTGAAAGATAAGTATTAACCTAATTTCAATATTTGGCAAGAGTTAGAATCATTAACTTCACATTTATAACCAACTATCGTGTTTTGTTTATTCGGACATTAAAGGAATATGATGAATTCCATTATGTTTTTTCTTTATTTTAGAGATTATTTAAAACTAATCCATCATATACATAATGAAATTTATGTTGAGTCTATATATTAATCATTCGTTAAAGCCATTTTGGAGATTTAATAAATCGAAAAACAATTTCTTTCTTTTTATAGTAAGAGTAAAATTATGTTTTCATGTTTAGTAATAAGTTAACAAAAGGTTTTTGTCAATTTCGTAATCGATTTGGTAGGAATTAATTGAGTTAGTGCAGAAGAAGTTAATCGTTGATTTATTTTAGAGAATGAGCTTTAGCCCAATCCCGAGGTTGACGGAGGTTCAAACAAGTGGTGGAGCTAGAATGAAATGATTAGGTGGCAATGTGAGAAACATAAAAGAATAAAAATAAAAATAAAACAAAAAGGATAGGCCATAACTACAATAAGCAAACCTTTTAGAATGACTTAATTGAGAAACCTTAAACATAAGGATTCAATTTGACTTTTTGATAATTTCACATTTACAATCGCCTATCGTATTTCAATTCTTATGATTTGAAAAAGATATATAGCATTTTTTGAGTGACATCGGTATTTTTAATTTGAAGTTTTCAAAACCTCATCATTAGATAAATCAAAACGAAAATAAATTTTTTAACACCAACTTAGAGATTTAACCAATTATAAAACAATTCATTACTCATACCGATAAGAATATATGACTTCGTTCGTATTTGACAATAAGTTAATTGAAATTTTTTTTAGCGTTGCTTGTGAATTTGGTGGCGAAATAAATGAGTAAATTGTAAGAAAGTTAATGAACAATTCCTTTTAAAGGTTGAGCAATCGACCTAATCCTAATGTTGAAAAGGATAAACTATCAACGTAACATCTATAGCCATTCATCATGTTATGCTTATTTGTTTTGAGCGGGGTCGAATTGTGTTTTCAATGTGATATTTGTTCCAATTTGGATAGTGTTCAAAATAAGTTAATTGAACAAATAAGTGGAACACATATGAGATTTGTTAATGTTGGTTAATTACGAGGTATAACTGGTTGTGTGCTAAATTGAAAAAGCTCTCTCTTTTTACATGACTTGAGAAATTACAATAACCGGAACCGAAACCCCGCTTTACCAAATGAAGCTACCTGGATATACAATTGTTGAGTTAAACATGATTGTGTATATTAATGTTGCTTTGGAAATAAAACTATAAACAAATTCTCTTTATAGCAATAGTTTACAACTTGTGTTACATTTTTTGTATTGAGTTAGCAAGAATTACGTAATTTGTAGAAGCAAATGAGTTGAATATTAATATGTTTTAGAAAATAAGTATTGACCTAATTTCAATATTTGGCAAGAGTTAAAATCATTAACTTCACGTTTATAACCAACTATTATGTTTTTTTTATTTAGACATTAAAGTACTAGGATGAATCTTATTGTGTTTCTCTTTAATCCATCACATACATAGTGAAATTTATGTTGAGTTGTATATTAATCAAGAAGTTACATTTAAGTCTACATATGAAAATGACATATGCAATTTATGTTGAATAGATTTTTAAATTGCCCACCTTTTTTTATTTTTTTTTAACATATGCCATTTCATAAATACTATTAAGTACATGAAACACTCTATATGTTCTCTATTCCATCGTAAAAAGATAATTTTATCATATCATAAATGGAATTCTAAGATTCATTATAAACATTGACATAAAGAAGTTGTTCTTAACTCTTAGGGAGAGAAAATATTATTGTATTGTGATAAGATTGTTATAGGTCAATGTTTCTAAAAGAAAACAATAACTATAACATTTCAACAATAAAGTAATTTATATGAACAAAGTGGTTGTTTGGCTTTGATGTTTAATATATATCTCAAATATCCTTAAAAATATGCACATTGATTGTAAAACACAATTGTATAATTTTGCGATTATTAAGTTTTTTTATATAATTATTTTATTATGTTCGATTTTGCATAGTTTTGGTCTTCGTTAATATTTATATATTTTTTATGATGATGATTGGTTTACGTTTTTGGTATACATTAATAATAATTATATATCAATAATCACGTTAGATTTGTTTTAAAAAATAATGGTTAGATTTGTTTTGAGAATAAATGAACTAATGATAAGAAAGTTACTCATAAATTCCTTTTTAATAAAGTATTAATTTAATTCAAGGTTTTTTGCGAGTGAAAATTATCAATATTGTACAAATTTCAACACCAACTCATTTTCTATAAAGAAAAGATTAATAAATGGTATCGTATTCAAGCTAGCTCTTAAGACAATGCATTAACCAAAGCTCTTATTAGCTACAAATTCAAGCCACTGTCATGTCACTTTTGACCATAAGTTTTACACATACTCATGATCGATTGTTACTTATCGCATTAATAAATAGACTATTCCGCTTATAAACAAAAATCTATACAAAGACCTATGATATAATAAGAAAAAAAGTACAAAATAAAATAAGTACGTTAAGGTTACTTTAGCCACATATAAAGGAAGAAGCATCGATATAGAGCCTAGGTTTGGTGTTTTATGCATCCTATACCTTACTAGTATTACTAATATAAAGAAATAGTCTTTTTAGCTATATTTAACTATTTTAATTTGAAAAGTATGAAACTCTTATGAACTAGCTCGCTATCAACAAGCATAGAACACAAAATAAAAAAGGAACTCAAAAGCTATGATTGTGCAAACCAACTTATACTCGATATAAGTAAAGATCTTAACTTATTTTGTTGCTTAAGATGTGGTATGGATATAATACTTGATGTTAAACTTGTAAACTTTGTAGTTGTTTAGATTGCATAATAGCCTTGTTCTTATGATCGAGACATGACAAAATAGTGTCGAGTAAAATCTAGATAAAAATGTGAAAACTAAGTGCTACGTAAGGTAAAGTGTTTTTGAAGGGGATAAAAGCCACTCAGGATCTCATGTGACCTAAGGCTCAATCTTAGACTAAGATTATGATGTGATAAAAAGGTCACAAACTTGAAAAGAAAAATATGATCCTTCATATCCGATATTGATGGGTTATAAGGAAATGAAACAAAATATAAATATTGGCTTAAAGACTTACATGCTACAAGGAATTCATTCAAGCTTCGAATAATAGTCAAACTCGGTACTATATTTTTAGGCCTCGTGGTTATTCGGGTTAGGCAACAAGCGTCGCCTCTAGGCATGGACCATGAAATACAATGGTATCAAAGCTTATCCTAGTCAAAAGTATGGAAACTATGTGCTATACGGACAAAGTGCAACACCGAGTTAAAGCCACTTATTGAACCTATAAAAGCTAACTTTAGGATTTTAAATGCTTATAGTTTGAACTCGGACAAAGAGTATGGTGCGATATAGATATTGTATCCAGAAAAAGGAAAGAATATGATGCCTTCTATCCCACATTAATAGGTTATGATAAAATTGGATGAAATATAAAAGATAAAATAAGAACTAACATGTAACCTAAATTTCTTTTAGGTTATAAATTCAATTGTTACCAACAAGTTGTTGGGTTGGTGGCAATCCACTGGTCTCCAAATGAATTTTCTCGTCAATGCATAGGGTTGACGGATGTTAAATTTTGTCGCTCTCATTTTAAATAGAATTAGTTCTATTTCTAATGTAGGATGAGAATACTTGGGTAAAAAAAAAAAAAAATCAACTATTCAACTCATTGGTGCACTTATTTGCCATGCATCTATATAGAAAAACAATAGTTCTCATCCTCACATTTCGGACATAAAATATTTAATATCGTGTTTTCGATATTTTTGTAAATGTATAAATAAATTAGGATGCACAACTTATTAATTACATAGTTTTTCAATCCTTTTTTTAAGATCTCTCATTTCCACATACAACATTACATTTTTCATCAATAAAATATTTTATATAAAAAGACTCTAATTTATCCATTGCAAGAATATGTAATTTTTTTATATGTTTGGTATATATTAATATCGGTGAAATATCGATGAACTAGTTATACATCCGGTTGGAAAAAGAAACTCGGATTAATTATAAATAAAAATCATACTTTAATGCATAAGTATTGATCCATTCTCAAGACTACTTGGAATAATCTTGGAATAAGTTATATATATCACTAACTAAATCATTTTCATTAATGTCATGTCTTTTCCATTTATGGTTATTTGATTTAGTGGCATGAATTGGACAAAGATACTTAATCGATTCTTAATTTGAAAAGAAATATAAATAGTTTAGCTTGACCAAATATGAAAGCTTCACGTGTAATTTTAAATTTTAATCCATTTTGGATGAATTCACTAGTTCAATATAAAAATTGAAAAATGAGTTATTCTATGTTAGTTTTAGTTTGTCGGCTTAACATGATTGAGTTGGAAAATCTATGAAACAAATAAAAAAGAAAAGAATTGACATTTTAATTAAAATTTTTGATAGCGAGTGCGAACATTTAATCGATTGAGTTGTTAAATTATAAAATTAGAACTAATATAGAAAATTTTTTTCGAAAAATCAATATTAAGAAATTTTAAATGTAAACAAATACAAATAAAATTAGTTGTAAAAAAATATAATTTTTTTATCGGATATATGGTTAGTCTATCTATATGTATATAGATTTTGCTTTGACAAATAAAGCAACTTATTACAAAACCAAATCTAAGCTTGCAAATGGGACCATGATGAATCTTGCCCTATTGGATTAGAATAATAATAAAAAAACCATTGTTTCCTTGGTTTATTTACAAAAGTGCCATTGTATCTATTATTGTCAATTTGAGAAAATTTGTTCTAGAGTTCAGTTACTTTATCATTATTACCCTTTGGGCTAATAAGCTTGGATCTCTCACTTTTCAAGCCCAACACTCAAAAAAGTGTTAGGCCTCAAAACAAAGCCCTTTTGATTTATTTTTTTCCTCATCTTTTTGACAAACAATCGGGCAAGACAGGAACAAGCGGCCAGCCATTGCCTTCAGGCAGTTACGTACAACATAAAGAGCAAATGGCCAAATCCTCTCAACAGAAAGTTTGACTTCCCTAGCAAATAGAAGCCATTTGGTAGAAGAGAAGGCCAAGTTCTCTGAACATTAGGTTTGATTCCCCTTATGCATAGAAGCCATTTGGAAGGAAAGTAGGCCAAATCTCCTGACACAGAGAAGCCGTTTGGAAGAAGAGAAAGCCTGGTTCTTCAACGTTAGGTGTGATTCCCCTGACACATAGCAACCATTTGGGAGAAGAAGAGGCCAAATTTTTTTAACATAAAGGTTGATTTACCTGAAAAAAAGAAAAAAATTAGCCATTTGAAAGTAACGTAAAGGTTGGTTTCCCTGACAAAAATAATAGCCATTTGAGAGTAACGTAAGGTTGATTTTCCTGACAAAAACCGCTGCCATTTGGGAGTAACGTAAGGTTGATTTCCCTGGAAAAAACCGCTGCCATTTGGGAGTAACGTAAGGTTGGTTTCCCTAACAAAAAAAGTAGCCATTTGGGAGGAGAGAGCACCATCTATTTTTTACATCATCGATGCATGAGCAAGTTTTTCTGACAAACACAACTCCTTTAACCACCTTCCTCGAAAGAAAAAAAAAAAAAACGTATCAAATCCTCATTAGCGTGATGAAAAGAAGGAGGTAAAGACACGAACTCATAAACTTGCCAAACATATTTGTCATTGACCAATGAGCACCGACCAGGCTTACCAAAGACAGAACAGTTAAAGCATCTGTTGAGTACGATGAAAAGCATGCAATATCTGGCATATAGACAGCACAGCAGCAAGGGATTACTGTAAGATTATTTGTTGGTTTTGTTGTCGTTTAAGATTAAATTACGGGATTTGAGGGGATCTAGCCATCCAGGGAAGGAGTTTCTTGATGATTAACGTTAGATTAGGAGTGATCCTGATAAGTTAACAGAAAACTGAGATTTTAATGATCAAGCAAATCTTGGAATTTTGCATCTGACACATTCGTCAAACGTGGGCCTATACCAGAATGTTTGCTCAAAGGAGGCCGAACTTGTGGTGGGCCTTCTATTTTTCTTCCTCCTTTGGGTTCTAGCATCGTAGTTTTGAAAAGCAGCAAGTTGGAAATGTATTTTCGTCCCAAACTGTTGGACTTGGACTGATGTTGGGCTGACCATGATAAGTAAGCCCAAATCCAAACCCATGACCCATCATGGACAAGCCCAGTTCTAAAACCTGGAGAGTTAAAACTACGTGACAGTTCTCTGAACTTTGAAACACTAAAACTATCGACACATGATGTAAACTCTCTGAACTCTGTAGCCATCTTTGTGCTTTCTTCTCTACAATTCTTTATGGCATTGGAGTAAGAAATGATCTGGGGATTTCCACAAATCTCTATGGTTTGGAGCAGAGGTACAATCTCTAATTACTTCATTAGTGGCTGAGCAATTAAGTTTTATGTTTTCTTTACACAAACGTTTTGCTTTACAGGGCTTTAGGAAGCGATATATCCTTCGTTTTGTTATCCTAAAAGATTGAAGTGGCTTTGGTCATGGACGGAAAAAAACTTTTTTGTGTTTTCTCAACGTTTGATTCCTATGCTGCAAATTTCATACCATAGCTTCTCATGTATTCTAGCACAAAGAAAACCCTCACCTTGCAGAGAATTAATTCTAAGGTTAAAGAGGTTAGTCTTGATCTCGGGCCTGGAATGGAAATGCAAAAATTGAGCTGAAGAGTCTTAAACTGATACTTATAATTGCATTTCAAAATACCAACATGAAAGACACCTGCCAAATACCAAGAGCAATCCTCAGTTCCTCACCATCTGGTATTGTTTCTTTTTAGTTTCAAACTTCAAACCGACCTTGCCACCGAAACCGAATTCCAATTCATCTGTCTCTCACTTGTCGACTGCTTAATATTAGGCTTAACGTACAGGAGAGAACCTGTGGTGCAATGGTGGCATGTCTGACTTTATTTCAGAAAGCTGCGTGTTCGTTCGATTCGCTTCGGGTTCAGTTCCTGTTTTGCTTTCTTTCTGCAATTTTGGTGGCAAAGGGTTTAATTTGACCAAATATTAAGAGTTACTTGAATCCTCTAACGATACCTCGGGCTATCTGTTCCAAAAATCAGGCTTTTTCTTTCTTGGAAATCCAGACTTTCTTTAAGGGTTTAATGTCAAAAATTACCCTCAAACTATTATGATTTGGCAATTTTAGAGTTTTGCTATCAATTTAGATTAATTAGATCCTAAATTATTATTCTTTTGACAAACATGATCCTCAACCATTATTTTTAACGGTTAAAGTGTTGACCGACCTTCAGCCATTAAGATTCTAGTTTTTTTTATTTTTTTTTTCACGTAATCAAAATATGATTTACATAAAATTATATAGTGACTATTTCTTAAATTTCAAAATTAATAACATTCATAAAAAAAATTAAAAGTACAAATAATCAAATAGAAAAAATAAAAATACATATATTTAAATAAAAAATAAAAGTACAATTTTTTTAAACAAGTATTTTTATTAAATTCATATATACACATAACTATTAAATTGATTTTATTAGAAATAAAATAAAATATTTAAATTAGCATTAACTAGATTGTCCTTAATATTTATTTTTCTTTTTTAAAATTAAATATTTATGTTAAATTTATACTAACATAATTATTAAATTAACACATTAATATACTAACACATCCATCGTATGAGTATGAATATTTTATTTTATTTCTATCGAGGATTTGCACTTCTATTATTTATTTAAATATATGTACGTTTTTTATTATTATCTGTACTTTTTTTTTTTTGAGTGTTATTAATTTTGAGAGAACTTCCTTTGCCAGTAATACGCCATGTCCTGGAATGCAGCCTTCTTTTATTGTCCCAAATCCCAAACTTGCCCGGTATTGTTTTGGCTTCAAGTCTGTATTGCCTTTGCCTCCCACCGGTTACAATTTGGCAATTTAGAGTATTTACTATTGACTTGAGCTAATTAAATCCTAAATTTGTTTTTTTTAACACATGTGATCTTTATTCGTTATCTTTAACGTTCAAATAACCATAACTGTTAACATTCTATTTTTTTTGAATGATTAATTTAATCAAATATGATTTACATAAAATAACATAATGATTATTCGTTAAATTTCAAAATTAATATCCACGTGGAAGAGTATACCTAGTCTTGTAGGAGTTACCACAGTCATGTTTCATGTAGTCTGAGAGGCATTCGAGGCACAGGATACCGAGTTGATTTCCAATCCTTCCATCCTTGAAAGGAGAAACTGGCAAAGACAATATCAAATGCAAGAAACACTCAACAATCCAGAGTGCAGAGTAAGATAAGATTGAATGAAAGGAAATTGCAGTCTTTGCAGATACAGCATCGATTCAAAACTGAAGGCTTACACAGTGATCTTAATTTCAAGGAAAAACTGGAACTGCAAATAAGTATTGGAAAATATTAATTGATGCGAGGGAGAGACAAAGATACACAAGTTTTGCAAGTTCGTTGAGTAGTTTTTTCTCCATAAAGATAGCGAAAAAAAAGCAATAGCTGAATATCAAGATCAGTGCACAAAAGATCATAACCAAAAGAACTTAGCAGAACAAGTAGTGAAAGCCAGAAATATTATAGAAACACTAACTGAAATATTTTACAAGGAGACCAAGCTACTAACCAGTACAACGAAGCAACTGAAAGAAATCGAGACTAGAACAACAGCTTTTCTTGCCAAAGTATACAAAGAGAAGAAAGTCTCACAACCCAGCAGTCTACATATATTGATCAGCCTTCCATCCCAGTTATTTTCTCTTCTTAAGTTAGTATTCTGTCCATTCTCGACACCAAGGTCGTACAAAAAGCATAAAATAACAAGATACAAATCTGGGCAAGAGTGTATACCTCTCAAGCGGGGGGCACAAGACCGGTGAGTGATGAGATACTTGCCAAGGAAATCAAATGAAAACATGCGTCTTTGGTCAGCATTATGCAATCCATAGCACCAATAAATTTGGCTAAGAAGATATGATTCCATAAAACTTCAAAAAAAAAAAAAAAAAAGAGCATACGGCACCTAATGTGTTACACATGATAGACAAATTCTGTTTTCATTGAACAGAAAATATATGAGGAAAAAAATATAAACCTTCCGCTGTGTTTAAAGGTATATCGAGTATACAAAGTACAATGTTCTACAATAATTACTGTTAAAGGAAAAAGGCTAGATGAGTGCAATGGGTCAATGATTAGCATGTCAAGCCCCCTCGCTTCGATAGAATGTTTCGAGCGGAACAAAAAAACAGGTCTGCTATTACCCCACATGAGCAGAATATTCTCAAAACTGATGGTAAAATGGCAGGCTTACAACAAAATTAATTGTTGAAAATATCATCTGTTCAAGGGCTCTAACTGAACTTCCATCTGTCCAGAATGTTGTGTATCTTTTTGTGCTGGATTCAGGAGGTCAATAGAATCCTCTTCTTCAATGTTACCTAACACCCAATTGCTTCTTCCAAATATTCTGTCCCTCCTTCGCTGTTTTTCTTGATATTCCAGATACATGACAATCACTGTACCGATAACGAGCCAAAGAATTAGTGCCCAGATATATCCATGAGCATTTTCATCTCCATATCTATCTCCCAAATGCTTCACTCCACTGAAAAGTGCCGCAATTCCTACAATGATGGCAGATCTACCAACAATGAGGTGAAAATACTCCCAGAGACGCCTTTTTGAGGAAACCTCTTCTCCATTAGCAGGTTTTTTAGGCCTCATGGAAGCATTCACTGGCTGTACACATGCCAGAAATATAGCAGCAAGCCCAAACTTAACATGAGCTGAGCTGACATAGAGGCCTTGAAGCTCAGCCACTGCAAACAGAAGGCCAAGCAGGAGAATTGCTAAACCTGAGTACTGCAAGTAAACATGAATCTGGTACCAGCCATCCCCCTTCACATGCTTCATGTATCTAGCGGCCAAAACTCCACCAGGAAGCAAAATACCCCAAGACAGGAACATCATGAACCCATGTACAGCTAACACCGGCCGTAAATCTTCGTCCGCTTCTGCAGAACCACGCATAAGCGACACTCGTATAGGCCTATGGCTAGTTTCGGAATGCATATTCTTCTCATTTAGGTGTTTGTCTGACCATTTTGTACCCAATGCCCATATGACCTTGAGTGGAGTTGTGGGATCAATAATATTTTTACACTCTAACCGATCATTGTGCCTACACAGTTTTAAAGGTCGTGTAAACTCGAAGGTGATAATCCCATTTTCTGACTTGCACCTTATATCAGTCAAATTCTCATTTGTTGGATGCACGCTTGAGGCATCCCTTCCATCAATCCAATATGAATTTACATGCCCTTTACCGATATCGTCAACCCAACCCACATAAGCATAGCTATCAATCATTGCAGTACCAAATCCTATAGCAACATAGCCACTCTTTTTCTCACCGCGGGCAGCAATAGATATACAATCTTTTGACAATGTCCAAAAGAAAGTGACTTGCTGATCATCCAAAAGGACACTGTTGCTATACATATCAGATAAACCCCCATCAACCACCTGAACCCTCCAACCCATCTTCTTCTGATACAAAGATTGATAGTACACCTGATCTGGAGTATTCCTATCCGGCTCCCAGGTCAATTCCATTGGACTAGCCAGAACACCTTCAGCTTCAGGACCTCCTGCATAAATAGTCTCAGTCTTGTTCCTCAATGTTGCATTACCACCAAGCAAATCCGAAGTAATGTACAATGCAACATCATGTCCAGCTTGCACTGAAAACTTCACTGGCACCCCTCTTTCAACTTTCAAAACAGGAGCCTCCTTCTTATTAATGTACAAAACTTTTGAAGGGTTGGGCGGATTGGGGTAATCAACTGCAGGACCCGTAGTAACAACAAGAGGCTTATTTGCATCTGCGATAATCAAATCCTGATCCTCCTTGTCTGCAGCATCCAAGGGCCCTAAGCACTCATTCACCTTCTCAGAAACATTAAACACCAAGTGCCCATAAGTCACCGACATTGGCCCTCCATGATTCTGCGGTAAATAGTAAGGCCGAAAAGTATCAGGTGGCCTCATCAACCCCAAAGCCCAAATCACTGTCATATTCTCTGTATAATTCACCGGCAAATCATACTTGCTATCAACTGAAACCAACGGCCGCCTATACCTAATAAATGAAACCCCATCCTTTCTATGCCCATAAATCAAATTCGCATTGTTCACCAATCCAACAGGGTCCGATCCTTCATATATCGTATCAGGACAAACCCCACGAGCTGAACCATCCTTATTTATGGTACACTCACTATAGTCGGTAATAAAAAAATCATCAACAAAAGGCATCCCTTCCTCTGTAAACCCTGCCACCGCCACATCACCACCGACCATAACCTCCGAATTAGCCTTCGGATTCGCCCAACCAAACGCCATATAATTTTGTATAGCAGTCGTTGCCTCTAATCCTATTTCGATAAAATCCTCCTCCACACTCAAACTCCACCTAATCCTATAGTCGTTAGACAAAACCTTACAATTATCAAACATCGTCGGAACTCTAAAAGGCCCGAATTTGCCTTCCTTACCACTACTATCATTACCTGCCGGCGACGGAGCCAAATTTGGACTCAATGTGGGAGCCAAATCAGACCCATTTGAGAGAATTACATGCCCAAAATCCGATTCAGTCAACAAGTCCCAAATGGATAGAACTTGGATCCGATCCCAAGTAACATTTTGACTCAACTTGACACTAAAGCTTCCATTTTTATAAGTTTCATTGAGTTTATAATCAGAAACTATAAACCCATTTGTGAGATTATCAAAATCGGGAGCGATGGAGCCCCAAAAGTAAACATCCAATCCTGATAACATATCAAACTGAGAAACCCTAAAAGAGCAATCATCGATTATGGTTAGAAACCCACGTACTTGGTGTTGAACCATGGTGAACTCGGATTCGAACCCGACAAACGGGCTGGTTTTGGGGCAGGATGGACCCGGATCGGCATTAGAAACGAAGAAGAGGAAGTTATTGAAGAGAAAAAAACAAACCCTAAAATTATTAGAGGATTGCAATTCATGAGGAGATATCAAAATTGAAGATCCAATCTGGATCGGGTAGGATCCAATCGGGATTCCAAAATGGGTTTGGATCAGAGAGAAGAGTGATTAACTGAACCGAGATGAGCTTGGGAAAGGAAGAGCGAGTTGACTCAGCAAGAGAAGTAAGTTCTTCGGTGATTCTTTAAAGATTTTGTGTTCTGTTTTTCCTGCTCGGAAGGAACTAGGAGAGAAACGGGGATTGTGTCAGAGTAGGGGTATTTTTGTCTTGAAAAAAGTTGTGATTGGTCGGAAGAGGAGACTTGCTTAGTGTATTTTGTACTAGGAAGGAATCCTTTTATTCTAAGCAAATGGGAAAAAAGTAAAACAATATGGTCAGATGGTAATTTTGATGGGATTTAAACATTTTAAACAAAGTCCATGTCTTAAGAAATAGTTACAAAATAAATAATCTACTTTGAAATTAGAAGATTCGTAAAAAAATATTTATTATATCTTCGAATTAAAAAAAAAATCGTTAAAAATTAGATTTGCTTTGTATTTCTATTCCACGAGTGTTTAATTTAATAAATTTTTCAGTTCTGTTATTGTTTAAAATGAAGTATTTATTAAATAGTAATAATCTTTGGATGGTGATTGGAACGATGAATGTATTTATTTATTTATTTATTATTATTTTGGATTATTATGAATTTAATAAGAATTTTTTGAAACATTTTGTAAATGTATTGAAAATGAAAAACCTAATTGTTAAAAAAATTTAGTCTTGGTATGAAGATTTAATTTCAAGATAGGATTATAACCTTTGAAAAATTAAACAAGGCTTAGATTTTATAAATGAAAACCATATAGATATTGGCAAAAGAAATTGACTTTGTGTTGGGATGGCACAACAAACAAAGGGTATTGGCCTTGGAAGATGCTTTCATCATGTGCAAAGTGGAAGTAAAAATTTAGGGTTAAGCATGTTTGATGCTTAAAATATGGGGGATTTGAACTTTGAAGGCATCTCGTTGACAAGTTTCCCAATGATTTCAATTTGGGCATCAAATCAGCAATAATTTAATGAACTGAGTGTCAATTTCAATTGAGATTAGGTGAATGTTTGAAAATCTTAATGGAAAGATGTGGAGTTCCATTTAGTCCTGTTCTTGTAGGCGTAGAAACCCACTCAAAGATGTGTGGACTTCACACAATTTGGATGTAACTTTCAGTCTATCATGGCACAGTAAGCTTTCCAAAAACAAAACAAAAAAATGCACCAAGTCATGTTTCAGAAGACCTTCAAGTTCAACAATGGTGTCATCATATCCTTGCAGCTAAAATTCTCCAGGGCAGGGCAGGACAGGACAACATGGAAGATGGTCAAAATTGGAAACTAAAACGTTTCTCACGTTTCGATCATTAAGAAAATTGTGGAATTATGAATTAACTTAAATTCATCAAAAGCAAACGTGCTGGCCATGACAGAATGTTTGTTCGAAGGTGGCCGAACTTGCGCTGTGGGCCTTCTAGCTTTAGTGACGTTTTCCCTGCCAGTTCTCTGAAGATATTTTCGTCCAAAGCATTTTGCTTTACTAGGGTTCCGCCATTGCATGCACTTTAGGAAGTGATCTGATCCCTTTGTTTTATTGTCCTAAGTTGGAATAGCTTTGGTCCTGGAAGGGAAAAGATGCCCCTTGAAATTGGGCTACATGGATGATGATGATGATGATGATGATGATGGCCATTCCAGGTTTCCTCAGCACTTCTTCATCTCCATTCTGCAAAATTCATTCCATCCATAGCTTCTTATATGTTCTAATACCAACAAAATTCTCATTTAATCAGCCCATCGTATCTGTTTTTATGAAGAGATATGAATTCGTATGTTAAATAATAATAATAATAATAAATTAAAATTTTGGTCTTGATATTAGATTCTGACGGAATTTGTGAGTGATTAAACTTGAGATCTTTTAAGAAAGGAGAAAGTAATGCTGGTTGAACTACAATCGAGAGGAAGGGTATTGAACCTTGTCACACGACTTTTTTGAAAGTAAAGGGTTCGATTCTGTGGATGGATCCTTCAATGCTCTCCCGAGCAATCTGTAACAGGCATTTTTTTGGGAAATCTGGACTTTTTTAAGCAGGCCTCTGAGCATGTGCCAGGTTTGCTTGTTCACTAGCATCGCTAGCCACCTGATTCAAGACAAGTGCTTCATGACAAGATGAGTGCTTCATGACAAATCTTCCACTTAACAGCTAGTGAAACTGGAGTTGACTTGAACTTGATTCGCAGAAGACACTTTTTCATACCTGTGTAAATATAGCAACATATCCAATTAACAATCTGCAAATGCAACCAGAAACAATATAATATATATATATATATATATATATATATATATATAGAACAATTCAACCAAAGAGCAGACCATAACACCACTAAATGGAGTGTACAGACTTGAAGCCAGAACAAGATGAGGCCAGATTGGGAAAAGAAAGCTGCATTCCAGGACAAGGCATGTACTGGTTAAGGAACCAAAATGACCAGTAAACTCTAACAGCCATACCGATAAACAAAATCAACAAGGAGAAAAATAAAAAGCTAAGAGCAGTACATTTCGCATGCCAACTTTTCGTAAAATCACCTCAAGTCTTTGAATACAAGCTTATGAACTCTTCTTCTCCTTTCTACTCCATGAAGTTGCATCAAACATAATAAACTATCATGAGGTCATTTAGTTTTTGTGCGAATTCAACAATTATTGAAGGTGTTAATACACAATGAAAGGTTTTGTAAAATATCATGTTACATGTATGCAATCGAGAATTGGTACTTGCAATTATGGAGAACTCTAAAAGAATGATACGAAGAAAATTAACTTATCATTGAATTGTATTCCTGCATAAAAAGAAAAGTAAAATTATTGCTGGAATGCATAATTGGGGAAATATTGAGATACTTAGGTGTTTGAGGGTTGGTAGTGTAGAGACGATTTTTTTTGGAAGAAAATTGTAGGTGGATGTTCATAATAAAAGCTTAAAATCTAGAATAGCACTTTAACAGAGAAGGCAGGAAAATAGTTACCAACAAGATCATCAAGCAGAAGGGGAGGAAAAGTTATTTCATTCATCTACTGGAAACATAAGCTATTCCTGCTACATGTTGGTCTTGCAAAAGAAACAATCTGCCTTCATCAGAAAAACAAGACCTAACAGGCTCGCTGATTGCTTCCTGGCCATGATATGCATTAAACTTGGCTTAATCAACTAATTACAAATTTTACAAGCTGAGTCTGATATACTACATACCTCTTGTAAACTAGCATCTGGGAAAGGCGCATCCTGCTTCCTCTCATCACCCAACACGAACTATCCAAACCATGCTGCTGAACCAATGACAAAACTTGATTGACTTGTTGAAGATGCCCATGAACGCTATCTGTGAATGAGAATGCCCATTATTCTAGCAAGAGACAGCAGGATATCAACCTCCCAAGAGTTTAACCTGATTATAATATGAATTCCTGGAACTCATAGAAACAAATGGAGGAACAGTGTGTTACATGCTATGGTATCTCCAGAGTCATCATCACAACAAGATGAAACAAGTTCAAAAAAGAAGAGGAGGAGAGGAAGAGAGAACTAAAATTCACTATTTAGCAAGTCTTGTGATCATAGTATTAATTTTCAACACTTTCATCCTTGGTGGGGATTGCATTCTTCACAGATACAAATACCAACTCAAAACTGAAGGCTTCCATTGCGATCCCAACTTCAAGGAAAAGCTGGGACTACACGATCTCATTGTTGAAAAATTTTAATCAATGGAGGAAAAAGGGATAAAGATCCATGAATTCTGTTGGTCAATGAGTAATTATTTCTCCATAACGGTAGCAAATATTGCAAACAGACAAGCCTCAAGAAAATGCACAGAAGATCATAACAAAAAAAAAAACTTCATCAGTACGAATTTGAAAAAACTAGGATTATTATTGAAACACTAGCTGCAGTAATTTACAAAGAACCAAGCTACAAACCAGTCAAGGTTGCAGTTACAAGGAAGCAATTGAAAGAGGTCAACACTAGAACAACAATCTTTCTTGCCAAAGTATACAAAGAGAATAGAAAGTCTCACACTCTAGTAGTCTACAAATATTGATCAATCTTTTTACCCCAATTATTTTCTTTTCTTCAATTAGTATTCTGTCCATTCTCAACACCGAGACCGTACAAAACACCAGCATACTTCTTGGCTGAGCCACTGAAAAAGTTATCCCTCAACTTCCTAAATGTGCAGGATGTGAGCAAACTATCAGAGCCAGCTTGATGGCACACACCAATTCTCTCCACCTCCAACAACTCAGCGAGCTTGTTCAATCCACCATGCAGGCTATTACAAAACTTCATCAAATGCTTGATATCATAAACCATTGGAAAATACATATTGATCAAGTCAAAGAATCCTGATGGTGTCTCGGGCAAACTCCTGCAAGTCAAAAGCTTAAGCAAGTAGCCAAAATCATACCCACTATGGAAAGTAACCCAGTGCACACCATCATTCAAAACAATCCCCGATGACATTAAAAGCTCGCCAAACCGATTCACATCAATACCCTTTTCATTATTCTTCTTAAAATCAATCCCGCATTGGCGCAACAACTCAATTGAATCACTTGCAAAGATATCATCAGTCACATCAAACTCACGGAAATTAAATTGCCAAATGCAAAACTTATCCGTCCCACAAGTTGGCAAATTCCCATTCTCATCCGAGAACGTAAGACCCAATTGGATCAATTTCAACATATCGACATTATCTTTCAAAGTCTGGTAATTATAATCATTAATATTCTTAAAATTCCCAACAGGGCGCAAAACCACGCCAGGGAACTCAGTATCCATAGCTACATAATTATACTGATCAACAATTTCACGAATCAACTCAAACTCCTCTTCAAGGTTATCATTCCAAACCTCTCGAATTTGAATGGACTCTTCTTTTGGTGGTACAACTGAAAGTTCCATAAAAACCAGTTCACAAAAACCCTATATAGTTCCAAACTTTACGAATCCCAGATCCCGAAAAACACAAGCATAAATACTTCAAAACCTTAAAACCTGAAAAGGGCCTGCTTAACTTCAGTCCCAAAACTCAGTCCTATCACAAAGAACCCAGATCTGCAAGAAACAAAACACAAACAACATAAATAAAAATCCAAACTTTATTGTAAAAACATTAGAAAGCTAAAGTCTTTCAATCGCTAAAGTAAGTAAAGATCTAACCTTTGATGTGTGAAATCAAGGGTTGCAGTGAACAGATCTTGAAGTGGTGATTAGTGATTTGAGTTTGATTTAGAGAGATAATTTTTGGGTCAAAAAAGGCGCTTGAGAGAGAGAGAGAGAGAAGATTTACTACAAGGGTGTCTTGTTAAAGCACTGGAGAGAGAGAGAGAGAGAGAGAGAGACAGGGCAATAAAAAGGGGAAGTGATGTTGCTCGAATGGGGAATTGGTCAAAAACGAGGGCGTTTACTCTGTGTTTACCAAACGCATGCGTTTTGTGTTTTCTTTCATTTTCACACACTGAGTCTTCACTTGGGAATTTGGACTTTCCTGGGTAATTTAGACCCACAAACTGTCTTTTGTTTCAAGTTTTTTTTTTTTATTCGATAATAAAAGCATTTTTAAATGAATTGGTATGTCAATCCACATCAAGTTTTTTCTATAATAATTTTAAAAGTAAATTTTCACATTAATTTGGTGCATTAAAAAGATTTAATAAATTCTCTTCTGACCCCGGGAATATCTGCTTTGTTTGCTTTTAGCCCACCAATGATGTTTTGCTAGGGTTTTAGATGGACTTTTTAATTTTCTTAATAAGAAATGTGTTGAGCTTTGAAAATTGATCTGAATGTAACTTGCAGTTTATTGTGTTACACAGAGTTAGAACAATAATTTTATTATAAATACAGACATTATCTCTTGCATTTATAGCTAATCATAGCTAATCAAAAAACTTAATACAAACTTATAATGTATTAACGAAGCAGGCACATTTTTCTAATTATATAAATTTTGTATCGTATGAATTTTTTTTTTTTTTTGCTTTATCTTCTTACTTGATTATTTTTTAACAATTAGTATCGAACCAAGCTCAAGAGGCAATGAGAAATGATAATAGAAAAAAAGAAGTTAAAATTGACAAATTTGATAATAAAGACTTAGAATTCGAATGATACAGTTTGAAAACTATAAAAAATTACACGAAACTCCTATTAGAAAAGAAACCAAAGAAAATGAAATACTAATTGGGCTATGTGTAATTCATAAAATCAAATACAAACCCAACATTTGAAATAAGTTTTTTTTTTTTTTTAATTTGAATCTCGAGAACAATATTTGCAAAGGTTTACTTTTAAAATCATTTAAGAACAAGATTTAATCTTAAATTAAGTGTAAATTAATTCAAAAATATACTTGATTATTAAAAAAAATGTGAAAATCTTATTTGTAAACCAAACTGATTTATTTATTTTTTAAAAATGAAATGTAGGGGTGAATTTGGTGTTTAAAAATTGACTAAAAAACAACATTATATAACAAAAAATAAAAATAAAAATAAAACATGAAAGATAGTGATGTCAGTATTATTAAATTAAAATTTGTCTTCTCCGTTACAACTTTCTTTTTGGGTTAAATGAGCAGGATTAATCCAAAATCTTTTGTCCTCCACTTTGTTAATTTTTCCAACCAAAGCATATTGTAAAAAAGTATATTTTGTTTTTGGCAAACCACATGAGGAAATGATGCATGTAATTGTTGTAATATCGACATGTCTAGAACTCTTTTGACTCACACATCGTGCAAAAAAAAAAAAAAAAAGAGTTTTGAAAAATCTAAACTTTTTTGTTCCAAGCAGGTCTCTTTCATGGACATGGCAAGACACCTGAGTTCAAGTGGACAGAGAACAAGGACATAAATGAGTTTCGAAACGTGAGTGTCTCGAGTTTGAAAACGATGTTTTGATGCCTATCAGATTCAATTATTTGCTTCCATGTAACGAGAGAAGGAACTGTACGACACCAAAATGGCCATTGCTTCCCATGGTCCCAGACTACGTGTGCTTTGTCGTTCTGAGAAAAGGAAATCAATGCTTCTTTTTATCATGTAGTCGGCATTATTTTAATTTATAATTACAACATTGAACTAGCAAAAGATTCAAAACTAAATGACTTGGGATTATAAAATTGAAAAATAATTATAAGATCATTACTTAATTTTTTATACATAATATCATGAGTTTTTATATTTTTAATTTCGTTTTATCTTTCGTTAATTTTTTTAAAAAAGTTTAATTTATTCTTCTGATTAATTTTTTCTTTCATACGAAATTTTTTTGATAGAAATGTTTCGGAGTGAAATGTAAAAAAAAAAAAAAAAAAAAAAAAAAAACTTAATATTTTAAAAATAAAAAATACAAGTTATGTGATTTTAAGTGTTTATTATTATTATTATTATTATGCATTTTAGTAAAAATTATTTCAATCAAAAAAATTATATATAGTCGAAAAAAATAATTAGAATGACAGATTAAATATTTTAAAAACTTTAAAGATAAATAGGATGCAATTAAAAACTTGAAAATATATAAGAGACTCGAGGTATTATATAAAAACAAATTAAATTATCCACCCTACTTGTAATTGAATAGATTTAGAATTTTAGATAAAAATGAAACTATTTTTATTGTGTGAGTCAAAACTCGTTGATTCTTTTAACGAACAAAGTATACGTCGGTGGTTGTGGCTCGATATTGCATCTATTTTGTTATTGTTATTTTAATTTCTTACAATCTCTCTTTTTTTTTTTTTTTCTTTTTAAAGCCTTGAGGTTATCAGTTAAACTCCAAGAGCTTCGGTTATAAATACTTGATCAACCCAATTTCCCATTGACTACGTTACCATGTGGCAACTATTATACGTCACTTTGATTGTTCAATCTAATATAATAAAGAAAGTGTCTCGGTGATTGGATTTTAAAATTGCAACTTACAAAAGTGCCTAATTAAGCTCTTTTTTTTTTTCCCAAATATTGATGGGAATCAAAATTTAATTTAGCAATGAATCACGAAATACTACGGTTCTTAAATATGATTTCTTAATTTTTTTTTAATAGTAATTCATAGGGTTATGCATGTTTTCTTTTCTATTTAAATTTCATGTTTAATGATATATCTAGTATAGCATGCATGAACAATAATAATAGTGAAAAAAAAAAAAAACGAAGTTGCTATGAAAATGATGAGATCATTATTGTCAAAATCTTTTTCGAATTTTAGTATGAATAACCAAAAAATTAACGTATACAATAATACCTCGTTCGCAATGTAACATGGATATCAAATTATTATGAATTTTACTAATGCACAAATAATCTTATGGTTACTAAAAATGAAAAAGAAAAAAAAATGTTGCACCAAAAATTACGAGTCGATCCCTTCATTTTAAACTATATAGATTTATTTGACGATGATATCTAATAATCAAATAGCCTCTAAGATTCCTAGACATTGTCCTAAAAACATGTTTACGTTATATTATTATATTATTTATTTATTTATAGGATTTTTTGCTTCTATTTTTTTATATATTGAGAATCATTGAATCAAGCTTTCAGGTGACATTATAGATTCTTATTGATTTAGTTTTTCATATTATAAAGTGCAAAACGAATCATTTATAATCACATGAATCCAAATAACTAAAAACTATATTATATATATATAAAAAAATTGATTCGCAATCATTCTGCAAGCACTAGATATAAACAATTAGCAATCGTGCTTCCAACTATCTAATAATTCATTCATGTTTATTTAAATCTCCAACAAATGAATATATATATATATATATATATATAAAGTGCACGATGAAGCCTTTCTTGGCTTTGGGCCTTGGAGTCCCACTTGAACTAATGCACGCAAAGATATTGTGAACTTTTCCTTTACTTTTTCAAACATTTTGATTATGTATTTTTGTTTTATATTTGTAGATAGGGGTATATTAATTTTTTAATTTTTTCAACTAGGTATATGAATTTTTTTTTTATTGAGTATATCAATTTTTTTTTAAATTATCAATTAAGTTCTTTTGTTAATTTTTATATTAATTGATGATGTGTTTGATACCCTCAAAATATGAAATTATAATTTTATCATTTTTCTCAATCGATTACATGAATTTTAATTTTTTTCTCGTTAGAGTACATCGATTTTTTCAAAACTCGTCAATCAAGTATTTATATCACTTTATTCGTTAATCGATGACGTACTCGAATACAAAATTATAATTTTATACTCTTTTTGTTGAAAGAAACTTTATCATCAAATTATTTTACTATTTTATAATCTGAAAAAATTAAAATATATATTTTTTATCTCTAAAATTTCAAACTAAACTCAATTAGGTTGCTCGTTAAAAAAAAAATTGTTTTAAAAGTGAAAATGAAAAAAAAACACAAATGAATCTTCTAGATGAAAAATCTCATATTTGTGTTTCCTTCAATTTTCACCCCCAAAACCTAACATTTTTTTCAACAACAAGCCTCATTAAGTTTAGTTCAAGATTTTATAACTAAAAATATATATTTTTTAATTTTTTTGTCAAATTTTAAATGATAGAGTAATTCAAGGAGAAAATTCCTTATAACAAAGATGAAAAAAAAACAACTTAGTATTCGGACACGTCATCAATTAATGAGGAAATTGACGAAAGTACTTAATTGACGAGCTTTAAAAAAATTAATATAATCAACTTGAAAAAATTAAAATCTATGTACTTCATTGAGAAAAAAAAAGCAAAATTATAATTTGGTATTTTGATGGTAACGGACGCATCATCAATTAATGAAAAATTGACGAAGTATGTAATTAATAGTTTTAAAAAAATTGATGTATTTAAACAAAAAAATTAAACTTTATATACTTAATTGAAAAAAATTGAAAATTGATATACATATATTGTAATTATTCCTTTGTAGATATAAGTGAAACATCTTTCACGTCAATAAAAATAAAAATTATTATTTTTTAAATTAGATTAGTATTGGATTAAGATTAGTTTTTAATCAATTTTAAGAATTGAATTTTTAAATTCACCAATAATTTTCGTCTAATGATATATAAAAGAGAGAGAAAATATTTCTAAAAACGTGAATCAAACAACTGGACATTTTAATTAATTATCATTGCTTATTCTTTTTTTTTTTTTTTACAATTTTGTCCTTGTCACAATCTACTTCTTTATTATTTTTTTTATCTCATTATCCGAACTTGAACCCTACTTTAATTATCGATGGAACGCCATGCTCATTTCAACAATAACCCATCCCAATGATTCCCAACCCACCGAAGTCAAAGCTTGAATATGCATCACCAGATGATCCATGAAAGTCATGGTTGTGTTGATAATGATATTATTTTTTTAAATATTTTTTAATGTCATTTTAATCTCCTAGTTAGACACATTTTAAACTTCATTAACAATTGCATTTATGTTTCTTTCAATAAGTTTTTGTCCAGTTCGATATCTCCATCCTTAATTTTTTTTTCTTTTTTGTTTTAAGTATATATATATATATATATATATATATATATATATATATATATATATATATATATATATATATATCCATCCGAGACTTTTGATAGAATTAATCTATTGAAATTTAAATTTATAACTACTTGCAAAATACTATTATTATTGGGTTATAAGTCTTTGATACTTTCATCCTCAATTAACACCCATAATTATATAATCTTAAAATAATCGTTTTGAACTTACTGAAAAAACAAAATATTGCTTTAGTTTTGTAGTCTTCATAAATAAGATTTTTTTTTGTTCTACAAATACATCCAAATATTTTTTGCGTTTTTAGCTACCCCAAATATCTTAGAATTTATACTTTATACTCCTAGTGCTTGGCCTTCAACCGTAAGGCTTTCGTAGCTCAGTTGGTTAGAGCACCCGTTTAGTAAGCGGGAGGTCTTGAGTTCGATTCTCAACGAAAGCAAAATGTCTTTTTTCCTTTATTCCCATTATATACCCTTCAGATCATTGCGCGTGGGATTCAAATCCAGGAAAAGAGAGACAAGACTCTCGTATGCCCTGCCATTTTTTGCCGATAAAGAACAAACAAATTCCAGCCAATGAGGAGCTTGACTTTGATTTATCTCCAACATTTTCCACGTTTCGTTCTCTTATACGTCAAGAGAATTAAAACCCGCAAATCTGTCTTGTCTCTGTCATTATTGAATAAATCGATTCTCGAATCTTACCTTAAGAACTACAACTCAGCCTGACATTGTCTGTCACAAAAATATCTATCAGTCTATCTATATCGGCTTCTTTGTATGGATTCAGTTACCTCAAATATCAGATTTTTCTAGGTATCTATTTTGTTTTTCTTCTGGGTCTGTTTGGTTGTTGAGAAAATTAGATTCAGGAATCAAGTGGCTTAAAAGAGATAGTGTTGCTGATTTTTGAGTGTACTTTCTTCGAAATTCTGATTCTTTTGGTTACTTGTTGAAATTGAACAGTGAAGGTTAATTTGATGTGGGATTTGAATTTAATTCTAAATTCGAGGGTGTTTTTTTCTTTCATTTGAATTTTCAGATAGTTGAGAGTAAAATGGATGGGGATTTGATGCTTGTGGCTCAAATAATTTCACTGCAGAAGGAAAGTTATCAATGAAGTTCCTGTTGTTTATTTGGAAGCTGATTTTGTTGAAAACATGGATCAAATCCGAAAGACAATGATGCAGCATGAAGCTTTGTTCAAGGAACAGGTTTGATGTTTTGTTTGATTTACCTTTTTCTGCTTCCTGATCTTTTGATAGAGTTTTCAACTTTTATCAAGAGCATAGATGAGAGTGTGTGTTGCTGAAGAAAGGAAAAAAAATCGAGTTCATTAATTACTTTTTCTTCAGTGGGAAATTTGCTATTGAAAAATTAGTGTTCTTTGATTAGAGCAACATGGCCAAGTTATTAGGTCATTGCATCGCCAAGGATTCATGTCAGCATTCAAGCATAGAAAAATCAGAAGTAGAAGATTTTCTTTGGCTTTATGACTTTGTTCCTTGTCCCGAGTTTTATTTGATGTTCAAGTGCATTTTTGAAAGCAGCAGGCTTGCTATAGTTAATAGAATTAGGCTCAGCATGGATTATTGCAATGCATCTCTTTCAGAAGCATTGATGCTGCTTTTTATTGGGTTACGTGTTCAATTAAATGGGTGGATTCACCATTATTTTGTTTTATTTTGTTCACAGTAAGATGAAAATCGTCACTCATCTAAGTTCGTGAAATGTTGCCGTTTACAGGTTCAGGCACTGCACAAATTGTACGATATCCAGAAAGTAGCAATGCAGGAAATAAGGAGAAGAAGTTATTCTCAGGCTCAAGTGCTTGCATTTAGTCCTGAAAGTCTTGTACTTGTGGAAGGCCAATTTTGTGGATCTGTTTTGGAAGGGAAACCCTTGAGGCCGGTCTATACCGCTGGTCGAGCACATAAGCAAGATGCATTGGCTCTTTCTTTGAGTCCCTTCTGCACACTCAAAGAGATTAAAGGTAGTGGTTCTTTATGGATTGATGGCGTTGGGGCTGAAACTTTCCCCCCTGCTCATAGCAAACCTGTGAGAAATTTTGATCTTGAAAAACTCCCAGAAGATGCAGGTGAGTACACTGATATTCAAGGAATAGCAAAGCAATGGAAAGGAAACAATTTCCCTGATTCTACTGAATCGTTTCAAGATCTCGGAAAAAGTGGTAAAATTGTATCAACAAGTACAAAATCAGATGGGATGGTCTCATCTCCCAAAGATCCCGTCACATGCTCTCAAGATTCTTCAATCCTGGAACCTCAACATTGTGAATCGAAAGAACTCAACGACTTCAACATCCAAAGGTCGATTTACTTGGAGACAAACTCCAATCTGGCACCGCAAAATCCGAACTTATCTGCTGCTGCCAAGGACTCAAGTAATGGCAGCAATAGCATTGAGTCCCAGGAGACAAAGTTCTTCGAGAAAAAAGATACTTGTGTCCGCAGGGACGATACTGGCGAGGCAGTTCAGGCAAGCCCCAGCAGCAAGGCAGTCTTCCTATCAGAATGTGAAGAAGAGCCCCACATCAGCCAAGATGTTTTGAGACCTTCAGCTTGCTCCACCCACGCAGATTCTGAAATAAAAACCACAGACAGTAATAGCCATTCAAACTGTGAACCTGGAAACGTGACAAACTTGGAGACGCCTCCTGTTGTAACAGAGGGAAATCAGAACAGGAAGGGTAAACCAGTCCTGTATGAAGAGTGTGAAAGCCTGGCAGCTGAGATTTTGCTCAGTTTTGCACCCAGTGATACTAAAAGACATGCAATGGAAGCTGAGCCAGGTAAATCTTATGGAGACCCTGCAACTTCGGAAGAGAAGCGAAATATGTGTCAGAAAAGATGTGGAAACTTTAGCAATGGTGATAGAGTATATGAATCCTTAAGCTGGACAAGATCAGCTAATAGTTTGAGGACTGTTAAAAGACACCGGTAACTAGTTGCTGCTACAATTGTTCGTTACAAACTTGTTGCTGGTCCTACCTATGTAAACATCAACTTGTGAATTTATTTGCATGTTCTAGTTGGAATTGGCACTCGTATTTGATGTGTATCTAGACGTAAAACCAAATACTAAACCTCTTTCTTTTCACGTTATGAGCAAAGAAGGGCTGATGGTTTTGGCTTTCTGCAGTACTTAATTAGCTCACAATTACCTATTGCAAAGCTTCTTAAGAGCTGATTCCAACATAAGAACAACTTGGAATTTGTCATATGGATCATGAAAAACTCAATTTGACCTCCATCAACTGCTGCCTAATCAAATTGTTGGATTTGCCTAACTACTGAAAATATAATGCGAGAGACGGAATCATGTAGCCTGAGAAAATTCATTAAAGAAGGGACCAGACAAAAATGGAGGATGGCAAACGAATGCATAAGAAAAGAACAATTTGTTGTCCAATGACGAGTACAATGACATAAGAAAAGAACAATTTGTTATCTAATGACGAGGAAAATGACAACAAAAGATATGATTAAGATCGTTGATTTTCTTGATGAATCTAACAGGTACAAGATTAAGGAAGAAGAAACAGCAACAGAGGCTGCAGATTAGGAGCAGAAAAGCCAATGATCTGATGGCTAAATTAGATCCTTACATAAAAAAACCTGCACGTGAACCACAAAACCAGAAAAAAGATCCATGGAAAAGAAACAGCAACAAGAACACATCAAAGACAACTGGAGCACAAGAGGACAAAAACTAAAGAAGGAGACAAGAGAGCAAGATTCTCCAACCAGATAAAACACCAAAATCCAGCAACCTGATCGATATTGAGGAAAGGACTTGCATGCACATGATGTCCAAAGGCAAACACACGAGAATACTTGTAGAATCTCGCTCAAGAACACAGCTATCAATATAAAATAGCAGATGAATTTGATCAAGGGACACAATATCTGGAACTAAGCAGGGTCAGAGAAGAGAACAACCGAGACAGAACAGGTAGCTCAATAGCAGCAACGGAGAAGAAACATCAAGAAGCAACACACAATCAAGCAGAATTCAGCAGGAAAGGAGGCAGGAGCAATCCAAAACAGAATCCTGAAACATCTACGTACGCCATCAGAATAAGCAGCATCAAACATAACTTGAAGAAGAAACTGATCCAACAGTACAGAAAGAGACAGCGCAGCAGTATTGGAATTCAGAAATAAACAAGCACATGCATTGATTGCCTTCATCAAATTGGAAAGAAACTGATTGCCATTAATCCAATGCCAATTGTTTGAAACAGAAGGTGGAAGCTGGGAGAAATCAAATGATCAACTAGGGCTGAAGCAAGTAGGAACATGACCCCAAGGATAAAAAAGTTTGCATCCCACCACTTAAAATTATATTCAATTTGGTCCTTTTTTAAACGATTTTTCATTTTGATCCCTATAAATTATACTCAAATGATGAAAGCTATAGATTGACAAGTCGTCGAGGAAAGCGCTAAGTTCCAAATCTTCAAACGACAAGCTGCAACTAGAACACTGAAGAAGAAACTCCTAGACTATTCTCAAGCTTCCTTTTGGCTCTTCTCCAAGCTTTGAAAAATCTTCAAATTCCGATTCAATTTCTCTCAGAAACGAAAAACCCCTGAACATGGCGTCAAGAAGGCTAACAAAATCAGCTCTAACCACCATTAAATCCACTTCAAAGCTATCGAGGCTCTCTCACTCGCCTTACTCTTCACTCTCTCGCACACGCTCAATCTCCTCCTCTTCTTCTCTGCTCGGGACCGCCTTTTCTCAGCCTCTGAACGACAATAACAATGTCGTTTTCGCCAGCTTATCAACTATCACTTCCGCGCGCTTCTTTCACTCTTCCTCTCCTCGTTTCTCCACTGCCACTGCCAGCTCCTCTCAGGTCAGTTTTATTTCCACCATTTCTTTATTATTTTATCTATTAGTTTATGAATTAGAGAGAAATTTATTTAATATTTAGTGATTGCAGACAAAAATCAAGCTGTTATTTATTTTTCCTAATTATTTGAGTTGATGTGAGTTTAAAATTGTAATTTTGTTAATTATTTACTTGAATGTTACAAGTCAGAAAGGGGGAAAAAAGGGAGGAAAAACACACTTTTTTAACACTCCGCAAATTGTGAATAGAAAAAAAACTCTTTTTTGGTAGAATTCGGCAAATTAAATCACATTTCAGAACTAATTGTAAAGGAAAATGATGGAAACATGGCAGAAATGCAATTTGTGTTATGCAATTTCTTGTTAGGAGCAGCTAATATCTTTGGTTTTTTCCCTTTTATTACTGTTTTTTGTTGTTTTATAATGTTATTATGCCGTGGAGATAAAGGTATAGTGTGTTTTGACAGTTTATGAAGGCTTTTCTGTTATGTTCAGGTTGATCCATCTCAATTTACGGAGATGGCGTGGGAGGGGATAGTTGGTGCTGTTGATACAGCACAATCTAACAAACAACAAGTGGTGGAAACTGAGCATTTAATGAAATCCCTTTTGGAGCAAAAGGATGGATTGGCTAGAAGAATCTTTGCAAAGATTGGAGTTGACAACTCTTCAGCTTTGCAAATTACAATCGACTTTATATCCAAACAACCAAAGGTGCAGAGTCTACTTTGATTGTACTTTTGTGCGCTCTTTTGTTGAATTTATATATATGAAGATGTGCACATGCAGTTTTATCCAAGTGTGCGTGCATGAATTTGATGTTTTCGTTTTAAATTTTTTTGTCGCAGGTGACAGGTGGCACTAGTGGTCCTGTAATGGGCTCAAATCTTAGCTCCTTGTTGGACAATGCACGAAAGAATAAGAAGGATATGGGAGATGATTTCGTTTCTGTAGAGCATATTGTATTGGCATTCCTTTCAGACAAGAGGTTTGGACAGCAGTTTTTGAGGAACCTTGGGGTTAGCGAGAAGGATTTGAGAGATGCTGTTACGTCTGTTCGTGGAAATCAGAGAGTGACTGATCAAAGTATGAGTTTAAATTTTCTGTTTTTGCTGCATAATTTTATTCTATGATTCAGCTAGTATGTCAGCCTAGTTTTTTAATATTTTGTTTTTGCTTTTTCAGCTGTATGATAGTGTAAGGCATGCGCATCTAGAACTTCAACATCCATGTCTCTATGCCCACATGGCTTATTGGTTTGTAGCCTATACTGATCTGTCATATTCTTAATAAACACAGATCCTGAAGGGAAATACCAGGCACTGGATAAATACGGGAGTGACTTGACTGAGCTTGCTAGACGTGGCAAACTTGATCCTGTAATAGGGCGAGATGATGAAATTCGACGGTGTATCCAGATATTATCTAGAAGAACAAAAAATAATCCTGTTATTATCGGCGAGCCTGGTGTGGGAAAAACTGCAATTGCAGAGGGGTAGGTTCACTGTTCACGTTCAAGAATTTAAATTTTATCCTCGTACTCGATTAGTACGTGGAAAATTTTGGTTGATTTGTGTACGCCCAGGGTTTTGCGTCACTCATAGATGCTAAGCTGGATAGAATTATGCAAAATTTCTGGGATGGTTTTGTGTCTCTAGAAGACACTAAGCTCTCTAGAATTATTCTCAACTCTTTTCCAAAATGGTGATATCATTAAGTTGCCAGAATAATGACGTAGCCATCATGATTTGAGATGCAGAACACCTTGGATCTACTGTTTATCTGGAGTCTGGTCCATTTGGTTAGTCAACTTAATGAGAGTAAAACAATTTTTTGCTCATGTTGATATATCACGGTACTAGTTCACAAGGTTCTCACCTATTTGGTTTGTCAACTTAAAGGAACACCTGTAATCCATCCTTGTGATTCTAAGTTCTCATCTATTCAATGGGCCATTCAGAAGGTTTCTTTACTATGTTCTGGGTTGAAATATGCCATTACTAATTCATGTAGCTCCGCAATTGAGAATCATATTGAGAATCTTTTGTTGATGCATTGATGAGTTAAATCAAAATTTTGTTAGCACCATATGCAATTCCTTTTTTGCTTTTGTTTTTAATGAAGTTGTGTGTTATTTTTGTAGACTGGCTCAAAGAATTGTGCGTGGTGATGTGCCAGAACCTTTGTTGAATCGGAAGGTTGTTATCCTCTTTCTCTTGTCTCAATTATGGATATATTGTTTATGGGTAAAAAAATTGTTTTACATGATTTTAAATTAGTTAAGTTTGCAATCTTTTGCTAGGTTTTTTTTACACTTTACTCAAATTACATTTTATTTGACATTGACCGGGTAAACAATAATTAATTGTGTAATGACTTGAAACAAAATTCTCTTCTGGATTTAGATTGATCGAGAGTTGGAAATCCAATTTGATTCTGAGGGATCTGACACATTTGAGTTAATATGCTGGTCCTGCAGATATGCAATTAGATTCAAATTTGGATTTTGCAAGATGCACCATTATTCTATTGCTGACTAGCCTAAATTAGTTCGAATAGAACTTTTTATGCGTCATTTTTGTGATTAAGATTTGCAATTTATCTGTCTGGACAGTTGATCTCCCTGGACATGGGTGCTTTGGTTGCTGGTGCTAAGTATCGTGGAGAATTTGAGGAAAGGTTAAAAGCTGTGCTGAAGGAAGTTACAGCTTCGAATGGGCAGATCATATTATTCATTGATGAGATCCATACTGTTGTTGGTGCAGGTCAGTGCCATGCTTCTGCCTGCCGTCTTCCATTATTTACTAATAGTTGCTACATAGGTTACAATTAATCAATTGTTACTTAGATGCACCACTAATCAACAGATGCTCCATTAACATCTATGCATTTAGATGCTTAAAACAAAATCTGTGAGTTTATAGTCATAATTGTATGAGTTGGGAGTTTGTTTGCATGAGTTGAGGTTATTGGTAACTGTACGTGTTAGCAGGTACACTGCACGCTGAAATTGGCATCTCAGTATGTAAATTTGCTCTATCATGTCACAATAAGAATTTATTCACAATTGACATGAAGACTTCTTGATGATTTCATTCAGGGGCTACATCTGGTGCAATGGATGCTGGGAACTTGTTGAAGCCAATGCTTGGGCGAGGTGAGCTACGGTGTATAGGAGCAACGACGTTGAACGAGTATAGGAAATACATTGAGAAGGATCCAGCACTTGCACGGAGATTTCAACAAGTGTTTTGTGATCAACCAACTGTTGAGGACACAATATCCATTCTTCGTGGGCTGCGTGAGCGCTACGAGCTACATCATGGTGTTAAAATATCAGACAGTGCCCTTGTTTCAGCAGCAGTTCTTGCAGATAGATACATAACAGAGCGTTTTCTGCCTGACAAAGGTAAAAATAAGAAACGAGAAAAAGAGAACTTTACTTTTCAACATTGGACATGGTAGGCACGGCTGGTTTCTGTTAAATTCCATGCCCTCTTCTGTTTATGGTGATAGGAAATAAACTGATTCCAGAGTTTCAGCTTCAACTTTTAAATTGAGTACAAAAGGAGAAACATATTATCTTTGTATGGATGAACAAGTCTAAGGCTTGCAACCACAAAGGTCCAGTTTTAACTTTTAAGGCTTGCTCAAGCACTTTATGCAAAGAAGTTTGAGGATGTGACCGTTCTATTCTACTCCCATTACTCCATTTCAGGATCATAATTGGATAATGGCATTCTTTTTCCATCTTTTAATTTTCTTTTGTTTTCTACTTTATTTGATGCATATTAACAGTTTGAGATCTTCTTGACAATGCATGAGAGCATTGAAAGCATGGGAGAGCACTCAATGCCCTCTATTGGTAGTCATAGTAGTGGCTAGCTTGCTGTCTGACAAAAAGGAAAATGAGAAGCATTATAACTGGAAAAGAGGAGCACTCCCTAGCTAACCTCCAAATAAAATTAACTAAAATAAAATAGAAAAAAGGGAGGGGAACTTGGGATTAAGGAAGACTAGCATTTCACCTTGTGTTTTTTTTTTTTTTTGGTAACTTTTTAAGGTTTTCTAGGTGCTTAATGTTGCATTAGATTTTTCTACGAGTTTTCTAGGTGCTTAATGTTGCATTAGATTTTTCTACAAGCATGGTTGCTACCAGAACATGTCTGCTGTACATTTTAGTTTTTCTTTGCCTGTGATCTGTTGAAGTCTCTCATTATATTTTTCTGAGTTTCTGTCCAGCCATTGACCTTGTTGATGAAGCGGCTGCAAAGCTGAAAATGGAGATCACTTCTAAACCTACAGAGCTGGATGAAATAGATAGAGCTGTGTTGAAGTTGGAGATGGAGAAGTTGTCCCTGAAAAATGACACGGATAAAGCATCAAAGGAGAGGTTAAGCAAGCTTGAACATGATTTGGAAGAACTTAAGCAAAAACAGAAAGAACTAAATGAACTTTGGGATCGTGAGAAGGATCTCATGAATCGTATACGATCCATAAAAGAAGAGGTAAGTCTTTGTTTGTTAATGGTGGATTGACATCAAAGTGATCCTTGTATCTTAATTTTTCAATGCAACCTTTAAAAATGCTTGTAGATTGATAGAGTCAATCAAGAGATGGAAGCTGCCGAGCGTGAGTATGACCTGAACCGTGCTGCTGAGCTCAGATATGGAACTCTAATGTCCCTTCAACGCCAGTTAGAGGATGCTGACAAAAACCTCTCTGAATTCATAAAGTCTGGGAAGTCTTTTCTTCGAGAAGAGGTGACTGATTTTGATATTGCTGAAATTGTAAGTAAATGGACTGGTATACCCGTGTCAAACCTTCAGCAATCAGAGAGAGAGAAGCTAGTATTGCTGGAAGAGGTGTTACACAAGAGAGTAGTTGGTCAAGATATTGCTGTAAAGTCAGTGGCTGATGCAATCCGGCGTTCAAGGGCAGGACTATCTGACCCAAATCGCCCGATAGCTAGCTTTATGTTTATGGGCCCCACTGGTGTTGGCAAAACTGAGCTTGCCAAGGCCTTAGCCAGTTTCCTCTTTAACACCGAAAATGCTCTAGTAAGAATAGATATGAGTGAATACATGGAAAAGCATGCAGTTTCACGCGTGGTGGGGGCCCCACCAGGTTATGTTGGTTTTGAAGAAGGTGGGCAGCTCACTGAAGTTGTTCGTAGAAGGCCATATTCTGTAGTGCTGTTTGATGAAATTGAGAAAGCGCATCATGATGTCTTCAACATTCTGTTACAGTTATTGGATGACGGAAGGATAACGGACTCTCAAGGAAGAACTGTTAGTTTTACTAATGCTGTTGTGATTATGACCTCAAACATTGGGTCCCATTTGATCCTCGAAACCCTCAGTAATACACATGATACCAAGGAGGTTGTTTATGATATAATGAAACGACAAGTGGTAGATTTGGCCAGGCAACATTTCCGTCCAGAATTCATGAATCGTATTGATGAATATATTGTTTTCAAGCCTTTGGACTCCAAAGAAATCAATAGAATTGTGGAGATACAGGTAAAATTCTTCCATACAGTATACGATTAGCTTGTCATTTCGATTTCCTTTATTTTTCCTTGTTGATTCCTTTGCTGGGACACTTGAATGCATTTTTTAATCCACATGGTCAATAGAATTTGGAATCCCTGGAACCTGTCTTTCTGTGGGATTCTTGGCAATAGAAAGATGCTGTGAATTTGATTTAGGATTTAGGTAGTCTTGTTGACGTTCTTTCCAGTTTAGTCACCATTTGTAATGAACATTCAGAGAGAGAGAGAGGCCATGTCTTTATGAGCGTCTCAGTTGTTGCCTGTGTATGGACCTCAGACCACTTAGTTGATGCCCGACTTCCAAATTATCCATTAAACAGTGAGATAGGGAAGGGTTTAAAAGAAAACTCACCTCGATAGAAAATAAGTGGTTCATCTATTTCAAAAGGCCCTGTTTCTTTCTCTGTGAATAATTTGCTGGTCTTGTATTGGATTAAAAATTATGTTTCCGTTGGTTAGTGCTTGTTTCTTGCTTGATGGTTTGTCACATTTGCAATTAGTGAAGAAGTACGATGGAGATCATTCTGTAAACTATTTGTACCTGTGTGTAATTGTTCTGATACCTGTCACATAATGAAGGAAGGATTGGTTCAAGAATGTTATGCTGCCTGTTATTTTTAGGCAGGTTTGACTCTCCAAGGCAAGGGGCACCTGTCCTCTCAGTGAAGGATGCATCTGAGATTGAACCAATATGTGTTTTGTTTGTGATACCATTGGTTTAAAGTTAATCAATTTTCTGCTCTTTGATATCTAATACGTCTAAATATGTGAAAACTTTAACGTTACAGGCTGTTGAGGTTAAATGTGTGTGTTTATGGACATCCTTTTGTGTTTTAAGTTTTCTATGGAACTGTGCTATAAATTATTTTGATCAGGACCTAACATCTCATTTTCTATTGTTAGATGAATCGACTGAAAGAGAGGCTCAAACAAAAGAAAATTGATCTGCATTACTCGAAGGAAGCCATTGATCTTTTGGGGAAACTGGGCTTTGACCCGAACTTTGGAGCACGGCCAGTTAAGCGTGTGATACAGCAGTTAGTTGAGAATGAAATTGCAATGGGAGTCTTGAAGGGAAATTTCAAGGAAGAAGATTCAGTTATAGTTGATGCTGATGCAGCTTCAGACCTTCCTCCCCAGAACAGATTGCGCATCAGGAAAATAGAGAGTAGTTCACCAGTAGAAGCCATGGCTGCCTGATAGTTTTCCCTTTTGAAGTTGCAAGTATGTAAATGCTTCGTTTTGTTTTAGTACAAGCTTTCTAGACAGTACAGTTAGTTTTCTCGTGAAGGCAATCTTTTTCTTTTTCATGCTTCGTAAAAGGAAAATGACCAAATAAACATACTTATGTAATCATATTAGGGGCCTTTTTTTTTTTTTTTTTTTTTTTTTTTTTAATTCCCGATTCTATTGGCAAAATCATCATTTTGATATAGATCATACTAGCCCAATACTAGGGCGTTGCAGCAGATGAATCTATTATATACTATGTTTTAGTATTTTAAATAATTCAAAAATATAAGTTTAAAATAAAAATTAATTAATACTAATTGTAAACAATTTGTCATATATATATATATATATATGAGTTTCAATATATCTTAGTAATATTTTATTTCGATAAATAAAAAAATACAATTAATTATTTATTTTTTAAAAATCAAATTAGAAGGAGGTGCTTAATCAATTATGTTAGAAGAATATTTAATTTTAGTTATTGAATCTTTATATATATAAAAAAGTAACCATTAATTATATATATATATATATATATATATATATATGTATATATAGAGTAAATAATAAATAATGAAAAAATAAAATCATATATAAAAAAAAGACCAGGCTAGGTTGACATCAAGCCCTTTCATATGGGCTTGGAGAAAACTAAGCCCACACGACTGGGTCGGAAACCTAGTCCAATCAAAAAAAATTCTACAGATTTGTTTGTAATACTAATTAACATTAAGAACTATTTTATATAAATTATTAACTTAAAAGATCAAAGTACAAAAAATTGAATATCTTGAACTAGATAATTGTCATCATCTCAGGTTGCTTTTTTTTTTTTGGTAAAGAAAATGGGTTTACAAATACGCTAATCATACACCCGTTAGGCCAAAACCCAGTTAAAAATCCCATAAAATCACCAGTTACTTGCTGAACCATCAGCAAGTTCTTGTTGTCCCATGCATTCTCCATCCTCGTCTCCTACAATCAAGCCTGTCAAGCATGGAGGTCCTGCCCAATTTTCACACGCATCCCATCCTGTTGGCTCGATATCTTCTATCGAAACCACAGGATTATTCTCCTTCTTGGGATCGTAAGGCACTGGTTTAAGAGCTTCTTCGAGGTCCACTAAAAGTTGAGGATCAATCTCAGGATTCCAATCAATTTTATCAATGTATCTGTCAGGATTCTGATGGTTTATATTGTAATAAGGAGAGTGACCGTAATTGACTGCCCAAAACCGGTACCTGGCATTGTAGAAACACTCCTTACCTTCAGAGTCGTCCCACATCATGACCTTGCATCTTGGCGAGATGGATTTCTTGGCTTCCAAGAAATCTTTCCATTGCATTCCACCTACTTGGAAGCAGAAGTCTTTTTCCCATTTGGGAACAGAGTACCTATTCCTGCTATGTGTTTGTGATATTTTGGGGTTACTCCTGTTCCTACCATATTGGTATGCATATCTTTTGTGATATGACATATTTTTCAAGAAAACAAGAGCAGAAGTTGATGGTGTAGTTAACACCAAGGACTAAGAACACTGTAAATGAGAGGCAAAGATTAAAAGAAGAATGATTATTTTCTTGTTACAAACATGGTATTTATAATCCAATATGCACCTCTTCATGATTTGGATAGAATTTGGAGAAATTATTAGGTGAACTAGGTTCATGGTGGAATGAGCTTGCTACGAGTTGGTATTTATATTAGATTATTATTTTTTACTAAATGAGTAAACATTTAGAGTACAATGACTCAAAAAGATTTCCATGTATAATTTGATGGATTGAAACCACATGTATAGATGAATTATGATAAATTTGTGAGCGTTCCATTCAACCTCTAATATAAGTATTTCGAGGAAAAAAAGAAGGGATTCGCTAGTTCTGCCTGAACCGGAAGTCATTAATAGGTGAACTAGGTTCATGATGGACGAACTCGTAATGAATTGATCTATGTGCTAGATTTTTCTAAGATTCTTTTTAATAAAAGAGAGCTCTATCTATATAATTGGTAAAATGAAAACAAATGGATATATGAACAAAGATGAATCTATGAGCATTTGATTAATTTGTCCAATTCAACATGTTATGTAATTTATTAAAAAGAAGAAGAAGGAGGAGGAATTGTTAGTTCTACTTGAAGTATAAGTTTAAAAAAGAAATATTATTTTTTCAAACAAAATTATTAGTTGATTGGTTGTCATGATGGGTTGTCATGGAACGAATCGGGACAAGTTAGTCTAATTTGTCTAACGTTTTTTTTTTTTTCTATAAAGGAGTGAACATAGAATGCCATATAATTTTCCAAAAAAAGAAAAAAGGATTTCCTAATTCTGCCTTGAATTAATTAGAAGTCTAAAATGAAACATTACTAGTGGGCTAGATTCGCCTAATAATTACTAGATAAGATGTGCAAATTTAGAATACTATAAATTGAAAAAAAGAAAGTTCTATTTATAATTGGTAATGAAACCTTAGATTAATGAGAAAACTGTAAATTAAATGTATAATTTTTTTTTCTATTTAAATACCCAATTAGTAAATTCTTTTATTTGAGTGTCCAAGTTTTGATATATTTCTCAATCATTTGAGATTAAAAAATACTGATATGGATCGAGAACTATTGACATACATCGGTCTCTAACTAACTCGTAGCAAAAGGTGGGTTCCACTCGAATTTATTGAGAAAAAATAAAAAATAGTACAAAATTTATAAGAGAAAATAGCTGCTAATAATTTTAAAAAAATCAAAATCAGTTATTGTTAGTCGAATAAACTCGACGGAGTTTGTTGACTAATGTCTTAAAATACTTCTAAAATATCATCATTTAAACATTTCATTAACTTAATCCAAAAATTTTAATCTCGAATCATTTAAACAATTCTAGTTCATTTAGCCAATAATAATTGATTTTGATTTTTTTTTTAATTCTTGCCAACTAATTTATTTTATAAAAGTTTTTTATTTCTTTATTTTTTCCTAATAAATACGAGTGGAGTCCATTATTTTCTACGTGTAAGTTAAAGATTGTCGTCTGTAAGTGAATTTTGACAATGTCGGCATTTTCCAATCTCAAGTAATTGATAAAACTAATAATAATAATAACCAAATTAATGTTGAAAAAATAATCAAAAGTTAAACACTCAAAATATATTTTTTTAATAATCTAAGTGGGACCTTTTTTTTTTAAGTGTCTGTTAAAAGCCATCATGTAGCAATTCATTTCGAACAAATCAGAATTTTCCAATCTCAAACAAAAAGTTTACAAAATTTAAAATTAAGCACTTAAATCTAGTGGAACCTACTTTTTTTTAAAACACTTCCAAAATATTATCATCTATATATTTTCTTTGCCTAATCTAAAAGTTTTAACAATGACAATTCGAGTTTATTTAGCTAACAATAATTGATTTTATTTTATTTTTTTTAATTCTAGCAAACTAATTTCTTTTATTTTTTTCTTTATAAATATGACTACGTGTTAATGAATTTTGACTACGTCAGTATTTTCCAATCTCACAGGACTAAGAAAACTAAAAAATAAAAAAATAAATAATCAAATGTTGAGCACTCAAACAAAAAAATAATCAAAAGTTAGGTACGCAAATTGTATTTTATTTAATAATTCAAGTGGGATTCTTTTTTTTTTTTTTGATGTGTCAGTTAAAACTATCACGTGAGAGTTCATGTTAGATAAATCAATATTTTTTTAGTTTCAGGTTATTGTAGGCACTAAAAAAAATTGAAAACAAAGACCCTCAAGCATAAAAAAGAAAAGAAAATTGAACTCTTATGTTGCAATTTTCTGCATATTAATTACAATAAGTTTGTGAGTATTTTATTTATTTATTCAATTCAGCATATTATATAACTTTCTAAAATACATCAGAAAATGGATTTTGTTAATTCTATCTCAAAACTGGAAATCTAAAAGGAAATATTACACTGCAAACTGTTTTAAGTGGTGGACTAAACTGTACACCGCAACCAGTTGATATTCGTCTAATTATTTTTTAACAAAAAAGTACGAATTTGGAATGAAACCTTGCATTGATTCATTAAAATAAGTTTTGGGCATTTTTTTTTATTGACTGTAAATTAATTATTTCTTGTTATTGTATTTTGTTATATTGATTTTTTTTTCTGTCATTTATAATCTAGGAAAAACAATGACCATTAATCATCTGCATCGCCTTCTTCATCTATAAAATTCGATTAATTCTGTTCGATTAAATACATATTTTTTTCGTAGAAAGACTTTTGCTATCAAAATTTAATGAACTTTTGTCTAAACAATTTAATGAAATATTATTTTCTTGTTACAAGCATGCTATTTATAATCCAATATGAAGCTCTTCATGATTTGGATAGGATTGAAAAAATTATCAGGTGAACTAGAGTTGCTCACGATGGAACGAACCTCATAATGAGTTGATCTATATATTAGATTCATCTAATAATCGTTTTGACTAAATAAGATGACGAATTTGAGAATATCAAGGAAAAGAAAGATCTCATCTCTAATTTGATGGAATGAAACCACATGGATAGATGAATTATGATGAATTTGTGAACATTTTATTAATTTGTCCAATTCAACATCTTATGTTATTAGTGGATTGGGTTGTGGGGAACCGAATCAGGACAAGTTAGTCTAATTTGTCCAACGTTGTTTTTTTTGTTTAAAAGAGTGTGAACGTAGAATGGCATATAATTTTCCAAAAAAAGAAAAGAAAAAAAAGATTTCCTAATTCTGCCTCGAATTAATTAAAAGTCTAAATTGAAACTTTACTGGTGGGCTAGATTCGCCTAATATACTTAGGTGTGCAAATTTAGTATACCATAAATTGGAAAAAAAAAAAAAAAGGAGGAGGAGGAAAGTTCTATTTACAATCGGTAATGAAACCTTAGATTAATGAGGAAATTGTAATTTAAGTGTCTAATTTTTTTCTATTTAATTACCCAATCAGTAAATTCTTTTATTTGAGTGTCTAAATTTTGATATATTTCTCAGTCATATAAAATTGAAAAATATTGACGTCGATCAAAAACTATTGTCACACAACGAGTGTCTAACCGACTTGTAGCAAAAGATGGGTTTCACACAGAATTATTGAAAAAAATAAAAAATAATACAAATTTTATAAGAGAGAATAGCTGCCAATAATTAAAAAAAGAAGAAGTCAAAATCAATTATTGTTAGCTAAATAAACTCGATAAGTTTGTTGACCAATTTCTTAAAACACTTCCAAAATATCATTACCGAAACATTTCTTTTGCTTAATCTATAACTTTTAAACTCGAATCATCTAAACAACTCTAGTTCATTTAATTGATAATCGATTTTGATTTTTTTTTTTTAATTCTTGCAAACTATTTTTTCTTACACAATTTTTTTTTCCTAATAAATATGAGTGGAGTCCATTATTTTTAAAGTGTCAATTAAAGACTGTCGTTTATTGGTGAATTTTGATTATGTTAATATTTTTTAATCTCAAGTGATTGAAAAAACTCAAAAAAAAAAAAAAAAAAAACTTTGAACACTTAAACAAAAAAATAGTGGAAGGTTAGACACTCAAATTATATATTTTTTAATAATCTAAGTGGGTCTATCCTTTTATCACGTGTACGTTAAAAACTATCACATGACAATTCATTTCGAACAAATCATAATTTCTCAATCTCAAAAAAAAAAAAAAAGCACTTAAATTGCAGTTTTTCTCTATATTAATTACAATAAGTTTGTGAGTATTTTATTAATTTTTTCAATTCAGAATGTTATATAATTTTCTGAAAAACATTAGAAAATACATTTTGCTAATTCTATCTTAATCTGTAAGTCTAAAACGAAATATTACTCCGCAAACCGTCTTACTGATGGACTGAACTCGCAAACCACAACGAGTTGATCTATGGATTCGTCTAATGATTTTTTTAATAAAAAATTATGAATTTGAAATGCGGTAAATAAAAAAAAAAAAAGAGTTTTATAATTGGAGGAATGAAACCTTGCATCGATAAATTAAAATAAAAATTTGGGCATTTTATTTTATTAATTGTACAATTAGACAGATAGATTAATTATTTCTTGTTCTTGTCACTATATATATAATGTCATTTATAATCAAGGAAAACGATGACCATTAATCATCAGCACCGCCTTCTTCATCCATCAAACTCGATGAATGTTGTTCAATTAAATACATAAATTTTTCATAGAAAGACTCTTGCCATCAAAATTCAATGAACTTTTGTCTACACAATTTTGGTTCAAAGAGATTATTTTGCAAGGTTGACTTGAGCATTCAAAGTAATCAATGTCTTTATTTAAATTTTAAGTTATTGGAGAATCGGATTTTTAACTTTTAATTTCGGATTGAATTTCTCTTCGATTATTTAATATAAAATAGGTATTTGTGTTAGGTTTTGATCAATTTTAACATATAAGTATAATTCTTCACTAACTAAAAGCATATTAAAATTTATAAATATTTTACTTTTTCCTCTAAAACTTATTTCTTCCCTCCTAAATACTAAGAAATAAATAATAAAAAAATATTTTAAAATAAAATAAACAAGTTTTAAGAGAAAAAAATTCATAAGGTTAGACATATTTTTAATAGTTGAAGAAGTGAAAGAGTCAATTACGTACAAGCCACGTGTTTTCCTATTGTTAGAATTAATAGAAATATAACGGAAGATCAAGTTTTAAATTAAATATAATTGAAGGAAGATATAATCTATAAAATTAGAAGTTGATGGATCAATTTTCAAATAACTTAACCATTTAGCCATTTTTTTCCTGATAAAAGAGGAGGAAATTCATTCACAAAATAATAGGGAGAAAACAACTAAAGAAAAGCTAGCATTAAAATAGATAGCAAAACGAAACATGAGTCAAATAAAGCTATAAAATATTTTCCAGAATGAGACAAGGACTTGACTGCAATATCAATGCTGCCTTCAAGTCCCTTCTTCTCCACCCTCCACATCCATCTTTTTCTGTAAGCTTTTCTTCTTACAATCATGGAAGTAAACCATGAATGTCAGCCACAGCCACGTTTTGGCCAAACAAACAAAGCTAACATGCACTACTGTCACAGCAACTCCACTTCCTCCCATGTCCCATCCCACGTAAACGCATGCCAATCTTAAGGCAAACCTCCAGGCAAAGAACGCAAACATCAGGAGAAATCCATATTTCCTGCTGCCTCTGCTTAGATATGCTGAGATTATTAAAGCTACATCGCCATATTTCTCTTCCAAAATCGACATCAAAATGCCCATGTTCCATACAGCACTCCACTCTATATATTTTGACAATATACCTAGAAAGAGCAAGAAAAATACCATAGAGAAGAAGGAAGATATTGATCCAAGGAACATGAACATGTACATTACCAAGGAGACTAGTCCGATTGAAATAAGAGAATCTAAAAGGAGAGCATAGATGGATGTGATGAGAGGCCCTTTAAGCCTTGTTTCTTTGATGCATCTACTTAACATGTCCTTAAGATTCATGGCCTTCTCTCCTTTGTAAATTATTGAAGCAACGTCTACTATAGCAATCATGTTGAAGAGGTCTAGCAAATGGAGTAACTCTGAATATAGGAGATAAAGAAGGAACTTACTAGAAATTTCTTCAGTCAACCTCTCTGTATCCACTAGGGTTTCAAGATAAGAATCAAAGGCAACATAAGGAGATTTGTTTTCCTGTAAAATATTCTTCAATGTTTTGATCATGGTCTGCTGAAAGACAGTCTCATACATAATCAGAAAGGAGAACAAAGGCAGAGAGGAGAAGAAGGCAAAGATGATGAAGTAGGGATTTCTGAAGGGGATTTTCAGAGATTCTTCAAGTAAGTCGAAGAAACCCCGTTGCTTCTCTTCCCTCATGATTTGAGAGTTCTCCATTTCCTACTTAGAATCTCTAAACCTCTAAACTCATAGCTGTTTTAAGAACGATCAAGTCTTTTATGGGGTTGTTGACTTTGGCAGCAAACGACTTGACTTGTGCTGGTTCCCTGCCGTGCGGTGCAATTTAGTTCTTGCATGATCATCTAAGACATTGCTTTGATTGACTACTTTTTTTTTTTTTCAGACAAGTTCATTTTTCACTCTTTTACTACGTTTCTAAGCCATCGATTTCCTCACAAGTCGGAGGGCAATGGCTTTCATGCATCTTATCCATACGATGATCTCCCATGACCCCAAAAAGTGGCAGCTGCATACAGAGATGAAAGTTTAACAGCTCCAAAAGCTAACACCGCTGCCACTACCTCCACCATCTACGCCAGACACGCACGAAACCTGTTACTGAGTCTTTGGTTGATGGGTAATTGGTTGAGAAGATCAGAGTAAGGCGAGATGGAAGTACTGCAATTTACACACCCTGGTACTAGAAAGGTGCAATGTAGTCACTGTTTGTTATGACCAATCACAGAGAGAACCAGCAAAAAATTTCTGAGCATTTTAAAATTATTTACACTGTTTGGATCGGAATTTTTCAGAATCAAGAAGTTCCACCATTAGTTTCTCTAGCCTCTTTGAACTTACAGTTGGTTTGACAGCATGGGGACTCCCATAAACAACACAAGGATCTTTACCTAAAACAGACTCTCCGGCGCACCAACCCCCTCGAGCAAGCTGTCCATCCGATCTCCCCAGAAGTTCTTTGTCAATTTTGTTGAGAACTGGATCATCCTTTGCAAACTTACGCGCAAAAGGGGCACCACTTGCAACCATGTCTTCAAAATGCTCCAAAGTGAGATTTAGTGGATATTGCTTTGGAGGGTTATCCCACTTTAGGTAATGCAGGTCATGGTTAACTGTAGTGTTTTGGTAATCTTTTTGGTTGCAAATGACAGTATGGAAGTATCCCTCAGTGGATGACACGAAATTTGTGTAATACATGAGGACTGTGCGAGGGAGGTTATCCCATCCCCAAACACAGAATTCAAGAAATGACCTTGTAAGAACCACCAAATCAGACCCTGAAATCAGATAATAAACTAGGGTAAGGTCAAGATAAGAAGAGAACTACAGCATAACATACTGTAATGGTCCTACAGAAAGTACAAAACGTATGCAAAAACAGCACAGCTTCAGCAATTTATGGTTACCGTGAGATATTCTTATATCATCTTAGAATAGCATTTTCAGTTTCAAACCCAATACGAGAAATTATGAAGCACTACTTAGAAAATTTTGCAGGCGATGCCTAGCATATAATTGTGAGAGGATAAGATCGGTCTTAAGAAACCCATTCTCTTCATGACATTAGTGTCAACCCTGAACCCCCCTATTTTTACATCCTTTCTAAGTTGCAGAGAAATTCAAAACGTCTTTCTATGTCTCAGAATTATTTTCTTTAACAAATAGTTCAAAGAAAACTTAATGACTTAAATCACACAACATTTGTTGTTTGTTTCATGAACAAAGATCCCTAGTTAAGTTGCGGAGAAATTCAGAAAGTCTTTCTTTTTTTTGCAATTTATGTCCCAGGCTCATTTCTTAACATCTCACAGCATATAACATTTGTTGTTTCTTTCAGAAAAAAGCCAGAGATTGGATAGGTAGCTTTCAAGCAAAGAAACATCTTTTTCTTTGGCAAAACTAATTGTTATGGTTTCGACCAACTACCTGTCATCTGCTAAAGATGCTAACCATGAATTACTCAGCATATTCCTGCATTACTCCTGTTCACTAAATGTAGTCTGTTTCCCATTTGGGACAGATTATTTCATAAATGATAAATCCACGTATAAGCTGTGCAAACAATATGAAGCATGTAGTAACGATGTAAGAAATGAAAATTAGAAAAGATTACACAGAATGAAATAAAGAAATTAAAAACTGAAGACATAAGTGACTTCACGATATAAAGCTGATGTGAAACCAGTACCCATAAATAACTTGAAAGCAGCAGGCAAATGCCTTTTCTCTTTGGCCCAAAATACACCAGACTTCTTTGCATGATACAAGCCTGGATCAACGATTATAGGCTTTGCTCTTTGATACCTGAAAGATAGAGAGAGAAAAAAATCATTTATAAAGACACTGCAGTCACCAGATGCAATGTTCTGTATCAAGTTTATAATTGTAGTATACTCACTCTTTCCAACCGATACCACTTGTGTGCTCCAAGAAATTCAGATCTCTAGCCAAGTAGGAGAAAACATGCAGGATATCTGAAACAAAATGCCATGATAAGTTTCTTTGACAGCATTCTTATTCCATAAATATCAATTGAGACCAATTATGTTGTTAATGTTCATATTCACTTTCATGAGACGTACATCTGACGTTTTTAATTTCTTAAGGGTTTCAGTAGCTAGGCAAATGCACTCTCGTTATCTAATTTCCTCAAAATTATGAGTAGACATAATTACATAAAAAAAGTTGCGTTGTAAATAGAACTTTAGAAATACACAAATTCCAGTTCCCCGATATCTCGGATAATAAGAACTTCACACTAGCAAGCATGTCCAACGTCCAAATCCACTTAACACAAACCTTCCACATTATCCTAAGGATATATATATATATATATAGATAAAAAAAAAAAAAAAAAGGCACAAACAGATTCGTTTTAGATCTTGGCATGTCTTAAAACATCAACCACATAAACCTTTTATTCTATAACATCTAGTTCCTCACTGGCACTCGAAATCTTACAAATCAAGGCACAAAACAGACTCAATTTCCTATCCCTCATTTCCTATCTAGCTAAAAATAAGCACCACACTCTATAAATAGCAATAAACAATAAACCCAATTTAGAGCAATCTCTATTTATACCAGAACACAAAGAAAAACAACACAAATATTCACAAACCATCGTGAGCCATAAACAAAGACCTGAAAAACCCCACTCACCTATCCAAAATTACCATTAAAATAAACAATCCAAAAAAACCATAACCCATGTCAAATCAAGCTGTAATTAAACCCAAAGCAATACAAATGATCAAAAAGTTACCATCTTGAGGCATAAACACAGACCTATAAACAACACTATCTGTACAAAAATACACATTGAAACAAACAATCCAACAAAAAAAACAAAAAACCCCAATTCGAGATCATTCTCTATTCAAGCCCAAAACACCAAAAAAACAACACAAAAGTTCAACAAAAACTTACCATCTTGGGGCATGAGAGGATAATCCTCAGCACTTAAATTAACAAACCAATCCCAATCTTCAAATTGCTTCAGTAAAATAGCAACCCCATGTAGTATACTAGCAATCATAGTAGGCCCTTTGTAAGTAACCAAATCACCCTTACCAAGAACCATAACATTCCCAAACTCCCTTATCACACCACTCTCTACCTTCACATACTTTGCAAGCTCAAGTCTTTCATCATCACTTGCTTCAAAATCAAGATGCAATAAATAGCAGTTTCTTGGATGATACACTGCTTGAAGCAATCTTTTCACCCTTGAAACATCGCCTTTTGTGCCTGATATCAAGTAAGCAAACCTTGGTAGTCTTGGTAACTGTGATGGATCATAGAGATTTTTGTCTAAGAGGTCGAGGTTTTGTTGGTTTGAGGAAATGCCGGTTGATGGAGAGGATTTGTTTTGACCGACAAATAAGAGGAGGATTAAAGAGAGTAAGGCTATTGCGATTAATGGAATTAGACATGTTCGGTCTAGAGAGTATGAAATGTGGGTTCTCTTCATGGTTTTTTGCAGTGGAAAATCTGAGCTTTGTTTCTTACATCGGAGTTTGGAGATTTTGCCGATGTTTGGTGGACTGGTGGTATGTCTTTTGTCTAGGCCACGCTTGAATTTGTCATCATGTGTACGAAACGCAAGGACGAGGATAGTAACATGTTAGGAAAACCTCAACTTAGTCCCTTACCTATACACTTATTTTCAATTGAGTTCCAAACCTGTAAATTTTTTCAATTTGATCTCAAACTTTTCGAAAAAAACTCTCATCAAAATTTTATTCAAATTGACACCGTTTCAGTACATATTATGCATATTGGACAAAATATATATATATATATATATATATATATATATATATATATTGCTTTTTATAGGAATTTTCGTCAAAAGCATTTCTACAATGCACGAATTTATAGCTACGAAAAAATTCGTGTCATGTAGAACCCATATGATCAACGGTTATGAATCATTTCGTGAAATTTTTGTGGCATGAACATTTTCCTTCCCTCAAATTTTCTGTCTTTCTAGTTTTTTCTAGAGAAATTTATGAAGAATGAACGATTAAAGCCATTAAAGGAATAATTATATACTTTCTGTTTTCATTAGAGTATGTGTGGAAAATTGTCATGCAATTAGGAGATAGAGATTGACTTTAAGTAGATGAGTTTATTTTCCGACTATTTTTGGGAAACATAATTGATATTTAATTAACCAAAACTAAATATTCGTTTCTTATTACATAGAAATCTCACTCTCAAATAAATATCAAGGGATTTTTGAAATGTTATAATTAAAATAAAAAATATTTACTCGAGAGGATTGACTTAAGAAAAAAAACTTTAATTGATTAAATAAATAATTTTGAATTAGAGTATTTATATATGTCAAAAACTTTGTGAATAATCATGTCCGTTTTATATGTCGGATCGAATAATAAAAGATTATATATATATATATACACACACACATTTTTAGTTGGCTGTATGAGTAGAAAAACATGATCTTTCTTTAACTAACCAAAATAAATGATTTTGAATTAGAGTATTTATATATGTCAAAAACTTTGTGAATAATCATATCCGTTTTATCCATCCGACCAAATAATAAAAAATTACACACACACACACACACATATATATATATATATATATATATATATATATATATATATATATATATATATATATATATATATATATATATATATATGAGCTTTCTTTTGATTGGCTGGTTGCATGAGTAGGAAAACATGATCTTTCTGTAACTAATCAAAATATGTAACTTGTTCATATTAAGCACAAACTGTAACCAATAAAATCATTGACCTATAAGATGTTAAATTGTAGGATTTTGAATGCATAGGTCAAAGTATAATCATGGTGGACCAAGCAGCATAATGATGGTATGGAACTATGCACCAAAAAATTCCAGCTTGCGTCAAGCATTCATTTTGTTAGCTAGTCTTGTAAGTTTGTGGGCTCCTAGATGAGAGGCCTAGCAATCTTTTGTATCTGCCTAACGTCACTATAACTTCACAACATATTCCTTTTACATGCTTGATTTGTGGCGCTAGCCGCAACTTCAGGAGTTTATAGTTCTAATAATTATGATTAGAATCATCTTCTTTGCGCCAAAAATGATTATCTAAATAGACTTACTGAAATTGTTATGTTTTGCCGATGATCTTATAGCATAATGACAAATTATATGTTTTAGATATTTTAAGAAATTTCGAGATCAATCTCTCTCATATTATAAAAAAAAAAAAAAATTGTAAAGTTTTGTTTGACAAATAGACAGTACTCTCAACTATTAAGCTAACGATTTGCCTCTGTAAAATTTCACATGTGAGTAAAAAATTATACATATGTTAATAATGAAAAATTTATGGTGTTTATATATAAAATAAATTTATAATCCATTAGTCTAGACTTGGATTAAAATAATGTCTATCTTTGTGTGTAAACTCTCATATGTATATGCTTAGGTGCGGGCTTCGAGTGATTCTTTAAAGCAAGTTTTCTTCTACAAGTGATGATTGTGGTTAGACTCTTGTGGCTTTGTCAATTTTTCCATAGTTGAGCCAAAGAGCTAAGTTTAAACTTCTAGTTATCACATTCGGATTATTAAGTATTTTTTTTTTCAATAGGAAAGTAGTGTTCAAGTGAACCAGACTCACATGTGAATGAAAAATTTGTTGAGTTTCACATATGAGTGAAAAATCTCACATAAGTTAGCAATGAAAAAATTGAGATGCTTATATATAAAATGACCTCATGATCCATTAGTCTAGGTTTTTGTAATAAAGTGGTATCCATTTTTGATTCGTCAATGCAAATTCTCCCCTGTAGCATCTATAAATTAACACTTTGATAAGTTTAGGTTAGCATCTATAAATTAACACAAAAAATGATTATCTAAACGAGACTTATCGAAATTGTCGTGTCTTGTCGATGATTTTATAGCTTAATGACAAACTATGTGTTTTAGACATTTCAAAAAAATTCAAGATCAATCTCTCTCGTATCATAAATAAAAAAAAAAAAAAACCTGTAAAGTTTTGCTTGAAAAGTAGACCATACTCTCAACTATTAAGCAACGGTCCACGTCTATAAAATTTCACATGTGAGTAAAATTTTTTACATATGTTAGCAACGAGAAATTTATGGTGTTTATATATAAGATAAATCTATAACCTATTAGTCTAGACTTTTAGGTTAAAACAATATCCATCTTTGTATGTAAACTCTCATGTGTACGGGCTTGAGTGATTCCTTAAAGTAAGTTCTTATCTACAAGTGACGATTGCGATTAGAATCTTATGACTTTGCCAATTTCTTAATGATTGAGTCAAAAAGAGCTAAGTTTCAATTTCTAGTTATTGTTAAGTTTTTTTTTTTTTCTAGTAAAAACATGATGTTTGAATGAACTAGACTCACATGTGAATGAGAGATTTGTTGAGTTTCACATCCGAGAGAAAAATCTCATATAAGTTAGTAATTAAAAAATTGAGGTGCATCAATTCTTATGTGCAAATCCTCTCACTATGCAGGTTTAGATGCACTTTCGAGTAACTTTCCAACGCAAATTCTCCCCTATAGCATCTATAAATTAACGCTTAATTTGATGAGTTTAGGTTAGTTTATTCATGTGGCAATTGATCTTCGAAACAAAAAGACTTTGGAAGATTCTTGCAAACTCTTGCATTGGAAAAAATTACGTATTAAGAAACGAAGTTACCCATGATAGGCACCACAACACTAGGCATTCGTGTGGATTAATTAAGCTCAGCTATTCTCTGCCCATTGTTACGTATTTATGAAATATGTTTGTGATTCCTTATTTTATAGTATATTTTCATCTGCCCTCAAAAATCTAGGGTTTATAAAAGTGGTTGGGGCCAAGAAACATGGTCCAAGATCATGCGTGGAAACATGGTCCAAGATCATGCGTGGAAACAAACAACAAACATGGTCGAGTAGAAGATCAAAAGCAAACCTTCTTGCCATACCGCAGATCTATAGACAAATTATTTAGACCTTAAATCTGCCACTACCCTCAATATATATATATATAACGGCAAGTTTTAGCAGAGAGTCTGATTTTTTTTTAAAAAAAAAATCAGAAATGTCAACTATATTTTTCGGAAGGGTTGCTGAATGGAAGCTATTAATCGATTTTTTTATTGTTATATTTTAAATAAATCATCCATACTCGAACAAGTATATTTATCATTTTCTTTTTGCTACTATCTATCTTTAATTCCAATACAAGTTGATAACTTTGGAAACGAACGTGCTTAGCATTTGAACTAACATTTCTAAATCTTTTTAGCAATATAATTACTTTATAGAATGCAATATAATTAAACCAATGTAATACTTGGAGAAAAGCAATTATTTGACTGATCCAAAAATCTTAGATAAATTATTGTCAATTGAATGGACCATTAAACTCAGGTTATATTTTCGGATTAACTCATATGTTAATAAAAAATTTAAAATACTTTAAAAAACGCATCATCAAATTGATACCTTAAATTCAAGAGATTAAATTTCTAGTCCTCTTATGCAATGTTTTTTAGATTCTTAAGATATTTCAAATTCAAAAACTTAGATTAATTTTTCGTTGTTCGATCGAACATATAAAACGAGTACAACGATCTAAAGAGTTTTCATATATATATATATAAGAATTTGAATATGAAACTACTTATGTAAATAATAAAAGCTTTTTTTACTTAAACCAGCCATCTTAAATATTATGTAATTTTCTTTGTATGATTGATGTAATAATCTTCAAACAGCGATGATGGGTAAGTCCATTAAAATATAAATATGTGAATTCTACATGGTCCACGCATTTTGTACACCAACCTTGCTTTGCAGGAGTTTGTTCCCTTTTTTTGTTTCATTTTATTTTTCTTCCTTTGGACCAAAGATTTGCCAATCAAAACGACAAATAGGGCAAATAATAACCCCACAAAATAATTCTTGTTCCCATATAATTCACCACCTAATTGATAAGTTATGATTAGCAAGAAAATGAATTTTAGCAACACTTTTCTTTTGATAATGTCAACATATTTTCCTGTCATGCACTTTTGTATATCAATTATTAGGAATAAATTATAAATTAGTCCGTTTAGTTTGATAAAACGGATTAATTAGTTTCACTTGTTCAGAAACCATTTACAAACGCGATTAACATTGATTGATTTGAAAAAAAAATAAAAATTATTTGATAAAAATATAATGTTTTTAAAATAAAATAATATTAAATTAAATATAAATCAAAATATTACATAATTATTTAAAAAAATTAATTAATTTTTTTTTCAAATATAGAAGGACTGATTTATAATTTACTCCAATTATTAGAGATCTCTATCTGTGTATATAATTTGGTTACGTTGTTGTTGATGCTTGTGACGTTATTTATTTTATTTTTTGTCATCGTCAAAGGGTTTAATCAAAATCATGGAATTTTTTTGGATTGGACGTGTTTCATTTCACACCCCTGATAAAACATCATCCGTGCAATAATTACTGATTAATCACGAGAAGCAACAAGACAAGCAAAATTCATGGTAGTTCTATCTGCAAAAGTCACGAGCAAAATTGGAGGAATTTTCCATAAAAGCCAATATTTAATATCTCCATTAAATGGTAAAAATGTCCAGGTAATTAGGACTAACAAAAATGAAAGACAGATTGTTTTCCAGATGCTTGAAATTCTTGAAATCAATAGAGCACATGGTGTGGAAGTGGTACCGATGGAGAAGAAAAGATTGAACACATGATTTTTGGAGGGAATAATTAATGTTGTTAGTACCATGAGTTTTTTATAATTAATTAATACTAATTATTTCGAATTATGAATATATTAAATTATTGATCCTAAAACTATATGTCAACAACACAAACATTATTGGTCTGTAAACCTTTATACTAATATTCTAAAATCTTCGCTCATTTTTCCACTAACATCCTTATCGAAAATAATTTCACGAATTTATTCTCCATTGCAAAAAAAAAAAAAAGGAAAATATTCAAATTTATCTTTTTCGTTTCACAAACTCTTATTTTTGCTTAAAAAAAAAATTAGACGAAGTCTCATCAAATGGACAGCATTAAAAGAATATAGAGAATAAAAAAACATATTAAAAAAATCATGCAATTAATCCATTTAAAAAATGCAGAGAAGAGAGCAACGAATTATGGCGTAATCTAAAAACAAATAAGTACTTGCATTTTAAAAACGAGTTTAATGTATATTGAGATATTAATTTTTTTTTAATTTAAGAGTTCTATTTTTATATTGTTATTATTTTAAATCTTAATCAATTATAACTTGTTACGTTATCAATTTAATTGTTTAATTTGAGTCCATCATAATACATGATAAGTTGTTATTATTGGTTAAATTTTATTACGTATTGTTAGATGAAATATTAGAATATGAAATAATAATAATATAAGAATGAAAATTTTAAATTAAATAAAAAAAAGTTTAGGATTTATAATTAAAAAAAAATAGAATAGTAGGATATATCGATATGTACAAAAATTTTCTGAAAACAAAATTGTAAACAAATGAGTCAGCCATTAGTTCCTCGGGCAATCCATCTTTCATAGAAGTTAGAGAAGAAGCATGGGCATCACACGCTTTGGCATGTACCCAATTAGTACTCCATACTCCACTTGTCTACGCCATCACCCTACACCCTCCAATCAGGATCAAGTGGGCCAGCTCATCATGCATCGAAACATGGCCCACACGAAGCTTCGTATGAGCTGGATGGCACAGATGAAAGGACATCATCACATCAATGAGAGTGTTTAGTACGATACGATGCTCTGTGCTACACGTTAACACATGCAAAAAAGCAGTATTGATTAAGGGCCATCCATGGCTTCTTTAGCAAGACTTTTGTTTTGTGCGAACTAAGATTGGCTTTCTTGGGAAGAAAAAAGAAGCTAAAAACCCTTTTGTGAATTTGTGTTCTCTTTTTAACTTTTACCGTAGATAGAAACACTTGTGCTTGAGGCCACGAGGATGTGTTTGGGCATTGGAATCATTGAAGGAGAAGTAACAATATCTTTGTTTCATACATGTGTTCTAAGGATATACTTTAATTGATGTAAATGAAATGTGTTGATTCTCATAATTAAAAATATTGAATTAAGGATTAGGATTTTATTCAATTATAGAAGTGAATCCATTGGATTATGAAATTTCAAACATTTTATTTACGTCAATATTGAATTATGAATTAGAATTTCACTCGATTATGGAAATGAATCCACTCAATTATAGAAGTGACATATTTTATTTACATTAATACAAATTAATCTAATTCATGGTCATTTATCATAAATAATTAGTAAAATTCTTTTAAAAGTTTTTTATATGATAATCACAACTTTGTACCCAAAATTGATAATCCCCTCATCCCAAAATACATTTTTTTTTTTTTACCAGAAAGTCATATATATAAAGATTTTTTGAATTTATATTTGTTTGTCCTAAAATAAGAAAGAGATATTTTTAAAACCATGAATGAAAAATATTGATATAACATATACTTCTTAATCTATATTTAAAGTCAACCATTGTAATTTTTTTTAAGAATAGAGAAAATAATTATCTTACTTTAACATTTTACTCTTGGTAAAAAATTAAATTCATTTTTTTTATTCGACCACATTTATTTTGAAATGAAAATCTACATAACAAATTAAAAAAAAATAATCAGATTAATTGACACATGATTTAATAACTTTCTTTAATCTAAGTGAAATTCAAACGAAACTCTATTTGTGGAATATCAATTTTCAAAGCTAAATTACATAATTTAGCACAAATCAATCTTTTACAAATTTTTAATGCAGAACATAAATAACCATGCATGTCAAATGCATGAATATAGACATAATAAATTTCATAATCTAAGGAGAAAATTTATCACAACCACGAAATCTTTAATAAATAATTATTAGTAAAAAATAAAAACCTATACATGCTTACATAAAAAGTCTTACATTTACTCATTTACTTATTTAAAACACACACATATATATTTTTGTAATTTCATAAAATCTCTTATCCTCTATCCCACTCCAGTCAGCCTACCAAAAAATTCTTTATAAAGGAAAAAAAAAAAAAAACTTACCAAAAGATTAAAAAGAACTAACCATTAATTTTGAACCCTATAAAAATTGTCCTTTCTTATTTCCTTCCTCTATTAAAAAACCCTCCAAACACAACCTTAACAGTACCCCTTCTCGCTCTCCCCCTATCAAATTTTATTTTATTACTATAAAAAACACTCCCTCCCTCCTCTCTCCCTCCCTCTGAAAGATCAAGCAAAACAGAATAACTGAAAAAAGCACACTCTGTCTTTCTCTCTCTAGAAATTACTCTCTTTGAGTGTGTTTCTCTCTCTAGAACTAGACTTGTTGTGTGTCTTTCTGAGCAATGTAGAGCAGAGCTTGTTTTGTCCAACAATGGCCAAGTGTCACGCCAACAACAACATAGGATCTTTACTCCTCGACCACACCACCGCAACCACCACCACCAGCGCCTCTGGAACCCACCATTACAGTCTATGGACAGCCTTCTCCAGGAAAATATTTGATGCTGTCAGCTGTGGTGGCAGCTCACGGTACCGCCATTATGAAGATGACATCTCCTCCTTCACCACCACAACCACCACCTCCGCCACCACCACTGCCGCTACCAACACTAGTGTTTTAAGAGAAAAACAGAACAAGGCAACGCTCAGTGTTACTAATAATTCGAAAAAGGAAAATAATGGGAATCCTCAAAACCTGAAGGTTGGAGAGAAAGGGAGAGTTAAAGCAAGAAATGGTAAATCAGAGAAGTTGTCAGATCTATTGAGTGTGGCGGAAGCGGAGAGTGAGACTGAGACTCAAAAGAAAATTGAGGTTTTGGAAGGGATGAAAAGGATTGTTAGAGAGTTACAAGTTGAAGAAGGAGGGAAGAGAAGAGAAGCTGCATGTAATGTCAGGTTGTTGTGTAAAGAAGATGGGAAAGCAAGAGTTACTCTTTCTATGTTAGGAGCCATTCCTCCTCTTGTTGGAATGCTTGATTTGGAGGATTTTCAGTGTCAAATTGATGCTCTTTATGCCTTGCTTAATCTTGGGATCGGAAATGACGCGTGAGTATCCAGTTTTTTTGGTCATTTTTTTAGTGGTTTTCAGATTAATGGTTGTCTTTTTTAATGTCTGATTTTGTGTTCTTAATTTGGTGGTTTATTTAATGTCAATGGAGGTTTCTTGAAGTGGGATTTTGGCATTTTCATTGTAGGATCTTGTTTTAAGGAGAAGATGTTTTCTGTGTTTTTAGTAAATTTGATTGATTTTGAAGGGTAAAGATTGTGTTTTATTTGATGTTAATGTGATGTCTTTTTTCTGATAAGAACTAGCATTCTTAGTTTGTGGATTGTTTTATTATTATTGTTTTTGTTGTTGTTTTTTTTAATGTCTCGGTTCATAATTTGATACAAGTTGAAGTCCTTTTCTGTGTTCTGGATGTGCAGAAGTATAATTTGGAGTTGTTTCCTTCAATCATACATGACTGAGGATCAATTTGCTTTTAGATCAAGAACGTAGTGTCATTTTCTTGCATTTGTTGTTTTCTGGTTTTTTTTTTTTTTTTTTTTTGAATTATTATTTCCCTTCTTAACATGCTATATGATTTGATTTAAACAAGTCACTTTCCACGTTATTTTCTTGAAACAGTTTTGCATTCCTAGAATATATGTCATTTGGCCTTTGTGCATTTAATTTGATTTTTTTTTTTTAATCCACTTAATACTAATTTCATTTTACACTACTGTGTACTAAATGTGGTTCTGTTAACATTTTTTGCAGGAACAAAGCTGCCATTGTTAAAGCGGGAGCTGTTCACAAGATGCTAAAGATCATAGAATCTCCAAATGCTGCAAACCCATCTGTATCTGAAGCCATAGTGGCGAATTTTCTTGGCCTGAGCGCGTTGGATTCGAATAAACCGATCATTGGCTCTTCTGGTGCAATCCCCTTCTTGTTAAATGCCCTGAAGGATTTGGATAAAAAAAATAGCTCTCAAGCAAAACAAGATGCTCTTAGAGCTCTGTACAATCTCTCAATATCCCCATCAAACATCTCATTTATTATCGAAACAGATTTGATCTCGTTTCTGATGGGTTCGCTGGGAGACATGGAAGTAAGTGAAAGAACTCTCTCTATTTTGAGCAATGTAGTGTCAACACCGGAAGGTCGAAAGGCAATTAGCACCGTGCGAGATGCTTTCCCGATTTTGGTTGATGTCTTGAATTGGACCGACTCACCAGGATGCCAAGAGAAGGCATCTTACATATTGATGGTGATGGCACATAAAGCGTATGGAGATAGACAGGCTATGATTGAGGCAGGAATTGCATCGTCCTTGCTTGAATTAACACTTTTGGGTAGTACATTGGCGCAGAAGAGGGCTTCAAGGATCCTGGAATGTTTGAGGTTGGATAAAGGGAAACAAGTATCAGAGAACTACGGTGGCAATATGAGTGCAGCAGTGTCTGCTCCTATCTATGGAACTCCATCATCTTCTACAAACCCCAATGTGGTTTCAAAGGAGTGTTTAGAGGAGACAGAAGATATGATGAGTGAGGAAAAGAAAGCCGTGAAACATTTAGTCCAGCAGAGTTTGCAGAACAACATGAGGAGAATCGTCAAGAGGGCCAATTTGCCGCAAGATTTTGTTCCGTCGGAACATTTCAAGTCCCTCACATCAAGTTCAACCTCCAAGAGTTTACCATTTTGAGGACATTGGATCAATCATAATAGGATTGAAGGGGAGCAACTTGAAGTTAGTGTTTCTTTTCTTCATCTTAAAACCCTTCTGTTCTCTTACTAGCACTAGTACTGTATGAAATACCACCATATGTTAAAATTTACTATATAGTTAATCAAAAACTTAGTGAAAGTTTCAGTTTTTGGTGCCTGGATGAGTTACAAATCCTTCCGTTGAGATCTATTTTGACTTTCAAGCCTGTTTGCAGAATGCTTGTGGTATAATAATGGAAAATAACAACCATGAAATGGTGAGATCTTTTTTCTAGAGATGCTTTCTGTCTGTCTCATAATATGACCTGGAAATTTGGAAAATTTAAGAGGGATGATTCTGTCATTGCCTGGCTTGTAGAACAATGTTATGGAGAATCCCCACAATCAAGGGGGGTCATTTTCAACCCTAGCAGTACAATTTTGTCCACCTTCTGGCCCCTCGACCCTTTCCCTTATTTTTATATTCCTCCCATGCACATGTGTCTTGAAAGAAGGGTCAGTCATTTTCTTTTGCACATATTTAGGGACTGACTATTCACTGCCTGTTCTCATATGGGAATCTTCACATCTTGTTAATTACTTAATTTTTCTATTCCAGGACTAAATGGGAATCTTCAGACTTACCGAACTGATTGCATTTTTCACATCTTTGTTCTGAGATCATGGAGATTAATCCTAATCCTCTCTTTCATTTGATTAGTATTTTTTACCTGTCCTACAACATGTGCATTGACCTCGTTTACTGGTTTCTTTTACAGATCAGGAAAGGAAGAAGAATCTGGTGTGAGCTGTACTTCTTACAAAACTCATGCAACTTTGCTCCCCACAAGGTATATAATTTACAACATGTTGCATGGTGGGGTATGGTCATTTTGTAATCTTTTATGCTGTACCTTATCATTTCCCTGTTATTTTCTGTCCTCCAGCCTTTCTTGTTGGTCTGCTTTGTTGTAAATATATTCTCCTGTAATATTAGAACTTATCTGTACAAATTTGATGACTTCTTCTATCTATGCAAACACTTGTAGCCCCATTTGCTTCCACAAGAAGTGAGTTAAAACTTGAGAGTGAATTTGAATTTTCACAGGAAACCATATATATTCTAGGGAAATACTATGGGAGTCGGACGGTGAAACTGCCAGATATGGTCCTGATTTGGGTCTGCCCTATAGAGTTCTTTACATCATTACAAAATTATTACCCCTCTTGCAACCTGATTACACATTGGCACACTTTTCTTTTTTCTGGTTTATGGTCATCAATGAAATTATGGGAGGCAGTAGTTTGTTGGTGAAAAGATCAAGGGAAATTAATTCTCTTTTATTTCATGGACTCTATGGTGTGCTGACTGGTGAGGAGATGGTAGATCATGAACTATGTTGTGCAGCTCCATAATTTGGACAGTGGTCCATTTTCTATAATCTTAAAAGAGCCAGAAGATGCTTTGCTGGAGAAGATGGAGACAGGACAATAAACAACGTTAGTTGTGTAGCCAATACAGTTTATGGTAGAAGAACTTCTACTTGAGGTGTAGCTCTCCTCTTAGAAGATCAATTTAAGGAAATTGGTTGCTGGTGCTAGTGCTTCCACTGAATCCTAGGTCTAGCTACTAAAAGGATCCCTTTAGAACCGTGAAAGATGTAGGATTGTTGAGGAGTTATGGTGGCAGGTTTGTGAGTGAGATCTAATCCCAGATTTATTGCTGCTTCAACAGAGGCAGATTTGCAGCATCTTATGACAGATACAGTCACAATGGTCCATTATGATTTACCTAACCCCCTGGCTAGATGAATTAAATGAGACTATACTCTACATTCTATGGTCATTCCAAGAAATGACCTATTAAGAATCCAAGGAGAACTTTTTTCTTTTCTTACTGAGAAAAAAGACTCCATTTAATTTTTATTTTTCTAAAGAAACTATAATGCATTTTGCTGGGAAGTAAAGGGGAAGAAAGCACCAAAAAAAGGAAAGAGCGGGTGGGGCAAGTTGCTGTCTTCTTCACTCGTCAGTGACCAGTCTATGACAAAAAAAGATGACTTTGCCCTAATCATGAAAAAAAAGGGTGAAAAAGATGAACTTGCCATTTAGTGCCTGAGCTATGGAACAATCTTGCAATAAACTCTTCTAGCATCCTAGCAAATAAAAGAGTCTCATCCTCCTAAAATTGATGGTTCTAGCTACTACAATGAAGCGGATTCTTTTCTCATCAGGAAGCCAAATGCAAGCTTCTTGATCACACCTTCCCTTCCAAGCCAAGAAGGGTTAGCCACTAGCCAGATAAACTGGCCTTGCATCATTAGACCAAATTATTTTTTCGAACAATTTGAGCCATTGAATTTATGGAAAAACCAGCATTGCTCAAAAAAGATGCAGAATGGGCATGCCTAACTTTGGAATTAGCAAGAAATCATAGATCAAAACTAGCATCGCTCAATAAAGATGCAAGAATGGGCATGCCTAACTCTGCATTTGGCAAGAAATCGTAGATCAAATCAAAGAAATGAACAGGGAAGATTACCCCTTTGCTGAAGGCGTACAGCCCAACATCGTATGGGGTCCGTACTTCTTCCTGCTCCTCTTAGTGAAATAAATGGGATCTGTCAATTTTCTGACCAAACCGTCCGATTTGGTGGGGCCTTGTAATGCTTTGATCAAGGAGAGACTGGTGGGTTTCAGGCCATGGTTCGCATTTCAAGGATGCATCACACCGTCCCATGGCAGAGCCTTAGATGTCAACCCTCCTGTCTGCCACCGACAGGCATTATTAGCTTAGATCGTTTTATTGTCAAAGCTCTTTTTGATACTTAAAAACTTTTTTCCAATTCAATCTTCAAAACCCTTCTCCAACAAGCTTTGAGGATTAGTCCTGTTAAACACTCGAATTTCAAAATCGCTTACGTATCCGTATCAGATTCGTATTCTATACGATACTTGATTCGATATGCTATCCGATGTATCTTAAGCGTATTTAAAAGTTATTAATGGTAAATATTAATTTGGATATTTTAAATACTTCATCTAATTTCCATTGTTTTAACTATTGTAAAATTTTAGTACTTTCTAATAAAAATTTCCAACAATGCATGGGGAAATAAGTAGGTGTTTTTTGACACATACACACACGTTCTTTTAAAGAAATTATTAGATTCATTATGAATTGTATTTTTCTCTCGTATGTAAATATGAAATTCATTGTATAAATTATTTATAGATTCCATCATTATTTCATAACATGAATTGCAATATTAGTAAATACATGTTTTACTTTCATTGTGGTGTTTTATAAGTAATTAAAGTCTAATCAAATAATAACTTCTTTTGTTCTTAACTAATAAATAACACGAGAGGAAGCTAGAGTAATCCTTTATCTTTGTAGGAGTGGACAATTTAGTTCCTTGTGAGAATAAGATTCTCTCTCTTGTTTTGCTAGTTACTAATTACTGACGTTAATTCTCTAATGCTTAATAATTGAGTGGGCTAAAGAATCCTTATTTATGGAAATACTAATACATAATAATAATAATAATAAATAAATAAAGCAAGAGAGGAGTGATTGACTAGTTATATTGAAGACTAGACACTCAATCCCATCCAACTATCAATTAAATTATAAATTAGTATTTTTTATTTTAAAAACTAATTATGACCAGTGTTGACCATACTTAATTCAACATTATTTTATTTTAAAAATAACTTTTTTGTCATTAATATTTCTATAATATCTATTTATTTATTTTTCATTTTTATTGTTTTTAAAAAACAAATAAATTAGAAAAGAGCATAAAATAAACCAAAAAAAAATATTTTTTTAAACATGAAGGATTAATTAATTTATTTTTCAAAACTAGAAAGACTAATTTATGACTTTTTCCGCATACATCTTCCCTTAAAAATAAAAAAAAAGTGAAAAGAAAACAGAAAAAGCAATTCTTCTGTTTCAGAAAAACCGGCGGAGTTTTCTATTTCCAAAAAAAAAAAAAAAACGGTGTGGAGTTTTTAAAAAAATTAAACAATCAAGGACTACATTATGGTTTCTAAAACTAAAGGGACTAAATTGTTATTTATTCTTGGATTTTTATCTATAAAATGCTTCCGACTAGTCTCCTCTCCTGGGTAGAGCACAACCTTTTTAGCACATGCATAGTTGTCTCTTCGCTGTTAAAACGAACCTCGCAGGTCATAAACATTTGTTTGATCAATTTAGCACATGTCTTTGGGAATGCCAAATACATTATCGATTCATACTAGTGGGCCTTTTACGCTCCGTTATAGACAAAATTAAATATATTTATTTTAATTTAATAATATATATTTTTCTGTAAGTCAATTACAATATATTACATTAAAATAAAAAATTAAATTTCATATAATTTTATAGTTTTAATCAAAATTTTATATTTATTTTTTTTTGTCTATTTTTAATAAATTTTATAGTTAAAAAACATGATTTGTTATTTTTTATACATATTTTCTTAAATAAAAACCCATAATAATCTAAATAAAAAATTTAAAAAATATCTTAATAACTTTTTTATATCATTAAATCGAAAAAATAAAGTAATACTTAATATAAAAATAACAAATTAATTTTTTATTCTTATTTAATACTAATGATAAGATTAACTTTTTAAAAATATGTACATTTGATTTATATATTTATTTATAAAATAATAAATAATATCAGTATAAAAATTATATTTGAATTATTAGACAGTTCTTTCAAAATATTATTTTAATTAGTTTATTTGAAAGAGTTTAATTTTAAAATATTAAAAGAATAATAGGATATTATTAGCGTTATGTGTCTAGATGTAGCATTGATTTTCAATAAAATCAATGATCCTAATTTTTTAATACATTAGCGAGTCAAAGTTTACAACATAAACCAAAAAATATATAAGTTGTAAAAAATACATTGAAGTTAATAGGGTGCAATAAAAACAACTACAAAATTGATTTCAATAAAATTTGATTATATATATAAAGCAAATAAAGATAACTAAAAAAACATTATTCAAAAATCCATACATAAAGAAAATAAATTATATCTATTAACAAAAAAAATTACATAAAAATATTTTTTAAAAAAATAGAAATTTTTTTCACTTACACACTCTAGACTCTTAGCAGAAAAACATAAAAATCAAAGTGCAATATTTGTCAAAACTTACATATCAAATACCTAAACATAAACCCAAAATTACAAAATACCATATCAAATGCCTAAATAAAGATTAAAACTCAAAATAATTTCATTTAATACACTATATCAAATAATTAAATAAAGCTTAAAAATCACAATAATTCCATTTGATATAATAATATTATATGAATAACACTTATGAGTGTAGATGAATACTATCATCCCAAATCTTTTAGTATTTTTTTTTTAAATATTAGTAATATGATGGCTAATAGCTAAGATTAAGAACATAACACGATGCCTAGTCGCTATTAATATGAACACCATTACACCATGACTGCATCACATGCCAATCAAAATTACCACACTAAATTATAAATTATTTCTTCTTTAAAAAAAAGAAAAAGCAAAACGAATTAATCCCTTATCTTAAGAACTATTTATTTAGTTTTTTTTATCAATATTATCATGCTTAATTTAATATTAATTTATTTTAAAAAATATTTAAAAAAAAATTGAAAAATACTGAAAATAATTAAGTTGCTATAAAATTTAAAAATATAAAAACTAAATAAATAATTATCTTTTGAAATAAAAGGAACTAATTAATTAGAGATTAATTCAGCAAATAACTTGTATCATTTCTCTTTAGCTCTCGTCCTCTGTATTATCAAAGTCTCTGATAGGCTATACAATTATATTCCAACTCGTCGATAATTAATAACCATACATTTAGTTCATTACATTTCAATTCCACCATTCTTTTAAGGTCCTATTTGGTGATGCAATTTCTGTGTATTTGAACATGATTTTCAAAATTGCGCTGATACTTTCAATGCTTTTCAAAATGTGTTTTAATATGAAGATATCAAAACTAATAATGATTAAAAAAAACATAAAAAGCATCAATTTGATATATTTTTAGTTGAAAAGCACTTTATCGAAAGAGGCAACGATCAGCTCAAAACCTAAGAAAACTCTGAATAAACAAATAAAGCTACGAGTTAAACATCAAAACTCAAAAGCATGCAAGATTTAAAAGTTAAAAAATGGGTGAAATGGTGCAGTGATTGGTCCATCAACAAGCAAAAAGGGTTCGGGCAGATCCCATGCATCAATAAATGGGGATAAGAGCATCACTATATTGAGCAAATTTACTTCCCAGATAAACACAAGCAAATTAAGATATTGATGCACATATAACATTAGAAATGTTCCTCAAGCTCCACTAAATAGTAAATCATAATTCTCCTACATAAGAGCATTACCTCCTAAATCAGTAAAATTCAGAGAGGCAATTAAATTGCTTATGTATGTATGTATATTCAGAAACAAATTAATGAAAAACTAGCTTAGTATTTCTTCAGATACAAATAGGTTTCATACAATGCATATTTAAGCAGTTGTTGGAGTCGTGTTCTGAAACATATATCCTCATATAATAGAGCATCTACTCCTAATGTAAAAACAGGCTCCAGCCACCAATGATTTCAAAACCCAGGTTCCTATTTTTACAAAGTCAAGTTCATGAGCATGTTTACTTGCTTCCGGTAACCGGGAGGTATACACCTTCTGCTGCCAGCCAAACATTGTCAGCACGTTTTTCTCGGACCCCACACACCTGTATGAGTAGATAGATCAGGAAGTACACAAAAGAAATAAAGGGCAGGGAGTATGGTCTTTGTAAGATATCCTCTGCTGCCAAACAATAAATGGCTATCATGGGGATCAGTCAAAGTTTACTTTTCCTTTTTCATGGATAAATTAGTCACCACCCCAAGAAGCCCGTTGGGATTTTAGTTCAATCAAGTATGCTAAACATGCATTGTTCAAGGGCTGTTGTAGGAAAAAATGACAACTAGGTGGAAACTTAAAGTCTCTACGGTGAAGCTTCAAAAATAGTACTTGTGCTATCAGCAATGTTCTTTATTACCTCCTGCTGTCCCCCAGCAATTCGTTGGTATTTCTTGTCATGACTATGCAAGTAGCCATTGGTGTCCACATGTTGAAGCCGGATCCTTTGATTTTGCTTCCATGTCTTTCCACTCCCTTCAATTATAAGCCTGGAAAAGGAAGGTAAAATGAGTTGCCAGAAAAAGAAGTTCAAGACGTAACAAAAACTTGAAAGAAAGTTATATCAGCTCACCTCCAGTAATCTCCAGTATCAGATTCATTCTCTCCCCCAAAGCAACTAATCTACACCAAGCAAAATGAGTGGATTGTGTCAATAATACAGCTGACATGTTTAAGAGTTCATAAAGTTATTCTATGGTCAATGAAGTAATATTACCAATTACACAACACAGTGATTAACATCAATACTTCTTCATGAAGCCATTTAACTATCCTCTATACTTTATTTTCTCCTAGGGTCAGAATACTGAATGCTAATGCAAGTAATCAAGCCAATGAAATATTTGATCTGAAAAGATAGTGGTGCAGTAACAAATGCACGTCCCCAAAAAACAGGGCCCTCTGCACTCAACTAAACTCTAATATAAAATCATTTCCATACTTTCATTTGGTAGAGATGTGCATAATGAACCATAATATCCAATGTCCACTCTTTTGGGCGTTATTATATGTAGGTTTACCATCTGAATGGATACAAGATTTAACACTATACGAAAAGGTAACAGAACAGAAGCAGAACAAATTCATACTAACCTCTAGGTTGCCGGAGATTGGAGATGCATGCAAATGACTGTGCAGCCACTTTCTAGTCCTCATGTGCTGCAAACGGATAATTGTCCCACTCTTAATGGTGTCACCTTGTTTAGCACTTGTCACTAGTTGAGGCCGAACAATCTACAGAAAACAGTTCCCATCTCAAATCCAACAACAAAACATCCAGTCATGCACCAACAAAACCTAAATATAAGAAAGGGTACCACCAAAGGTCTATTTGCAATCATTTTTAGCAAAATAGCAAAACTATGATTGATTTGGTCACAATTCAATGACGTAACTTGAATATTAAAAGGCCAAGCTTGTCTTTTTACTAATATTGGTTGTCAAAGAAAAATTTGGCTGTGAGAAAAACGGCCACACTAAAACTGTCAGCAAGCACGCAGAAATTTCACCAGCATGAACCAAATTTATCAGAGTTAATATCAGGACATTAGAATCACTGAAAACTAATTTCGACAAAATTAAAAAGCTTGCAAAAAATCCAGATACCTATTCAAGAAAGCTAAAAATGTAAGATTTGACAGGAAACAATACATTTTGAACCACTTAATCACCAATTACTTCTGCATAGGAAAAATGTTCGGTAAAACTCATAGCCCCTAGCCAAGTAAATGAGATAGCTCCTAGCCAAGTACATGAGATAGCTCCTAGCTAAGTAAATGAGTATCAGAACACACTGAACAAGATAAACAACCAGAAAGGGAGAGATAGAGCAAGAGAGAGAGTAACATACCCAATAGCTATTAGCATCATCAACACTAGGAAACCCAGTAACAGATTGCTGCCCACTTCCAGACCCATATGGCACATCATGTGAATGTAGCCTAAACTTCGTTTTCTCGTGCATCAGCTTAATAACACTCCCATAAGTAATCTAACACAAGCAAACAAACAAAAAATTCATTAGTCGCCGAACTTCATTTGAATCTAAATTTCAGACCCTAAATTTTTTCTCCATTTTATATCCAAAATTTTCAAAAATATCAACTAAAATTTCCAATTTCTTTAAACCTGTAAGGACCCAAGAAAATAATTAACATCAATAATTTTTTTCTCCTCAAAATTAGATGGAAAACATCAAATTAGCCCCCAAACAATATAGTGAATTCCGATTCAATCCCTATAGAACTATTTTCTCAATTGGGTGCCCAAATTTGAAAAATTCTTAACTAAAATAGTCCTTTCAGGAACCAATTCAGATAAAGGAAATTTTCAGCGACACATGGACTATAATTTTGGGACTCATTTGAAGTTAGCTCAAAAACAACACTCCCATACTTACTATCCAGACAAATCAAGGAACCAAAAATCAATTCATTAGTCTCCCCACTTTATTCAATTTGAGTCTCTAAGAAAATAATTTGTAATCGGGCACCCAACGTTTCAACAAAATTAACTCACATACCCTTTCTTTAAACCAGTAGGGACCTCATTCAAATAATAAACAATTCAGGGACTAATTTCACACGAGATACAAAACTGAGGACTAGCATGAAGTAAGCACGAAATTGAAAGAGGCAAAATTACTCTAAGAATCTGACCTCGGAGGCGGAATCAGAGGAGGCGGAGGAGGAAGCGGAGGCAGAGGAGAAGGAAGCGCCATCAAGATCAAGATTGAGGAAGAGGAAGATCGAGAGACCGAAGAAAGCAAGAGCCATGATGAAGAGTAAAGCAATAAACCAGTTTTGTTGCCAGAAAGGAATTAATGTTTCTCTGTACACGATTCTAGTTGCAACCGGCTGTGATTTTGATGACGATGATGACGTAGAAGAAGAAGTGGGCTTTCTTCGCGACAGGGATTGTTGGCCTGAGGAAGCCACGGTGGTTGTTAGAGAGATTTGATTCGATTGATTCGAAGAGAGAGCTGAGAAATTAGGGATTTTGATTATGGATTTGAGGACTTTAGCGTTGGGGAGGAGGAGATCGAGACGTATAACTGGAGTTGAAGTGACATGGGCTGGCCAGTGAGAATTAGACAGGTGGAATTTTGGTGGCGTGGAGAGTTGGTATTGGGTGGAGCTTGCTGTTGACTTGGAAAGTTGGAGGTCTTCTCTTGACTTTGGGAACCATGCATTATATCTATTATTATTAAATAACTTTAATTAACTAAGGAGATTAGACTATAATAAACATCAGTCTTAAAACTATATAATTATTTTTAATATTATAAAAATTAGTTAATTAATATCAAAATTTTACAATATAAAAAAATATTGAACGTTAGTATTTTTTTCTCGATTGTAAATTATTAATTTTTTAATAAATTTATACGTCAATCTAGAACAAAGTCACCTAGCTACAGATTTTTGGTTGCAAAAAATAAAAATAAAAAATCAATTATGTTTTGTGAATTGGCACTTGGCTCTTTGTCCTTCAAAGTCGGAGTAGGACCCACCATTGAAGTGACCAAAAGAAACAAACGTGGCAATCTGCTGTTCCAAACCAGAACACAGCAGCCATCATCATCGTCATCTTGTCCTATAAAGACTTGGTAAAATTTAAGAACTGATCAGCGAGAGTCAAGAACCATCAAGAAATGGCAGGAACTGCAGTGTTTGCAGAGATAATTGATGATGATGTTTTTAAGTTCTACTTAGATGGTGAGTGGAAAAAATCCTCTTCAGGAAAATCAGTGTCCGTCATCAACCCCACCACTAGAAAGACTCAGTTCAAGGTCCAAGGTAAATAAATATATTACATTAATCATTTACCTCCTTCTGTTTACCTTCATTTGGTTATTGGAGTATTGTCCAAAGTTCACTAAATTGTTATGATAGGGTTAAGTGCTAGAATGTTAATGATTTCGTTGTTTAACTATGACTGGAGCAGCTTGTACTCAAGAAGAGGTGAATAAGATCATAGAAGCAGCAAAAACAGCTCAAAAATCATGGGCCAAGACTCCACTATGGAGAAGAGCAGAATTGCTTCACAAAGCAGCTGCAATATTGAAAGAGCACAGAGCACCAATTGCAGAATGTCTTGTCAAAGAGATTGCAAAACCTGCTAAAGATGCAGTGACTGAAGTATGACTTTTTTGAAATACGTTGCTTGATTACTTATATTATGGAATTTCCATTTCTTCTTCCTTGAGTTATCATTGAGGTTTTGGGGTGTGATTAATTTGGTTTGATTTTGATATAGGTGGTGAGATCAGGGGATTTGGTGTCATATTGTGCGGAAGAAGGGGTTAGAATTCTTGGAGAAGGGAAATTTCTGGTGTCTGATAGTTTTCCTGGGAATGAAAGGACCAAATACTGCCTCACTTCAAAGGTTATAATGCAATAATTTCACTCGATTTTTTGTTCTTATTTTCTTGTTCTGGGAAAGCAGTAACTTTGGATCCTGTAGTTTTGGCACATGGGATAGGTAAGAATATGATTATTTATTCTCGTTTCTGCTTGCACATGAACTTGTTGGCCAAGTGGTCCTGCTTTTTGCCCATTGATGGAGGCACTTCACTGATTTGTCTCTGTCATCAAATGAAAGTCAAGATCTGTCACATTTTTCCAAGGGAATAGTAAAATAGAACATGTGTAGGGAATATCCATAGAATATTGGCAATCCTACTGTAATTTTAGCTGGTGAAATCTTAAGTAGGATTTCATAATCTGTTTCTTAAAAACGAAGGTCAATGATAAATAACCTCATTCTTTTACCGTCCCAAGTTAGTCCTATGGGGCAGGCTCTTATGCAATCCATCGCCAATGTTTAAGCATCAATCTCCTCTCTTGTTTAGGAGGGATATTGCCATGAGGGTATCCATGCTATAATGATTAAACTTTCCCTGCTGTAGAATTGTTCCTACATCCCTAGCAAAATGGATTTTTTGTCACAATGAGGCAAAGCCAGGAAAGAACACACAAGTAGAAATCTCACATACTAAATGCCTTAAACGTTCACTTCCTCCATGAATGTAAAGTAAGAAAATGTGAACCAGAACCAGTATAGGAATTAGTTTTATTCGGGGGAAAATTGCAGATACTCTGTTGAAGTTCATCCTGGCGAGTTTGGCCGAGACTAAGTAAATATGTGATGCTTTTAGTTTCTTGTTCATTCTGTTTTTATTCAGTTGTGTTATTTAAATTGATGTTTCGCCGTGCAGATTCCACTTGGGGTTGTTTTGGCTATCCCACCATTTAACTATCCTGTCAATCTTGCTGTTTCAAAAATTGCTCCCGCGCTAATTGCCGGAAACTCCCTTGTGCTCAAGCCTCCAACCCAGGTATGGATTTAAATGCCAGTGGTTTCAAACTTCCCACCTCTCATTGCATATAAGATGTACATATACTGTATTTTTTCGTGTTCTGTAATTTACTTGAATGGACTATTTTCTGTATGCTCAAATAACAGTTTTTGCTGGTTGAACTAAGTCATGCCCTCAATTCCTTGCAGGGTGCTGTAGCTGCACTTCACATGGTCCACTGCTTTCACTTGGCTGGTTTTCCCAAGGGTCTAATTAGCTGTGTTACCGGAAAGGGTTCAGAGATCGGTGACTTCCTCACGATGCATCCTGGGGTTAACTGTATAAGGTAACATTGTGATCTTTTGAACTTCTTTCTGCTCCATAAAATTTTTCAGCTTCCCCATCGGTTGTAATTGCACAATTTATTTGATTCCAACTTATAGCATGCTGCATGATCAGTTCATTAAGGTGCACAAGATGAACAATAAAAAGCATTTCTAAATTTCTAATTGGCGTGATTTATTGAACTAAGGGCAATTTCTCCCTCCTGTTTTGTATTCTTGTTCAGCTTCACAGGTGGAGACACTGGAATAGCAATCTCAAAAAGGGCAGGCATGATTCCTCTTCAAATGGAATTAGGTGGTAAAGATGCTTGTATCATTCTAGAAGATGCTGATTTGGATTTAGCTGCAGCTAATATTGTTAAAGGAGGCTTCTCGTACAGGTTAAAGTTTCTTCAGTAGTCAACTGCCCTCATGATCTATAAGATTCATCCCCTTCGTGGGGGATTCATTCATGTTACTTTCTGAATATTAGTTTCTTCTGAGGCAGCAAATCAATCTATTTTGGCAGACGCGTTAAGTGCTCCAGTTGAAAAAATAATGCTTGATCCACGGCAACATCTACGTCTAAGATTTTTGTGGCCTGATATCGTTTATTATTGTCTGTATCAGTGGTCAAAGGTGCACAGCAGTTAAGGTTGTCCTAGTCATGGAGCCTGTAGCTGATGCTCTTGTTGAGAAAGTTAAAGCTAAGGTAGCCAAACTGACTGTTGGACCACCTGAGGATGACTGTGATATTACTCCAGTTGTTACAGAGTCCTCTGCAAACTATATTGAAGGATTAGTCATGGATGCCAAGCAGAAAGGGGCAACGTTCTGCCAAGAGTATAAGAGGGAGGGCAACCTTATATGGCCTTTGTTGTTAGATAATGTCCGGCCAGATATGAGGATAGCTTGGGAGGAGCCTTTTGGTCCGGTTTTACCGGTTGTCAGAATAAACTCTGTTGAAGAAGGAATCCACCACTGCAACGCTAGCAATTTCGGCCTTCAGGTATTATATTGCCACCTTTTGCTCATGCATGCATGTCCTTTTGGTGTATCAAAGAATTATCTTTTTTTTGGCTTATGTATGCACTTGGTTTTTCCTTTTCACAATTGTAATATAGAATTTTTATTTCAAGATACTAAGCTCTTGTTTAATTACAGGGATGCATCTTTACAAGAGACATAAACAAAGCAATTTTGATAAGTGATGCTATGGAGACAGGAACAGTTCAGATCAATTCTGCACCTGCTCGTGGACCTGATCATTTTCCATTCCAGGTCATGAATTTTCTGTTCATTTTTAAGATTTGCGCATTGATTCATGCATTACTTGAACAACTTTCTAGCATGGATACACACCGCCTTTCTCATCACGAGCAAACCGGACGTTTGATTATGAGTCTGTAGACAACTGTAAATGATTTAGCAACTAATTTGAAATGGCATGTTTGTTCTATGGAGCAAAATCATGCTTCCCAAGTTAATGGTCCTCCAAACTTGCTCAAATTCTCTCTTTTTGGACTGCATTTTACGATACATGCTAACCTCCGAATTTGAATCGATCTTCTTGACATCCTAAACTAACGTCTGCATAATTGTTTTGTGCAGGGTTTGAAGGACAGTGGTATTGGTTCCCAGGGAATCACCAACAGTATTAATATGATGACGAAGATCAAGAGTACTGTAATCAACTTACCTACTCCTTCTTACGCTATGGGTTGATTCGCTAGTTAATACAACTTGCCTTGTAAAATGTAGCATGATTAGCTTGTCTCTGCAATAAGTTATGCTATGAACTGCAACATTTAGTCCACCAGTACAAGTTACTTGGAGCTTTCAAGCTGCATGTAGATGTTGCTTGTATAAAGATGAGTGGTGGGCTAGTCACTGCATGTTTTGCGGTGTTTGCTTTTGTCTTGTAGAAAACCAAGGGATGAAACAAAGTCAAGCTGATTGCTACAATGTCAGTGATCATTATTTCGTGGCCATGTCTATCTTGCGTGTATTGTTTGTATTTGAGATATGCATTTCTTTAGATTTTTTTTTCCTAAAAGTTTTCTTTATTCATGATTTTATAATAGTTATTAATTATTTAACTTAAAAAATGGAAAAAACTGATTTTAAAATAAAACTAAATTTTTATTTTTAAGTTGTCACATGTTGCTACTTGATTGGCCAGATATTACTCAATTAATGGCAATGGTACATGTAATCTTAGTTTCTTTATTCTTCTCCCAATCTAATATTACTAAAACAAAAATGAAAATTATTGTTGAATCACTACTCATTGTGTGTAATTTAACTATTCATTCATGGTGGTCTTGACTATTGGCTTGAAAAGGTGCAATTGGGTCCTTATTCTTTGAATGTTTTTTTGAATTATAATTTTATTTTTCATTTATTTTGGTCCCTGCATCCTAAGAGGAGAGAGAAATGAGGGAGAGAGAGAGAGATCGAGAAGGGTTATTCCTGCCACCTCAACAGTTGAGCTTATCATTAATTTATTTGTTTTGAAGAGTAAAATTTATTGACGGTGATGACAAGTAGTGAAATGGTCGGAAGAGAGAGATCGAAATCTATAAATATTTTAAATTTTTTATTTTGATTTGAATTTTTATGTGTTTTATGTGAATTAAAATGGATTTTGAGGTTCTAAATAAGTTTATTCATATTATTTATGTGATTTAAGGTGTTTTTGGATAAAAAAAAAGGAATTAAATTTGATTTTAAGAAGCTGAAAATTAAAAAACCCGACTTTTCGATAAAATCAAGCTCGTCGAAAATTGCAAATGTCGTCGAAAAATAAACTAATCAATTTTTTTTTCTTACTAGGTCCTCGTGGGCGTGGTCCTTCAAGCCCAAGCGTGTGGGCATCATTACCGCATCTTCAAAATTGTCGCTACCAACTATAGCGTTACCGTCTGCCAAAACTTGTCCCCTTTTAATGCATTTTCCTCACTGAACCTGAGTTTTTGACGCATCTTCAAAATTTGTCCATACATTAAACTTTCTTATCAACATTTAATAAGAGTAAAAAATTATTTTTTTATTGATTAATTTTTATACAATTCCTTACATTAAACTTTATTTTTTTATACATTTTTATGAAAAATATATATATATTTTTTGAATTTTTGATTAATACTTCAGTTTAAATTATTATAAGTTTTTATTTAAGAATTAATGCATAAAGAATAATAAATCATGTCTTTAAGTAAAAAGTTAACAAAAAATATTTAAATAAAAAATTTAATAAAAAATTATAAAATTTGAAATGATTTTTTGTTCGACCCTCACTATAATGCGAGTAACTTCAAAAAATAATTTTTTCATCGGCATTAAATAAGAATAATTTTCTTATTTTTTTAAAATTTAATACAAGTCTATCCATTAATTATAATTTTATTTTTCAGATACAATCTTATGAAAAATATATTTTTAAAGGTTGTTTTTTTAAATTCTTGATTAGTCTTTTTGTTTAAATTGTGACAAGTTTCTATTTAAGAATCAATCCATAAAGAAAAATGAATTATGTTTTTAAGTAGAAAAATTATGAAGAACATTAAAAACATTATTAAATGGAAAATTTCAATTATAATTTCTTGAAATAATTTTGTTTTGTCGAATCCATAGCGTAACGCTAGCAACTCGGTTAGTAACTTATATAACATGTTGATAATTGTTTAGTTAATTCTTACAAGTCTAACTATAAATGAATTTAAAGTTGAGAAAAAGAAGATTGATTTTATACAAACTGTTCGTTTTGTGGTTTTTTTTTCTTAGCAAAAGAAAATTATTTTTTCATCTATTAATATTTTTTTTTCAAAATCTATATTTATCCATTGAAATCACTTTTTTTTAATAACAAAAATTGACATTTTCTGTCAAAAAATTATGACTATTTCGTATAAGAGTCTCCATTCTACTGCATTCATTAAGAACCCAATTGAGAGAAAAACAGTTCGAGGACCAGACTAAGAATTGGTGAATAGATTGGGGACAAATGTGAAGGAATCCCAATACTTTAAACTGAATTTGGCCGCTTATGGAACCTTTTCAGCCGTTTCTCTCCCATAGCAATGACAGGTGTGAGACCATGGGAGAAATAAACTGCCGTTACTTGACCCACCTTTTGTCCGATTATATAGATAAAGTTTTCTTTTTTGATAATTAATTATAAAATAAGTTAGCAAATGATGATTTTGAGAATTAACTTCCCCCGTATTTTGCAAGATTTATTTTTCTCACGCAAATTTACTGTCTTTCAAATAAAATAAAATAATTAATTTCTTTTTTTTAACTCACACAGTCAAAACTCTTAACCCTAACAGAATTAATCCAGTAAAATTTAAACCTATGATTTTTTTTTAACTCACACATCCAAAATTTATAATAGAGTTAATTTATTAAAATTTAAATATATGATATTTTGTTAGAAGAGATTAATTCCTTCATGCTTAATATGGAAATTTGCCACAAAAATTTGAAGCAAATCTTTTACTTTATGGTCACAAATCATCATAACGATTGACCTGTGAAAAAGGTAAGTGATTCAAAAATATAATATAAATAAAATTGCCAAAAAAGTTAAAAAATCTATTTTTTTTTCAAAATCACACGTAAACATAGAAATTTTGGGTTAGATTGTGTCCGTATTCTCTGCATTTTTTGGACTCCACAGCAACTAAAGGATTAACTTCTAAATATTGCTTGAAATGTTTTATACTCTTATCGTCATAATCCAACTCTCGTGTACATGAGATATGTATTGTTGATGATTAATTTTGTTAATGATACATGTTTTTTTTTTTTTTTTTTTTGTGGTTACCATATATAATAAAATTCAAATTTAATACTCGTTTTTCTCTATAATTTTCAATATGTATTTTGTAACAAAAATAAAAATAAGAATTGATAAATCCTTCCAACATCCAACGATTGCTTTCACGCGCGAGCTAAGCACGTCATTCGTTGACATCGGATCATCGAGCTGAAGTTATTCAGTTGGTCGTTATCAAAATCATTCAAACTTAAACACGATCAACTAAACGTTAAAGTCGTTATTTGTCGGTAGTTATATTTCAATTTACGAATTCACAACGCGTGTATTGTCACAAAGAGAAACTATTAACGTGAACGTTGCATGAATTTTTGTACATTTTATTTATCACCAATCTTTTTTTATTCACATTAATTCATCACAAACAAAACAATTCATTTTTTTTTATCAATCATGCACATTAGACTATCATATGATATAGTTTCAAATGCATTTGTTATTAATATTGTGAAATTATAAACTCTATAAATATAAAAATATAAAATTGAAAATTAAAAAACCACACACATGCACATTGAAAAAATAATAACTCATATTAATATTTGATATCAATTTTTTTTTTTTGACAAAGATTAAATAAATTACCAAAGAGTTTTTCCTCTTAGTAAGAAAAAGAAAGGAATAAATATTGAAAAAAAGAAGCAGCAAACATTTAGAAAATCAAAGCCACGTACGCGGTCCCCACAACGAGGACGGATTTGAAAGGAAATAATAAATTCAAATTCACGAGCACACAAAAAATCCGAGTAAAAGCAGAGCTGGATTCTTCGCCTTTAAAATAAATTCTCTCCAACTATAAATTAAAATAAAAATCACACTCTCTCTTACCCCCTCTCTCTCTTAAAAAAATCGAAACTTTCTCTCTTTCTCTCTCCAAAAAACCCTAATTTCTCGACAAAATCACACAGTTTCAAAATCAGCGAATCCAAATCTGATTTTAAATCTTCGGTTTTTTTTCCTGTTTTCAATGGTGTGAGATTGAAGTAATTAGAGTCGTAGATTTTGAAAGATCTGTTTGTATTTAATTTTGATTTTAATTTAATTTAAGTGTTTATTTATTAGAGAAGAGAGATATTAGTTCTAATGGCGTCGAATAGTAGTGATAAAGAGCTTGAACAACAGTTACTGGAAGCTGGAAACAAGCTTCTTAACCCTCCGTCTTCTGTTGATGACTTGCTCCCTCTTCTTGACGTAAGCCCTAAATTTTTTGTATTATTTTTGGCTTTTTTCTGGCTAATGTAAATTAATGCATGTCTTGGCTTTTGATTTTGGTTATTAATGCATTACTTGGCTTTTGATTTTGTTTTAATGTGCTATTGATGCTTGAAGATTCTGTGTCTTTAAGAATGTCTTTTTATGTGATTTATATTTTTCGGTATAAATGCATGTATGGATACTTGGTGTATTTGTGTGCGCGTGTGTGTGTTAATGGGGATTTGTGGAAGTTAGGGAGAGGAGTTGATTGAATTCAGTGAGTTTAGTGGGTTTTTGATGGGGAGGGAATTTGTACATTGAGTGATTTGAAAGAGAGGTTGTGAGAGTGGATTTTAGGGGTTTGAAAGTTCAAGATTTTGTAGGTTTTCATGTATGGGTTCAGGCAAGCTGTTGCGCTTGATGTATGGTATAGCATGTGTTTTGTGGGTGTGTTCGCGCGTAATTTTGAAGTGTTCGTGTGCGGGTTTTCTGGTTTCTTATTGGGGTGATTTCTTGGATTTCTGCATTGAAAAGTGTCCATATTCGTGTTTGAGTTTATAAGACTATTGGGGATTGTGTAATTAGGTCATATGGTAGTTTGTCTGTTTTTAGGCTTATGTATGTGCTAGATTCTGATTTTCTAATTTGGGATGATCTTGGATATTGCATTTATAGCAATGACATATCAGTATTAAGGTTAGGGTATTTGTCAGAAAGGTCTAATTAATTTTATACCATTTGTTTTTGTGCTTGTGCTAAATAGAAATTGGGTGCTACTATAAATGGTTAACAGCAGGACAGTAGTTCGGCGAGACAATTTAAGTAATTATATAACCACTGTGCTGGATGATATCTATGATTTCAATCACTGTTAATCAAGAAAATCGAAGCCAGAGATTGAGAAACAGAAGAACGCATAAAAGACCGAAGACCATATTGCACAGTTGGTTTGGTGGAAAGTTTCGATGCAGAATAATTGGTGGGATCATGTAGGATTTCTAATTAATTTTTATCCTTCCAAAAATGGCGATTATAGTAGTTGCATATTGCTGATTTTCCACTGCGGGTGAGGGCATCTGCATACCTGTATTGCTGTTTTTACTGCATTTTTTCTCCTTCCTAATGTGAAGTTAATTAGGGTGCGTGAAGCAGTGAATAGCCTCATCCTTGAAAAGAAGCATTAGAAGTTAATTAGGGTGCGTGAAGGGGTGAATAGCCTGATTCTTGCAAATAAGCATAAATACTTTCTGTTTATGCTTACCTCCGTACAGAACAAGAGGAGGGATGTTATATCTTTCCTTTTCATCTTTCTCACAGTTAGTTAATTCGGCAACAGTCCTTTAGCTCTTCTGATGTTGTAACTTTGTGACGCTTTGATAAAGTTTTAATGAATTACTTGCATATGCCCAAGGTTTCTCTATGGGCAGTATCCTTATATAATGAGTTTTTCTTCGGTAAAATAATTCTTTCCACTATCGTAGTTGTTACATCAAGTGTGCTTTCTCTGTGGCCACCATCAACATCCAACACCTCATTGATATGAATCGCCTGATATGAAATTCAGGCTTGGATGTTGAGCCTCTGGTGTACTCTTCAAGCTTTCCCACCTTCCAAGCAGCGTTTTAAAAAAGTTTTATGTCCAAAATGCGGAATGTTTTCTGTGTTTTTACAAAAATTTTCTTTCTTTATCAACTCTGGATTGAAGCAGTTAGAAAACTGGCAATATTTATCATGGACATGCACGTGTCTTCATGTCGATTACACCCTTACCGATATGCTTTCGTTTCCTTGGTTTTCTTTTAGGAACCAGTATTACTTGGCAAGCAATCCACTGCATGTTGTCCACATGTCATTATGTTTGTGGGGTGGAGCAGGAAGTATGAGTTCAAGATTATTTGACCTTTCTATAATATGATGAGTTACTCATAATGAAAATAGAGGCGTTATGTGTCTCTTGATTTAGCTTTAATACGTTGGTGATCAAAATCTAAATTTCCTATGTTTAATTTTATGATGAGATTTAAACAATTTAAGTTATTCATTTGCTGATATTGATTTTCTTTCTTTTTGGGTAATTGTAGCAAGTAGAGAATTGTTTGTCAAAGGTGGAGCAGTCACCGTTAAAATCAATGCAAAATGCACTTTCTCCTTCACAGAATGCTCTGGTCACGAGTCAACTGTTTATGCATTCAAACATTGATGTGAAAGTTGCAGTTGCGTCTTGTATCAGTGAGATAACAAGAATAACTGCACCAGATGCACCTTATGATGATGATCAGATGAAGGTCTGCAGTTTTGACATCTTAGAATTTTTATTAGCTTTAGAGCCTGTGCTGTATTGTTACCTTATGTTGACCATGTTGTTTCTGTTTTTCCTTTTCTTCAATATAATGGGCATGCAGGAGGTATTTCAGCTGATTGTATCATCATTTGAGAACCTAGATGACAAATCTAGTCGGTCATATGTTAAGAGGGCCTCAATTCTTGAAACTGTTGCGAAGGTTAGGTCGTGTGTGGTGATGCTGGATCTTGAATGTGATGCACTGATAACTGAGATGTTCCAGCACTTCTTGAAGGCTATAAGGTACGAAGGAATATCTTCATTGGAAAGGTTACACCGTCTTATTTTTTGGTGGCTTCCTTTCGTCTTGTTGAATTTTGCTTGCTTCCCTTTGCTTTGGGCTCTGAAAATCACTGTGAAGATTATATTTTGTTTGCAAGTATAATTATGGGCAAATATGCTTTTCTCTTTTGTTGATTGTCTTTTGTATCTCATATGCATAATGATTGTGGGCTGGTCTCTGAGGCATTGGTTGACAAAGCATATTTAGAGATGACATTGGAATGGGCAGGCATTTGGCATTGATATTAGGATTTGCTGTTGAAATATAGGGAATATGGGGGGTCTCGAGTTAATTGTTTGATTATTCAAATCTCCAAAACATAACATATGGTAGTGCTGGATGTTAGATTTTGTGATGAATTTCAACCCAGCATGTTCCATGGCTACACTATGGAATGCGTAATGGGTTCAAACCTTTGCAATGACAATATCATCTGCACAAGAAAAACTCCACTGCTACTTAATTGAGCTTGACGCCTTTCTTTTACACATAATTTAAAAAGAACATTGCCGGTGTGCTGTAAAAGGTTGTATGATTTGGGGAAATGACTGTTGAATGGTGGGGGTTATAGCTTTAATTGTTTTGACCATTTGTTTTGTTATTCAGAGATTATCACCCAGAAAATGTCTTTTCATCAATGGAGACCATCATGTCCCTTGTCTTAGAAGAAAGTGAAGATATCTCCGTGGAATTACTGTCACCGCTATTAGCTAGTGTGAAAAAGGGTGATGAGGTGAATTATTCTATCATTTCTAGGGCCACAAACATTCTGTTTATTTCCATTTGATTTCTGTGAATAAATTAGCCTCATTTACTGTTTTGCAGGAAGTTCTACCTATTGCTCGAAAGTTGGGAGAGAAAGTACTTGAAAGCTGTGCTACAAAGGTTAAGCCTTACTTGATACAGGCTGTGAAGTCTTTGAGCGTATCTTTAGATGACTACAGTGATGTAGTTGGTTCAATTTGCCAAGAAATCTCTGGTACTGTTGAGCAGAATGATGTCCCTGCTGGTGATGAAAATAAGGTAAGCTTTTTGTCCGACTAAAGATAACATTGTAGTTATGGTGCTGACTGATTTAACCACTCATTTAATGATTTATATTGTGCTGCCATCATTAAGTTGTATTTGATATGTCAAGTGGCATTGCTGTCCCTTTTTTGTAAATGATTTAATTAATGAAGATTATCAATCGTTTTCCCTTTTCATTCATTATTACTGAATTTGTCTTTATTGAATTGACACATAATAGGAATCTTCTTTATGAAATTATTGTGATTAGATATCCCAATCGTTGTTGTTGTACCACGAGTCAACCCCCAACTGTTAGTGTCTGTGAGAAGTTATATCATAAGTGCTTGGTATAAAGTTTTTCTTTTGTGTATTGCCTTGTATGTAAGATAGCAATTGCTGAAAAATCATGACCTCTAGTTTAATGGTTCCATACTGACTGGTGTTGTGCCAGTACAGAACTACATCCCTCAAGCAATTGGCTCATGGTGTAGCTTTGTGCATGTTGCTTCAACAAAAATTTGATTTGGAAGTTTTCTGTTTTTTTCTTCTGATTGTTTGTCAGCAGTATATTGTGTATTGCATCTCATTGAAACTGCTGACTAAGTGGTCTTTGGTTGATGCTGGTAGTAGTTTTTCTTTTGGTCTGAATCCATTTCTCATAAAATGCCCATGACTTGCTGCAGGTTGAAGAGAGCAAGCCAGTTGGGGCATCATCAGATGCTGCTGCTGCTGCTGCTGCTGCTGCTCAGGCATGGCACTTTCCCTTCTAGATTTTTCCTTGTTGTTTTATATTTATTTTCTGATCTCTCTTTTTTTCCCAGGTCGATGAAGAGGAAACAACAGAAGTGGGAACTCCTGAACAAGCTGAACGTGCAAATGACAAATCTCCAAAGTCAGCTGTGAGCAATGGTGTTGCACAGACTGGGGAAGATGACTCCTTAGCAGATTCAGATTCCTTGAAGAAGCAGGAGGATGATAATCATACCGATCAGTTGAAAAGCATTGATTTGCCAAGTAATGCTGAACCTGATGTTTCGGATGCTGAAAAGGTAGTAAATACAGAAAGTGAGGCAGAACAAACAAGCAAGAAGGGAGAGAAGTCTCCAACAAAGTTGGCAGAGCCGTCAGAGAGTTCTCGTGTTGACTCCAAGAAGGAAGCTGAGGAACTGCCAGATGATAAAACTCACAGCGAGGATGTTCCTGGTTCTCCTCGTAATGATCAATCTGTTGAGGGAGCAATATCTTCTGAGAACGTAAAAGAAACCAGCAGCCAGCCTTCCTCACCTAAGGCATTAGAGGGTGAGTCTGTACCTGTTGCTTCCCCATCTGTTAATGAAAGCCCTGCTGATGAAAATGCTTCTAAAAAGGGTGGACAAGCAAAGAAAAAAGAGAGCTTGAACAAACATTCTGCACCATCTTCTGATGATGTTCCGAAAAAGGCATCTGATGGAACAAGTGATTCAGAAGCAAAACTGCATAAACGCTCTGGAAAGAAGGCACCTGCTGGGGCTTCCGGTGAGGATAAAACACCATTGATGACAGATGCATCGAAGAAGGAAAGTGATTCCACTGGTGAACCAGAAGCAAAACTGCCAAAGCAGTCATCTAAAAAGGTGGAAGCATCCAAGAAGGAAAGTGATACCATTAGTGAACCAGAGGCAAAAGCACTGAAGCAGTCATCTAAAAAGGTGGTTGCATCCAAGAAGGAAAGCGACACCAGTGGTGAACCAGAGGCAAAACAGCTGAAGTTGTCTAAAAAGGTGGATGCATCCAAGAAAGAAAGCAACATCACTGGTGAATCAGAGGCAAAAACGCTGAAGCAGTCATCTAAAAAGGTGGATGGAAGCAACAACAACAATGATGGATCAACTTCAAAGCGATCTGAGGATAAAAAACGGCAGAGTCGCGGAAAAGCAGTTTCAGAAAAGCACGTAACCAAAAGTTCGACTAAAGATGATGACAAAGTACTTGCTTGCTTGTTCATCACCTGTGATTTTGCTGTTTGTTTGCTAAATCCATAAATTAATAAATTGCTTCTTGTTTTTATCATGATTTATTTTGGAAAAGACCCCTACAACCAAGTCAGCTGCAAAATCGGCAAAAGAGGAACATCTCTTGGAGGAGACCCCTGTGACTAGCACCAAGAGGAAGCGCGCCTCTGGCAATGAAAAAGTACGTGTTCTTTATACATATAGTCTTACATATCTGCACAGTTGATGCTTGTTATTTTAGTTGGCTACTTATTGGGTTGGAGTGCTTTACTTACTCAACCATAGATAGACTCTACTGATGCGATTCTCATTTAAAATGTTTTTGTTTTACCAAATTTTACAATTTTATAGCATGTGGGTAACTGTCAAATGAAAACATAGGAGTCTATTAATTACATTTCCATGATTCTTCCAAATGGTCTGTTTATATTTTAAATTACATGTTATGTTCCCTGTTCTGTCCCTTGTATTATTCCTCAACGTTCTGCTTTCTAGGATTACAATGCAGGGTAAATTACAATGACCCCCTCGAGGTATTGTGAAATTATACTGACCATCCAAAGGTTTAAAGATTTGACCAAGTCCCCTTCCACATTTAATAAAATATTATTGAAACCCTCTTTTTTACCCAAAATGCCCTTATTTACTATTTTCAAAGGAATAGTTAAATTAAATACTTAAAAAATCAGAGAAAAAATATAAAAAAATTGAATATGATTATTTTTTAGTACAGGAACAATATTAATTTTGAAAATTTATTTTTGAGTTCTTTTTCTGATATTATTTCTCTAATTTTTGAAGTTTTTTAATCTATATATATATATATATTTTTTTTCTAAATAGCGATATAGGGTATTTGTTGGGGTGGGGGGAGGGGGTGGTTATGTCAAATCCTCAAACTTTTGGTTAGTTTCTGTAATTTCACACCTTAAGGGGGTTATTGTAATTAACCCTGCAATGTATGATTGCGGTTAGATATGGTTTGAATAAAAACATATATCAGCTGTATAACATGTTTCTTTTTTGGGTTCTGTTACTTGTGTATCTATATCACCTTTGTGAATATTACTTTGGGTTGGAGATTTGTGCTTTAGGATTATTTCTTAAAAGCAGTTGCTGTGACAGGTTTCTGATGTTAAAGAATTTGATGAGAATGTGGTTGGTTCAAAGGTTAAAGTATGGTGGCCAAAAGATCGCCAGTGAGTTCACACTCTCCTCTTCTTGTTCTTTTAGTAAGATTTTCAAAAGCCTTTGCTGAAGCTGATATTTATACTGCTATTGAACTGGTAATTATTTAAACGTAGGTGTGTGATACTTAAGATCCATCCTTTAAATTATACTTGGATCATGATTTCCAAAAAGGCTGTTTTTGGTCATGTTACAGCTTTATCATAATGCAGCTGAAGTTCATGGTAATCAAGGGTATTTCTTGTGCCTAGCATTTCTCTCCAATCAGCGCTATCCCTCCCCTTCTTTTTCCCACCCCAAACACACTCAATAGGCCTCTTGTCACATGTCATATTCAGCTCTAATTTTCCTTTGCTCATTCTCTATAACAACATTCATTCTTCATTACGGTTTTTTATCCAATTCATAGTGTATTATTTTCTTATTTACCTTGGGTATTTTGCAGATTTTACGAAGGTAAAATTGAATATTTTGACCCGATTAAGAAGAAGCATAAGGTGCGACTTTATTTCAGGATGCCTGTTCTTGTTTTTGTTTACATAAGTTAACATGGGTTTGGAATTTGGGTTTCCTGCTTTTATTTGGGTCTTGTCTTTTTTCTGGAATGTTTATTTTTGTTTATAGCCTTTTGCATATGTACATATATACATATTGGACTCTTGAGCGTTCTTGACTAATTGAAAAAAAGAAGACGATCTATCTGTATGTGAATTGAATGTCTTTTTATTGATGCAGGTTGCATATATTGATGGTGATGAAGAAATTTTAAGTCTCAAAAGGCAAAAATTTGAGTTTATGAGTGATGACTCTGAGTCAGAAGAGGTGAGTGGCTGCCTGACTTGTCTCCTACTAGAGTTTCTAGATTTTATGCTGACACATTTCTTTGACAGGAAGAAGCAGCTGATCACTCAAGTCATGAAACCTCTTCTGACACGTAGGTGTTCTTTCTTGTTTTATATTCTCAATTGTCAATTACATAACCTTTTAAGTTTTGGATTGTTTTCCCCTTATTACCCTAGTGAACCCTAGACGATATGAAGTACAGAGCTAGTGCTATTCAAATACTGTCCTCAGCTCAGTGGCTTGTGTGATCTCAAATGGATATACACTGATATGTTTTCATTTTTTATGATTCTATGCAGGCCCCTGAAGAAGAGAATGAAAACAAGTTCTGACAAGTCAGCTAAGCAAGGAAAGGCTGATGCTTCCCCAAAAAGGTTCGGTATAATCCTTATGAACATATGCTAGCTTCATTTGCTGGAATTCTGATAAACATATAATCAATAGGGGTAGTGGAGCTTCCTCCAGCAAATCCAAAAGTGCTGCAGCAAAATCTGGAGGAAAGTCAAAGGAAATCAGTAAAACTGGTGGGAAATCTGTAGATGACTCTAAAGTTAAGAAATCAGATGATCGTGGCAAAAACAAGGATCACACCCCTAAAAGTGGAAGTAAGTCTGACATTGCTTCAAAAACTGCCAGCAAATCCAAAAATGATGACCTCGTGACATCCAAGGCTAGCAAGTCCAAAGAGGATGGGACAAGCATGCTCAAAATGTCCAAGTCCAAGCAAGAAACCCCCAAGACTGGCAAGTCCAAGCATGATACCCCGAAGGTTTCCTCCTCTAATACCAAGGGTAAAGCCTCAAAAAGTGGTGGCACATCTAATGTCAATGGTGCTGGCAAGTTGAAATCTGGCTCGTCTAAGGTGAAAGAAATTGATGATGAAGAGACCTCAACAGACTCAGAGAAATTGCAGCAAAGTGCAAAGGTGAGATCGGGAGGCTCATCCAAAGGACAGGGCAGTGAGGTGAAGAGTGGAAAAAGCGGCGAAGAGTTTGAAGTTTACGATCTCTCTTCAACTGCTGCTTTGTTTCAAGCAAAGTTGTTTCTTGTCCCCAACACATGGACCTTGATGCCTTGCTCTCTTTGATGTTGGGGAGCTGCATCCTCCACACAGTAAGCCATGCTACTGGTATTTGTTGCCATCTTTGTCGCGGTTCCTAGGTCATTGGCTTACATTAGTGTTTGTTAGTCTAGTTAACGGTTGCCGTAGGGTTAGTGTTCCTTCTATTTTGGTTTTAGATGTTATTTATGTTGTTTGGGAATCTACAGTAGAATAGATTGAGGTAGTTTGTTAAAATAGATGCGTTTATAGATAATGACATTGCGTTCACAATGCGCAATGTTGCCTTCAATTTACTATTGGATCATTCTAGTTGGTGCATCGTCTGTTCATTACAAATGGGGACGCAAAGAGTTCGCAACCAGGTTAAACCGTTAGGTGTATATAACACCAGCCAAAACGGCTAGAATTCCAAGAATTTTGAGTTGGCTAAAAATTAGAAGGAAATTATAGGCTTTGCTGAGGGTAATGTTAGTCTGCTGAAAAAATGCTAAATTTTGGAAACGATGGCGATCAAACATTATGGGGTGGTAGTTGTACTGTCTAAGAAGATTGTTTAGGATAAAAATACAATGCCAAATAGTAATTAGGGTATGCCATGGTTTTGGTTTTACAAGTATTTTGGGCAGGATGAGAGAACATGACTTGCTTAGCAAATATTTTGGAAGAAATCCTTGGCTAATCAAACTTGTACACGGGCAAGTATTACGTTTTGGGCCTGATGGTGATATCCCACCATGGAATGCAATTAGTGTATGGGCCAACATGTCTGTAATATAGGGGCTTGGAAATTGACTACCCAATAGTAGTAAAGCTTATCAGCTGGTAGTAGTATCAAAAGTTTTGGGCCATAGAAAAAAGAAAGAAAGGACCCTCTTTCAGATTTCTGACACATCTTGGGCTGGGTGTACCGGCTTACGGATCTGGTCTTTTTCTTTTTTTTTTTCAAGAAAAAAAAGCTAGTTTGGAGTATGGATACTAAATCTATTTTGAGTAAATTATAAATTAGTCCCTCTAGTTTTAAGAAATAAATTAATTACTCTCTTCCGTTTCAAATACTATCATTTAGTTTTTTAATTAGTGTTAATTATGTTTAATTTAATATTATTTTTATTCCATAAAATCTCTTATTTTTTCATAATCTTTCCATGTTTTTTCATATTTTTCTTCCCTTTTCTATTTCTTAAAACAAAAAAATCAAAGTAAATTAAAAACGAGTAAAAAGGATTAAATTACAAGTAGATTTCAAAACATGAGGACTAAATAATTAATTCTTAAAACAAGATAGACTAATTTATAATTTACTCAATCTATCCCTTTGGTGTGTGTGTTAAACTATAAGTATTTTTCTATATTATAGTCACAAGTATTTTTCTATATTGTATAATATAATTTTTCTATATTGTTGGTTATATTGTTCGTATTATAAAGCATCGTGATTTTTCTTATGTTGTACAAAATTCTACATATAGATATAATACGATACCACTTCAAAGAGTATGTGGTCATAAAAGTATCTTTATATTTTCTTCTTTGTTATATCTTTCAGCTTGATATTAGAGAATTTGCATAATTGTCTTATGAAAACCGATCAATCTAATCTCTTAAGCTCTATTGTACCGCAATATTAGACACATAAATTTTTAGGGCAACGAACCTAGAATTTCACAAGCAGAATCCTTCTTGACAACCATTTTTATTGATTTGGCAAAATCTTCTTTAACGATTATTGTTTTGACATCGGATCTTATGCTAGTTTTAAAGAACACATCAATTTCTTTCTCTGTCTACTCATACCATTCCTTTCACTAATGTCCATCACTATATCTCATTGAAATTAATTAAAGCAAATTACTTATATTATAAACTTCAAATAAAACCCTTTCTATAGGATCTAGGGTTATTCAGCTTCATTGATGGGTTTTGGTCATGTTTACCATCTCATCACCTAAGTGATGACGCCTCTCTTTTGCAATCAAAACCAATTTTCTCTCGCTAGACTCAATAAGATCAATTATTAATGAGTACTTTTATTGTCGCTTGAGCACTCGAATGTATTTTATTTAATTGTTAAGTGCACTTCTTCTCGTAGTATTTGGTTTACTTTAGAACATGCTTTAACATCTCCTTCAAGTACTCTAAATATACAACTTTGCATGCACTACACAAACTCAAATAGAATGATGATTCTATATATTTATTTGTGAAGAGCAAAATAAATTAATGATGAATTAGCCACGAGTAGCTAGACCTTTATCTATTTTAGATTTTAATCTCTATTTTTTTTAAAGGAATTGAGTAGAGAATTCAATGACCCCTTAATCATACTATCAGCTAGAGTCGAATATGTTTTCTTCATCGAATTGAATAGTCGTTTATTAAGTCATGAGTTCCTCAATCGAGAAGTTTTTTACTCACTGACTTTATCCTTTAGTTCTAGTACTCTTACTCATAACACAATCCATCCGACCATTACTTCTCCATGGCGGTAATAGCCTTGAGAGTAATTTTTCAAACATCGGCACCAACCCTCTTCTTCTCGTGGTAACAAAGGTCGCAACGAGTGGGTGCTAAAGAAAAAAATGTGGTTCCTCTACGCAAGAACCCACCATTTCACCTCAAGTCGGTCCATAGCATCAATCTTAATAAACTAATTCTCCACCTAGCCGTAACATATGTTATTAGATATGCAATGAATGGATTCGCATTGCTCAAGCATATTCTTAATATTATCATCAATGGTTTCCATCGATATCTAATATGGTTTTGAACATCACTTTTACTAGTTCAATTTCTCATGGTTAGTGGTTTTTAAACACCATTATCACTCATTATATCACTTAGGTTCACACATGTATAGCTCAATCTAATCTTTATGATGGTGTTGATTAGTTACATGTAGGTGATGGTAAAGACTTAACATCTCTAATGTTGCTTTTACAAATTTATACACACCATAATACATGTTTAAAATGTCATATATTCTTTGCATACCACATATTAAAAACCCATTACTCTTTATTCAACAATATGTACATGAAAATATATATTTTTTTGAATTTCATTCTTCTATTTTTGTATCAAGGATTGCATCTTCAAGGAAACTCTTCTCTCCTATGGAGTAAAGATGGTCTCTATGTCGTCTCTACTCCTCCACCATCATTTTTTCTCAATCTCTTTTAACAACTCGTACTATCGTTGAACATGGCATCATTGGCTTTGGCACCCTACTCTATGTATTTTGAGTCAATTTGTTTTTCAAAAAGAAGTTTCATGTCCAACTTTTACTTTTAAATTTGATCTGTCTAGCTTAACCACTCAGAAAGTCCTCTAGGTTATCTCTAAGAATTATAGGTCATAGGTCCGGTGCTCATCTCGAGTTCACTTTTAATGATGTATATGGCTCGCCTATCATGATTTCCTTTAATGAATTTTTTTTCTTTTTCATTTTCATTGATGAATTCACTAAATTTATTTATTTTTATTCCATTTTGAATTAAAAAATATTTTTAAGATCTTTCTTCAATTTTAAAAATTAGTTGAATACCAATTCTCAATTAAATTTAAAATGGTTCAAATCTGAATGGGGTGTTGAGAATTGAAAATTATATACCTATTTTACTGATTTTGGCATTCATCATCATTTCATTTGTCCTCAAACTCATGAACAAAATGGCTTCGTCAAGTGTTGTGATTGCCATTACTTAGACATTCTAAAGTTTTTCATAAATTTCGACCCTTTACTTTTGTTGTTGTTGTTGCCTATCTTATCAATCATATGCTAATTTTTATTCTCAATAGTAAGTCTTTTTTGGGTGTTTTTATCATTATAAACATGATTATCATTTTCTTAAAATATTTAGTTGTCTATGCTTTTCGTTTCTCCGTTCTTTTAACAAGCATAAAATATGTTTTTATTCTTCTCCATTTGTTTTTCTTGGCTATGGTTCTAATCGTATTGGATATATTTATTTTGATACTTATGCTAATAAAATTTATATCAACACATGTATGTTTTTATGAAAATGCCTTTCTTTTGCAAAGGATGAACATGGATTTCTACCTTTCAAGCTTAAGCTTCCAAGCATTTAGCCTCTCCACCTCTATTGGACTATCTTAAATATCATCTTCCCCTCTTATCTCCGGCTCGCTACAACCTATGCTAGCTTTCTTACCATCTTAATTTTAGTTGTTCTACCACTGTTTTTATCCAACGGTTTATCTAGCGACCTCATATTACCACTCGTGCTTATTGCTATTTAGCCTTTTTCGTTGCCAACTCTTTCAAGTGATCCGCAACATATGGCTCTTGCTTTTTGTACTTGGTCTTAACTTGATAATTGATCTTTTAGTATTTTAGCTACCCTTTTCTACTACCATTATCCAATAATTTATCCAAGTAGCCTTCTAATGCCACGATCTAATAGTCCTCACAACAATCAACTCCTTCTCTTCAACATACACATAACATGGTTCTTCATCCTCGTGTTTATTTTAAACCAATATTTAAACCAATAACTCATCTGAACATTATTTCTTACTCCCAAGCTACGGACTCAACTTTTTACTCTTCTAGATCGTGAGCCAACCTCTTTCAAGGAGGCTAACTTTTATTTTGAATGGTATGATGTTATTTTTGTTAAAATAAATCTCGTACATGCTACTCATACATGGACTCCTTTTCTTTGATTTTTTCACATGAATTTTATTGGATATCGTTGGGTTTAACACGAAAATGGCATGAATTATTCTTGTTATTCTTATTGAACGAGAGAAAGTCTATTTATACAAGATGCCGACTAAGTTAAAGGATTGCAGAAAGCATATTCTAGCTAAGCAAAGTAACCGACAAACTAATCTAACAAACTTACCAACTAACAAGTTAATCTATCTAACGAATATAACTAATGCTTCTATTTGATATTTGTGATAAATAATCTGTGATACCCCTCGAGGTGGAGCATACACATTGTGAATGCCCAACTTGAAAGCAGAGGTACGAAACGGAAGCGATGGGAAAGGCTTTG